TTTCTTTTTTAATATTTAATTCGTTATTAATATTAAGCTATTTTCGGATTAGGTCTATATATAGCTTAATAATTATTTTTAAATTACTAAAAGTATAATTATATAGAACCCCGTATTTATTAAGTTATTTTTATAAAAAAGTCTATTTAATACTCTTTATTAAAGAAAAATATTTTTCTTATTATTAAGTATAGTAATAAAGACTTATTATATAAATATATTTTAATAAGCCTTTAGTAAGTATTTTTAAATCTTTAATACTTTTTATAAAAAAGTAAAAAGTATTTTTTTATTATTTCTTATAAATAATAAAACCTCTCGTACTACTTTAGTATTTTTTATTATATTATTAAGGTCCTCGAAGCGTTTTTAAAAAGCTTTTTTAATTTTAAACTAATTATATTAGTTTTTTTTATTTTAAATATTAAACTAATTTTTTATTTTATAATAAAGCTTAGTTTTAAAAATATAAATCCTTTACCTATCCTCTTTAATAAAGTCGTTTATTCTTAGCCTATTTACTTAGGCTTTTACTAAATTAAAATACTTTTTTATAAATATACCTTAGTTATAATTAGTAAAAATTAAGCTTTAAGAACTAGGGAAAATATTTATAATAATAAGTAGTTTTATATAAGTAGTAATAGTTTTAGTAAGTACTTATATATTTTAAAATACTTATTTAATAAGAGTATTTAGAGTAGATATAAAAAGGCTTAATTAGTTAAATAATAATAAAATAGGGTTACCTATTCTTAATTTAAAAAATTACTATATTAAATATAAAACGTTAAAAAAGTTAAAAAATACGGATTTTATTATACTTTTTATTTTAAGTATATTAAATATTAATATAAAAGGTTTTAATAAGTATAGTATATTAATATATTATCCTAGACTTCTCTCGAGGACTTTTTTAATAAGATCTATTTTACGAACGTAGTTATAATATTATATATAAAATATAAAAAAAAAAGAATTCTAAATTATTTTATAATAAATAGCGTTATAATAGTATCCGTTACGTATTAATTTAAAAAAGAAATATAGTATTAAATTAAAAAAAGTACTTTATAGGGCGTTATTATATTATAATTTAAGAATAAAGAGGAGAGGAAATCTCCCCTTTTTAGAGGTACGTTGAGGCTTATTATAATTTATAATAATATATACCGCTCGGGCTATCCTTAAGCTTTTTTTTCTTTTTATATTACTCCGTAACTTATAAGTTAAATAATACGGCTACCTAGCTTTCTAGGTCCTTATTATTATAAAGTTAGAAGGTCCTTTAAACTTATCCTTTTTTGTAATTTAGCTTTTTTAAGGGGAAGTACTTACCGAATTATTTAATAAAATATTTAACTCCTCGTAAATATAATATAGGTAATATTATTTACTTTTATTTTAGCTATAAAAAATTAAGTTTTTTTTAAAACCGTAAGCTACGATTTATAATATTAACCTCCCGCTAGGGCCTTATCGGGGCTTAAAAAGAGCGAAAATTTACTAAGTCCGCTAATTATTAAGTAATAGAAATTGCGTTTTCTAAAGTTCGTACTTAGTAATTAAAAAGAGGTTTTTTATATTAATAATATTAGTTTATATAGCTCGCTATACTTATATTACTAACTAATATTAAAATAAATATAGTCTTCTTAACCTCTATTTACTTTTTTTTATTATTTTAATAAGATAATATTAAAGTAACTTTATTAATTAATATTATAATAAGAGAGATTTTTTATTTTAAATATCGTTATTTTTAAAATAGTATTCGGGTTACTAAATAGGTTTCTCGCACATTTTGCCTAGTTATTTCTTATTAATAATAGCTCTCTTCGTTCTAGGTCGTATTTTATTAAGGATATTATTTTTAAATTTATTATACTTTACTCTCGCTAGGCTTATCGATATAGTCTTCTCTTTATAATATATATTTTTACTCTTTACGTTAGTATAAGAGCGGCTTTTTAATAATAATTCTTATAATATATAATAAGTATCAAAAGAGGTAATAGTATTTTATATATACTTTTTCTCTTAAGTCCTTTTACTAAATATAAACTTAGCCGTTTATAATTTAGTTTTATATACGTTTTTAACGCGTTAAGTATTATTAATATTATATTTATATTAAGTTAATAATATTACTATTCCTCTAGTAAGGTAGCCTTCCGTCTTTTTATTAATATTTATATAACTAAGTAACTTTTACTTATTAAATAATAAATAGATAACTATAATTATATATAATAAAATAAATTGTTCTAAGAGGCCGAATAATCTAAGGGCGTTAAAATTACCCCCAGATCCGCCTCTAGGTACTATTAAAAAGTAGTAGTAATTATGCTTATTTTCTTTAAGTATAAAGTGTGCTCTAGCACGGTGCTAATGTAGCTCTACTGATTACATAATAATACACAGTGTGGGTGTGGGTGGTGGTACCAGCTTCTCAGCCCCCTGGCCATTGGCACGTGGCATCGCAGACTACATCGTTGATCTTCGAAGTCGCTCGTCAAACCGGCCGCGGACGAGAGCTGTCAAGTTACGTGCATTAGCAAAGAGTCACATGTTGATGGTGGCAACCTGTCGGGTTACTTATCTTTTTTGAACGCGTGGCCAAGACTGGACTGTCTTGACCACCAAGCCCCCTGCCTACTAATTGAAGTTCACCGCGTGGTACCCAGAAGGGCGTGTACGACCAGCGATGAAGCCTGTAAAGGCAAAAAGTTCCAAAAATTTCCGTCGGGTGCACAGGCCTGAGCTCACACTCAGGATCTTGGGCCCATTACAGTCCCAAGAATCTAAGGACTTGCAAGGTAGGCGTACTCGACACCGCCGCGGATCCGATTCACAATGAAGTCGGTCAACCACCTCGCGACGAAGACAGCGACGACTCGGGAATCTACGTGCCGAAGCCCATCGACCCCAAAGAGGTGCCGGAACATGCGCTCAATCGCCATCCTTAGCACGGGCACGAGCACCCAAAGAAGAATGCAGTCGAGGAGGGGGGGGAGAATAAACATATTAATATCGTTACGATGGGTGTAAGTTGCTCTCGGTGAAGAAGAAAGGGAGAAGAAGACAGAGTTCGATGGGGACAGGCGAGGTTTTGTACAGGTCAAGGACCTAGCAATGCCCCAAGGAAAGAGCATCTCGCGAGCACTCGGAGTAGCCCAGCTTGGGTATGGGAAGGAAGGTCTCTGGCACGAAAGGAAAGACTGGTTCCAAGTGGGAGGAAGGCACGCATAGCTTCTTTATTGCAGGAGCCGTCCCCAACACCTACTTGCCGGGCACATCCCAATTCGTCGGAGGAAGGTAGGGTACGGTACGGAAAGTCTTATCAAAGTAAGGAACCCACAAAACCCGCGTAACTCCCCTTCTTGTCAAGGGAGGCAGCCGGCCTGGGTGTGACTGCAAGGTCGACCTTGAGGGCTCTTGCTTAGAGCTAAGCGTACCTCCCTCAAGCAATATTCCAATGTCGCAGCTTCCAACTAGATTGACAGTCAGTTCCGGCGGCAAGGACGCCAGTCAAACCTGTCTGCTGCTGACGAGACAAAGGGACTGTGGTGGATGTAGATGTATCGTCGGCCAGAGCTGAGAGTTGGCGGGATGGCGGGGTCGCGTCAAAAGGCATCACGCCGTGTATTTGGCGTTTTGCAAATCTCCATGAAGATCGTTGCCAAGCGTTAGCGACCTTGAGGAGCTCCGTCATGTCGCCAAGAATCTGGTGCAATGTGGCGATTCTATCAAGAAATATCGAATGGAAAAGGTTAGTAAGAGTTAGGTAAACCAGTAGATACATGAAAACTTACCACACAAATCAGAAACCAGGTGATAACAAGTATAACTGGAGGCAGAAACGCAGCTTTTCGTAAAAAAGTACGAGGTACTCTTGAAATACTCGAAATACCGAGAAATAGGTACAGTATAAGAGAAAAGCTGACCAAGTTAACAAAGAAGCAGCTTTCTATTCCTTGGAGGGGACAGGGCCCAGGCGAGAAGAAGCCGAATTGAGGAGGGATGCGTAAATAACCCGTTTGAATCTCGAAGCATCGCTCGCCGAGAGTTCGAAACAACGGCTTATTGTAGTCTCGAATAGGATCAGTGGCGAGAGCCCATCGATAGATCTCATAACTCCCATCTGTTAGGAGGGCGAAAGTTGCGCTGTCCATTGCCAGGCAATCCTGGAGCCTAGATCCAGACTTGAACCTTGTGTAAGGTAAGCAATTGGGGTGCGTTGATCTTGAATTGAAGAACAGGATAAAGGCAGGGTAGCCGTTGTATCGCGAAAGTGTGATCTTGATTGGGACGTATTAGGGGTCGAGGAACGACGATGTCAGAAACCTTTAGTGGGAGGCTTTAGTAGGGACGATGAATGGTTCGGAAGTGCGTGTACATGAAATGCTTTGGCAGGATTCATCAACAGACTGCTTATTTATAAAGGCCTGCCGCTACCGTTGTGGCCGATTCTGTCGTGTAAGCTTTGGACATTGAAAAGCTTAACGCTACCACGTTTCGCGTGTTGTGTCTTGTCCATAGTCACCCCACGTTACAGTAATCCAATCGTCGTGCTTAGGGCCTTGAGGGCCAGGGCGAAGTCATCTCTAGACAGCGTAACTTACCTGACAGCCATCAGGGTTGTTGTTGAGAAGTCTCCTTCAGCCACGTTCTCACTACTAGGTGCTTGAAGAGTATGGTCTCTGATAGGGCAGGCTACCTTGAAAAGGGTCTGTATATTGAATGTATTATGAACTGTGTATTTCGTTCAATGCCTGTCGAACATAAAGGACGACTACATGCTTGGAGGTCCAGATGGACTGTGCCTCCCCTAAGCATGATGAGAAAAGCAGATCCATAAATGGGCAAATGGAAAAACACATTCCAAATGGCAAGAGATTGGATTTTGCACCACCCTATCTAGTAAAGGTGCCTTGAAGCGGCGGGTCATTCGGCTACACCTCGCCGGCAGAGTGACCATATAAGCCGAGACACCCGTTTTTAGATCTTATAACGAAGCAAACGACGACAAAGCGACGGATGCCTTCTATCTCATAGACCACACGTTGATTGAGCAAGCTTTACAAGCGCTAGAGAGCATGGACATGAAACTACCGATAGTAACATCACGGGACCACCCAAAGCCGAGAGTTAATACTTCGAAAGTCGTTCAGCAAAACATCATCAAGATATTCACCACACAGAATCCAGTGTCCCAGAAGAGAATGCTCGCAGTTTCACGAACTCCGTCAAACACACGCTTCTATTTCCGCACAAAAGACGCAGCGCTGTTTCGTGCCATGGAAAAGGGTCTTTTTGACGGATCATCCTTGAGTGAAGTTTCTCAAGAAGGCTGGGATAAGATGATCGAAGTCTGGAAGAACACCGTCGACTGTCAGAAGCTGCATGAGAATAATACCGATGTCGATTGGAACGAGCCGCTATGCTTTGCATTATCGATTACCATGGCGCGCAACCAGAAGTCAATGAATACCTGGGTACCGGAAGATATGTCAGAGCACGCTTTGACATTTTTACTTGAGAGATCATCCGACAACGGGTTGTTCCCAGGAGAACTTGATCAGCAAGGCTCGCCTTGCATGTAAAAGGACGAGTTTGCACGAGACAATTTATGGGGAGTTACCTTCGAAGTCCCGTACCTTCTTTGGAAGCACTCTTCTTCTCTCGGGGTCAAGCCTGAAATTGTCAAGGGTTCCCAAGACACCAGTCCGACAGACGATACGAAGTCCCAAAGCTCCAAATCTTCATCTCCGCCGGAATTAACAGGAATATTCTTTCACTTCTCAAAGATCTCACGCAACAGAACCGAGAAAAAAACGACAAGAAGGCCTCTAGTTCTTCTATGAAGCACCACTTCCCGTTCGGCAATACAATAAAGCTACGAAACATTGTCGAGCTCGAAGACGAATGGCTGTACAAAAAACCCCTCTTTTTCAGCCAAGGTGCTTTGAACATGCCAAAGACAACTGATGACACGCCTATTCTGGGTGTTTTGATCGATGTGCCCAAGGCTGGCAAAGGAGCAGAGGCTAGGAAGGAAGACTCTCGGTCGGTAACGATATCTAGGGTCAGCACAATGGAAAATCTTTTGGACCGGAGGCTCAGAACGCCCAAAGATGCCAAGAAAAGACTCTGGGCCATGTTCTCCGCTGGACCGGATGATATCACTCATTGTGAGAACACTGCTGGACCAGATCCCATTACGCAGCACCAGATGGCCAACTTCCACCAGAGCCACAAATCTTTTGAAAAACATTTTGAAGAGGATACTGTGCCAAAGATGAATACATGGACGACTGAGCTTCACTTGTCATTCTACGACATTCTTGAGGGAAACAAATCTCAGAAAGAACCGCAGGATACAGGGGATCTAAGCCTGCCGCCTACAGAAGCAAAGCTTGTCGATACCTTCCTGACGAGAGTTCCCGCAAGCTGTCAGATTGAAAGGGACTTTTTTGATCGATACTGGTCCTGTCGCTACTGGAAATTAGATCAACACGATAAGAAAAGCGACGGCTCACATACGAACAGTCTTGATGTAAAAGACATAGAACTTTTACTAGCAGAGGTTAAGAACATCCAGACAGAATAACACAAAACGAAGATGCTTCCAAAAGGGCTGAAGAAATCAGAACACATATCCGAACACATATCCGAACACATATAAGAATTCTTCAAGACGATGACCACTCGTCAATCACGGATGAAGATCGTAGCCAGAGGTCCACAGAGCCTGACATGCATATCAGCAGGACTGTGGTCGAAGCGATGATGACTCTTATGCTCAAGACTGAGAAGGAACCCACGGCTCAAGATTTACAGAAAGGTCCTTGGCAACAAAGACGAGTCCTGGAGCTTTTGCTCGTGAGGAGAATACTCAAAAAGATGCTCAAAAGCTCGGACAAAATCCTGAAGATGGCTCGATCAAGCATAGAAAAGGTGAACTCGCTGGCTGTCGAGCATAATAAACAAGGTGATTTCGACAAATTTGACTTCAACGACTTTCGAGTCGCCCGTAGGTGTTCCAGCAAGTTCAAGACGTCCTTCAAGTGGTAGAAGGAGATCTGGCGGAGAATTTGGCACAGATGGAGTTATGGCGCACTCGGGAAAAAGACCGTCAGGCAGAAAAGCCGCGATGGACCTTGAACGACGAAAACCGCTACCGAGTTATCATTGTGAAACTGCGTGTTTCGAATGAACACGATGTTCAGAAGCTGAAGCGGATTCATCTGGAAATTGCGAGCTTGAATGAGCTTCTTGCGACAAGGTTAGAGGTCATGCGGAACGATCTGGAACAGCGTCGGGCGAACGACACCCAGAAGTTTACCTACGTTACTGTCGTGTTTCTACCTCTAGGTTTCGCAACTGGGGTGTTCAGCATGAGCGGTACACCCCTCGTTAGCATGGTGTTCACCGCGATCGTGTCTTTGGTTGTCACTGCGCTGATGCTAGGTGTCACGCAGGCGTTCGACTCTAGGACACTCACCAAGTGGCGAAAGCAGGCCATTGAGGCTGAATTTGCATTCCCCAAGAACTTACAGACCATACAGAACAAGAAGAAGCTGGCGGACCCGGAGAGGGCAGACGCTTCAAGGTTGGGTGGTGGGGCTGGGGCTTCGAGAGAACGAAGAGCTTCGCTGGAGAGGAGAGCTTGAGAGCCTGGTGCCCGTCGCAGCGGTTCATAGATTGACCAGAGTCTTTGCTGGTTCGAGAAACGTAGCTTGATTGGTTTAGTTGGTCATTCTGTATTCCACACGCTGCAGTTGTTCACCTGGGGTTCCCGTAATCGCGTTTCCCTTTGTATCGTTGGTCTTTTCAATTGATTTACTCAGGATACGATGCCACTTCTCTGTGCATTTGATGCTCCGACTGCATTCCCATAACTACATGTAACACCTCTGGCCTCCTAATTCACCACTCTCATTCCACAACTAGCCCAAAGAATTTGTCTTCCCCCAGCAGGGCAATGGAAGAACAGGTGATTGCGGCGTGATATGTAAAGTCGATACTGATGTCGGTTGCGACGCAGCAGTGACTCGGGCTGTTGGCCCGCGCCTCAGCGCTGCACCGAGCTTCTCCCTTCTGACGCGAAGGGCACTTCAACACCCCAATGCCAACATCGTTCGCAAGGAAAAGAGACTCGTCTGTCCCAATTATAAGAACCTCTTTCAATACGTGTGAAATCGGCTCGCGTCACTGTCTTCGTAACACTCGGTTCTGATGCTAATGGCCTATCGGGATAGACGGAAGAACCTCGGCCTCGCCCATAGCTTAGTCGACCGAACAACTCTACTGTCACCGAATTTGATAAGCCCTCAATTCAATACCATCATTATTACCATCCGTAACAAATCGAAGTCCATAGTACGAACGACCTGTATATAATCCAATCAAACTATCGCTCAGAATGGTCCGTAGGCCAAAGTTTTCTTCTATTGAGTTGACGATCTCTGGGAATAGTTCAACATTTCTAGAGAGGTTGATCATGGGACATCATTTCCTGCTCAAGACCATCCCAAATAACATCTAGGACACATTTGGGAGCCCCTCAGAGGCAGACCCCGCGTTGCGCCTCCCCTCACCTTCCCCTGCCCAGCCAAGCTGCATCTAGTACTATCCCTTAAAATGGCGTGATGGGGTCAACATGGCTGGCGGGAGGCAAGGGATATTGACAGCCACCCACGTTGCAATCACAACGTAGGGATTGGTGGAAAACGAGGGCGCAGGCGACGCTACGAGCTAGCTCGCGCGGTGAATGCAAGCGCTACAGATGATGTCTTCCCAAGAGGAGGAAAGCATGAAGAGCTTAAGCATAACCAATTGTCATGCTCTCACGAGGGGTCTCTTCAGGTCTCTACAGGAAGAGCCAGAGGAGCCAGCCCCGCGGATACCTACCGATCTAATGCAGCGGGAGGCGATGGGTTCTCTCTCGAGGAGAGCCGGCTGGGGTGTCCGCACCGGCGCCTTGGAGGCGGAGGGTCCAGAATCCAAAGCACGCAAGCACTCAGCTGCCGGCTTGCCCGGTGATCTCTCATCCCGCGAGAATAATCTGCCGCAATTGCGAACTATCGCCAATGGATGTGTTCCAGCCTTCTCTTTACACAGACTAGAGCGGCACACTTCTTGATCCCGAGGAACAGATATCGAGCTACCTTGGCCCTGCGTTGGCTTCCTGCAACTCTTCTGCAAAGGAAACTTTTGATCACACCCGGCGACTTGGTAGCCAATTCGCAATCGCCTCGCTTCTGACGGTGCTGGGCGAAGAGAGGAGACATCCGATCACGCGGTTCGGATTGGGCTCCGTACCCTTCAGGTGCTGCCGCGTAGCTCAGGTGGGAAGTCGGGACGGTTTCTTCCAAAGACATTAGGCAAAAAAATGTCGAATCTTTTGCCATCTCGTTTCTGACAAGCGTCGCAATCATCGGCCAATCCAATTAGCAATACCACGCGCGTCCGGCACTGTTGTTCAATTTCGGCGGCGTCAGCTTCGGCGCTTGACTCGTAAAGGGGGTTCGTCACTCCGTGTTTGACTGCTGTCACTCGCAAGTCGCAGAGCAGAGGAGACGACACGTCTTGGCAAATCAATGCTGTTGCGGATCTTGAAACCATCCAATCGCCCATGCTTCAGGTACGACGGTCTTGGCGTCCCATCGGGGCATCCGGCGGAAACATGAAGACAAGAGGGAAGACGAGGCTGCGAAAAAGGATGTTAGAGAGCTGAATTTCGGCGGGACTCCGCAAAGAATTGGGACCCTTTGGAGTTGTCCGCCTTGACAAGCGTCTTGGGAGATGGAGACGAGAGGAGTACCCTCACCCAAAGTTGGCTCGCCGGCCGTCGATCTCGGGCGTCGTTAGTCCTCCGTATTCCGAGTACCACTCTGGGAGAGTCTGGGGTTCCGTTTCTTGAATACGATGCGACGGCGCTGGCCAAGCAGCTTAGCAGAGCGGCGCCGTTCCCAGTGAGCGCATCCGTATCTCTGTTACTGCCAATGAGACTTGAGCAGTTCAGCTGGGCAAAAACACCACAATTTCTTACGAGACCAGATCTTTGACGATGCGCCGCCTGACGTGGCCATGCATCGTGACGAGGAGCAGGGAACATCGCTACCACTTTCCGGCTGACGTCAAAGCCGCCCCGCGGGAGAGAACCATGTCTCGTCAGCTCATGGATTGCTCCATGTGTCTCAGTCAGAGAAAATCAGTTATCCCGAAGATGGTGAGAGTGCTGTCTTGGGTGTCCCACACCGGGCCCGCTCAAAGGCGACGAGCGTCATCTCCCCAGATATCATCGCGCACCTTCAGCGTCGCATCGCAGCTGGGGAGCGTTTGCTTCAAACTTCAAGGTGGTCTGGAAGAACAAAAAACAGGGACCTGTCACTGGATGGAGCTGCAGGCTGACGAGCGTTTCGGTGTAGTTGATGAATAAACGTCGGCTGATTTATCTGCACAATTGACAAAAGTACATACAGAGTAGTAGAAAAAAGCCTCTTCCGTTGGTTGTGCTTCTAGCCGTCGATCATGAACCTGAGCTCAGCGACTTGCATCGGCAATGTACTCTGCGGTCAGTCAAGCGGTCAGGCTGCCCGGGAGGTGGGCAAGATGAGATGCCGCGCCGGGTCAGCACATACCTCCATCCATCTTCTTCTCGTCTCTTTCGCCTCCCTTGCGCCCGACTATTGCTTGCTTCAGAATGGACTCAACCAGCGGTTGAGTGATCGCGGACAGTGATGCGAGAGAAACAGAACCAACAAAGCGATGCCCGCGATGCGACGTACGACACGACGCGGGGTTCCGGCAGGCTGGGGTATTCCTAGTCTACTGGGTCTTCTGGGGTCCTCTAGCTTTTTACAGCCAAGACCCAAGCATCTTGGCTTCCCCCTCTAAAGATGGAAAAGACGAAAGATTGGGATCCCACGTCCCCTGTAGGATACGGGTTGCGGCGGCGTCGGAGACTTCTCATGGAGCACTGGGTTGGTCCCAGTATAATGGTTCCTATTCTACCGGCCCTGTCTCTCCAAGACTCTCCAAGACCAGATTGATTAAGCAACCACCCCCAGTCACAGGGCCTGTCAAGACTTCAGGACAGTCCCAAGAATCGAACTCTATCAGCAGACCTCGCTCAACCTGCACGGCAGAAACGAGTTCGTCCCTTTTGTCGCGCCGTGAATCGTGGCGCTGCGCACTATGCTTGTTTCAGCCTCTGTCTCCGAGCACCGGCCATTTAATTCTCGCTCTCTATAGCTTTTGTGTAGGGTGTCTAGACAGTTTGGACATAGGCTGCGGACGACGATGAAGCGGGCTCTGCATAGGTCTGCAGCAGTAAAGCGAGGAACGCAACGTGAACAACTCCCGACGGTCCTCGAGGACATGCGTTTCCACGGGGCGCAATGTGGTGAACAGGGGTCCTTTTCTGACCGGTCTGTCAGCAGCTGCATCATGGGGAGCACTCCTCTCTTCTCTCACTCAACTTTTCTCAAGCTCTTATTCAACGAGTCCGGCGGTCGCATTGCCAAGCCACTATGCACCGAGAGACCCGATCATGACAGGGGACCATCAGAAAGAAACTGTCAAGGAAGGCCTGGGCCGCTGAGACTCGGCTTTGCTGTCTGCCCATCTTCTCTGATGGGGGGTGAACAACAGCAGTAGCTGACGGACGAGACCACGACAGGCCAAGCTTCATCGTCACAACATGACAAGTTCTGAAGGCGGGAAGCGCACTCGTTGCTCAATGCGCCTAGGCGGCGGCGCAGGAAGAGAAAGAGAGAGCCAAGATATCGTCGTCTTACGCGGGGCCATTCCGATATTTCAGGGTTCTCGAGGTCACGCTGTACGGCGTTCATAGGGCCATGAGGTCCCATCCTACGAGAATTGACGACACCCCCCAGTTCCTGCATCGCAGCAAAGTTCCACGACGTCCTCGTATTTCACTCCCGGCCGAGAGATGGGTTCCCATAAGAGCTTTGGACGATCGCCATCCAGAGAGACTCCAGAGAGCCCATCTGCGAGCCAGTCGCAGTCTGCGGTTGGGCCTTGGCACACGTCCCTGGTGCATTGGGCATGCCTGGCTTAAGTTCAGAGTCAACAAATGGAAGACAAAAAGTGAGAGCATGCGAACAGGTTCATCCTCTCGCTCAGCTACTCAGCAACTCAGCTCCGTTGTCGTCTTACCACACCAGCCAGGGGTCGTCCCCTTCTCCTTCGTCCACTTCCGTCCCTCCCTCTTCCAAGTCCATCCCCCCCCCCCCCCCCCCCCCCCCCCCCCACCCCCCTCTCTCCCCCCCCCCCCCCGGGGGGCCCCCCCCTCCCCCCCCCCCCCCCCCCCCCCCCCCCCCCCCCCCCCCCCCCCCCCCCCCCCCCCCCCGCGCGCCCGCGCGCGTGTGCGTGTGTGTGTGAGACACAAAACTGTGAGCAGCGTGGCAGCTGGGTACTATGAAATGCTAAGCGCTTTCCGTATTCCGCCCCAGGCAGACGGACAACGACTCGCACTAGCACGATGTAACTTAATCCTTAGCGCAGAGCCCTACTGGGAAGCGACGTCGAGGTAATCGGCGGGACGATCTATGGTTATCCGCGAGGGTGGAGAGGTTGGCAGGCATTCGGATCCCCAGCCTCCACGCTTCCGCAGCCCGTGGTGGTATTCCTGGAAATCCTGGAGACGATTGACGGCCCTAAGGGCAATTAAGCCCCAGAGACATGGCAGAGAGCCAGAGAGAGAGCCTCGTTCGGCATTTCTCCGTCTTTGCTATTGCCGGATCACCTCAGCACCAGCAGTACCGCGCCACAATGCAACAGTCTGTGTCGTTGCTGTTGCTGCTGCCTCCAGTATTGAGCGAATCGAGTCGCCTTTCTTTCTCGGGCCGTTTACTTTCCATCTGCAGAAAGCACACGCCTTTCTTCTGCGACGAGGTCCTGGTTCCCGTGCTGCGACGAAAGGGGGCCCCTTCGATTCTTCGAGGGGAACCCCTCGTTACAGTATCGGAAACACATTTTCATTCTTTCTCTCTCGTCGAGGACGCGCACCTCGTTTCTGTCCATTTTGGCGTCTTCGTCTTCTTCTGGGCGGAAAAAGACCCCCAGCCTCGAAGAAAACACCACATGCGCGGCCTTTGTCCCGCAACGGCGCCCCAATAGCTTTGCAACCAAAGCAAGACAAACCTCAAAGGTCCATCCCGAGACAGTATCGAGCGGCGCTTGTGGCTGACTCCACCCCGTTTACCTCTGGCTGAACGCTCGCAACTTGGTTCGTCGTGGGCGTAAATAGGTCTGCGCGAAAAGCTTACCGTTTTGCTTGGCACCGTTCACGCCATATCCCAGCCATCTCCGATGTGCTGCCCAACCTGCCTGGTTTTTCCATCTTTCGCTGCTACATGGACATTATGGCGCTCTGGTTGCGCCGCCGTTCGGGCGAAAGCAACTGATACCTTTTTTCGAGCAGGAAACCTGGTCGAGGATGACAGAATGACAGACGTCTCGAGCCAGCGCTCGAGCTGTTCCCTTCCATCCACATCCCGAAGTACCTACATGCGTTACGATTTTCCTTTTCCTTGCTGGTCGCCTCTCTTTTTCTCTTTTTGCAAAATACCCTGTTCTGCGTCTGCCTACAGGAGGGTGATCCCTTCCGTCCAGTCAGCTTACATGCCTCCAAGCCTCTTGACGTCAAAATGCGCCGGGGATCTTCTCCCCCCACGGCACATCATCAGTCCCCGTCGTTGCTCTCAAGTTACCCTGCCCATCATCATGACTAAAGTACCGTGGTTCGTATCGGAGCCTCATCGGGTGCTATTCCTCGTGCCCGCCAAGGCTCTATGGCAGCCTAGGGCTGAGCGGCCAGTCCGTCGTAAGGACGATGGCACGCGAAGGACGAGGGGCAAGCAAGTGCTGCTGCTGCGCGATCCGAAAGGCGGGATGGATGGATGGATGGATGGGGCACCGTCTTTGGTCCGCAGTCGTCCCGTTTTCTCAAACCCACTCCCACGATGAGGCAGGTTGACTATCCAGTCCGTCCACCACCCCGCCGCCAGGCTGTGCCGTGCGGGTTCTCTACCTTCTAGCGGATTTCTCATTAGACTCTATTCTAGGTACGGAGATGGGTCGACCCATACGTGAACTCTTGGCTTGGGCCCAGCTTCAACTCTGACCGTCAACTGTTCCATGTTTCCCTGTTCAAACCAATCTCCGTTGCGTCCCAAGTTTGGGTCATATAAGTCGTCTTTTCCCCCTCCCCTTCTACCCAACCTCTCGACTCTACTTCATCCTACATCCAGCACTCACAGCCAAGATTAATCAAGCATCTTGTAGCTTAATATCTACTCACGTCCGAGTCCCCCAGTCTCACTGACATCTCATCCTTCCCTGCCACTCAACCTCCCCCTACTCATCAGCCAACCGATACCATGCATTTCTCAACTGTTGTTGGCGCCGCTGCACTGGCTACCCTCGCCAACGCAAGGTAGGTTCCCGCATACCCTTCTTGGCCTCGGACACAGACATGAAACTAACATCACTCTCACAGCCCTCTCGTCCGCCGTCAAGGTCCCGCCGTTGGCCAGGTTATCTCCAAGTGCACACAGAACGGCGTCGTCGCCCTCACCTTTGACGATGGCCCCTTCACCTACACCTCCCAGCTGCTCGACACCCTCGCCGCAAACAACGTCAAGGCTACCTTCTTCGTCAACGGCAACAACTGGGGCAACATCGAGACGGCACCCGGCCCGGACAACATCCGCCGCATGAAGGCCGAGGGTCACCTCATCGGTTCCCACACCTACTCCCACCCGGACCTGAGCACCCTCTCCTCGGCGGACCGCATCTCTCAGATGACCCAGCTCGAGGACGCAACCCGCCGTATCGCCGGCTTCGCGCCCAAGTACATGCGCGCGCCGTTCCTCTCCTGCGACGCCGCGTGCCTGAGCGATATGGCCAGCCTGGGCTACCACGTCATCGACACCAGCCTCGATACGAAGGATTACGAGAACGACACCCCCGAGACCACGCACATCTCGGCTGAGAAGTTCAACAACGAGCTCAGCGCCGACGCCGCGGGCAACAGCTACATTGTTCTCTCCCACGACGTCCATCAGCAGACTGTCGTCTCTCTGGTGCAGAAGATGATCGACAACCTCAAGTCCAAGGGCTACCGCGCCGTCACCGTCGGAGAGTGCCTCGGCGACGCTCCCGAGAACTGGTACAAGGCCTAGAGTCCCTGTGCCTCGTGGTGAAAGTTCGTGAGAAGAGTGAGAAATTGGTAAAAATGGCATGGAGCATCGCATTGAGAATTTCTGGACAAGGTTTCTTTGGATTACACTTGCTTGTTCCGCCGGCTATACGTACATACACACATGGGTGGATATACCAGGGACACCCCATCGGCGCACGTCATTTCGTGGAGATACCAATGTTTAATCAAATTACTAGTACCTCGTATAAGTCTTTCAGCGTGTTTGCGTCGTGCATCAGTCTTTAACCCCCGGCCACTCATCAGTGTCTTCCCGCCCGGGCTGATGGTCTCAATTCTCGTATAAGTCAGATAAGGCAGCCCCGCCACCACGTTGTCTTCACAACCTAAGACTACACCCGCCTTGAGACCACAACCCCGACACCTCTGCATCTCACTCTACGCAATTCATTATGAGACCATCGTGTACCGTTTCACTTCCATCGATGAGTAGGCAATCATCTCAGTTCGCTTCGGTCCGGTGGCTCATCTGATAAGGCGTCTGACTTCGGTTAATTTCGCGAATAGAGAAATCCCCGTGGATTTTCGGGATCTTATCAGAAGATTGCGGGTTCGAGCCCCGTCTGGATCGAATTGATCAAGTACTGCCTGGTGTCAGCATATGCGTGACTTGAGTTCTTCTTGTTTTCTTTTCTTTTAACGCCAGCGAAGGATCGTATGGTCGTAAGGGTTTAATTAGACTTTTAGGTTCTGATGGTGTTGCGGGAAGTCTCATGGTTGACCGACTTTTGCCTTTCTTTGTCTTGCACATTCTGTCAGACCGAAAAGACGCCCCTCAATGTAATTATGTACCGTACACACATATACTAAGGTAGTCCTAACCTCTCGCCTGGATCTTACTCTTGAGCGTGTTGAGCCCACGATTCCACGAAAGCCCTCGGGGCACGCCGGTATGCATAGGAAAGGCAAGTAAGTGACGAGAAATCAACAGAATAGTATTTGATGCGCATTCAGGAAATATAGCGCATTAGACCTTGACTTCTGAGCTTCTTCATCTGAAGTTGCTCACCTGCCGATCGCAGAGCTAATGCGCTGTTCCTGGTGGCTTGGAAGGAATCTGACCCGTCAGGATCCCATGTGCTCCCTCACACATGTCTCACGTCGCTCGAATCAGCTATATCTCGAGCGTGCTTACCATAAGGCTCGGACGCTAGCTGCTTCCGCCCGCTCATATTTTCTGTGTGTTATGATTTAGGATAGGCGTAGAGAACCCGAAGATGACAGGCTACTGGGGCCTTTCTCTTAGTACCTACAAAGAGTAAGTCAAAATACTCAAGATTTTCGCCAAGACACAGCTCAGTAGGTTGAAAGATTATCTGAAAAGAACTTGAGCATGGTTAAGAGACTAGTCTATATCAAATGTCAGATTATACAGATCAATTGCCTTCCTTCGAGATACTCTTCGCAAGGGAATTCGTTCTCTCCTTCTTGCCGAATCAGAGCGTTTTACTTTGCTGGCCCAGTCAACAAATGAGCTATTTCAAGGCGGCGAAAAAGGCACCTTTCCTTGTCCTGCATTTCGAACAATAACATTGAAAGCTCGTAATCGTATATTTCATCGGTCCGCTCATGGTTTCAAGGTCAAAACCGTGAACCTCTTGACACTTAGCAGGCATGCAGTGCAGTATTGAGTTGTCGTTCTGCTCGTCAAAATTGTCATGGAACATATCCAACTTGACGTGGTTCTCGCGTTATTCCTCTCTAGGGTTTAGCCCGTTGACTACTACGTTCCAGACTGGTTTATGATGGTCATCGTCTCTCCTGTGCGGCCCTTCGCGACGGTAAAGTTTCATTTGCTTCAATACACCCCACAAACGTAGCCACCCACCAGAGATTAGGCCGGTCTTTTCGTCAGTTACGTACTCAATTTGGTAATCCTCAACCTTGATGAGCTAATGATCGGGCTTATACAGTCTGCCTGGTGCGACAGGAACGTCTACGGCGGCCCAAGACTAACTGGGAGCCCTATAGGCGAATAGGCGATAGGCGGTGAGCCAGAAGGAGTAGACACAGCAGGCACTCTCCAAAGGAGCTTCGATTCTAGATGGCGACGCCACATGCCTGCGATGTGTTCATCTCCGAGCACCTTTATCATCTCCTTAGCTATTGCAAAGAGAGCAATCATTCTGTCGCTGGGGAACGTGATCTTGCAGTCAGTGTATGTGACTACGATTTCGGACCAGCAATCGTATGCTTTTCGTGTGCTTTTCGTCTTTCCGCGGGCTCCGTTGTCGCCAAGCTGAAGATCCTCGATACGCGGACCTTCGTAGGGATCCTTGACAGGAATATCCGGGGGCCATATCTCCGCCGCACGACCTGACCGGCAACTCCAAAACACCTGACGCTCGCCGAAAGACACAACACGCCGAGAAACAAGGAGTTTTTGAAATACCCATGCCCTGGTGTTGACATGGGCTCGCCTGGCCTCCTCCTCCCAGAAATTCGCATCGACCAGATAACATGGATTTGTCTGACCTCCGAAGGTGTAGTGGTTAAGTGGTGGTCGGCAAGAATCGACGTCCCGCCTGTAAATAGGGAATTTGAACTGTCCAGTCCAGACAGAGCCGACAAGTTGCAGAATGCGTGAGAATACACCTTATCCATCAGGGTCGACTCGTGTCGCCAGTCGGCCAAGCCACCTCCCGTTTGAATGATGCAGAGAGCATCTATCCAGAGATAACGTACACCAAGTTTCCGAACAAAACAAGCTGCATCTCGATAAAGACGTGGTAGGCTCTCTAGAGGAATGCCTTCCAAAAGCTCGGCGGCGTTGCTCTTGGTCAGAATGAGACTGTTTGCGCTTCCCCAGCAATGACTTAAAGTCATATAGGGGCCATGAGGAGTTTCATCGCCAGTGTTGGTAATGCGGCAGACAAAACTCGATGTATCCAAGGGACCAATATCAATGAGGCGCGTTGGATACCACTTTGGATCAGTGGCAACTTCTCTGCACTTCTCATGATTAACTTTGCAATCTCGGAACCACGAATCCACGTGAGCAAAAGTCTGCTGCGATGAAGTGCTTTCAGAATATGTCTTGAGCGAGTAGGTTTGAGAGGAGCCTACAAAGCGGTCAGTCAAACCCGTTTTTAGCCTGAGTGACAATCTTCCTAATACAGACTAATAGAATAGACATGATAGTTCTCTTCAGTCTTTACAATGAAATGGCGTTCCCGTCAGGTTTCCTATATACCGATGCAGGGAATGCGTCTGAAAGATGCTTCCTGGTAATACCGCCGTAGTCTGGGAAAGTCCATAATGGGAAGGCTTGTGGATTGGCGAAAATTCGAAAGAACTCTTCACCCTCATATCCAGGCTTCTCGTAGGCCCGTAAGGCGTGTGTGATTGACATCGGACTGAGGATCCATCTTTGGTGATCTATGCCGGGGTCACTACCAGTTTCCACGCCTACGCTGTGAGAAGCAATTGGAGAATTAGAAGCTTCACCGCGGATCCAGTTTCTTGCGTCATGAGGCAGAATTACCCACAACCGATTACATACATAATAAACGGCTTTAACGGCACACTCGAGACTTCGGCAGGTCTTGTGATGAGATGTAGGCCGCTTTTCTTCTCTTGTCATCATAGAGTCTATGAATTGTTGGCAAGCCGAGCACATCATCTTCCAGGCTTGAGACCAAGGGGTAAATACTGCCTTGTAACTGGAGACGACAAGTAGTAGCTCAATGCCCAGTAAGTGATAGAGCTATGAAAAGGTAAAAGACTATCAGTGGTAAATGATTCAACAGAAACGGTAAGGCTTTAAATATGTAACTGGCCACGGGTCGACTCACGGGTGACGGCCGCATATATCACTTAGCGCCGGCAATCAACAGGTTGATAGGCAGGTTGCATGAAACAAACCAGAGGCGGGCGTCTGAGTTGGCTATTGATTGGTCCTAGTACGAATAGTTCAGATTGATGGGCGGGCAGAACAACTTTCTTGCTTTGAAATGCGCCTAAAGAAGACATGACGAAGCTACCCTCTCTTGCTTTTCTCTTTAATCGGTGCCTCTACTGTTCACTATCATACTTTTAGTAATTCCTCGAGCTGAAATGACAGGTCCGCATGAGTCCTGGTTAAGGCTTGGCCAATCTCGTAGCCAACCATCGAGAGACACTGCTGTGCTTGTACCGGTATATTGCAGACCTTGTTTGAGCACAACAATTGATTCGTGTAAGATTGTATTGGACCATGAGTCTCAAGCATCATCTAAGACTTGATCTCACGAGCAGATGTCCTCGAGACTCCTTTCAGAGTGTGCCGGTCTGTCCACCTGCAGTACAAGTGGCTACCTCCCTTCCCTGATTGAGAACAGACTGCTCGTTGGGAGGAATAAACTGAACGCAGCGCCCGAATCGATCGCATTCGCCATCCTTGGCGCCTACAGAGCATGCCGTCCCAACATTTCCAAACAGAGCGCTGCCCTTTCCGTCGACGAAACTGCGCGGCACAGAAGCTATAATTTTCACGTGGTTAGCGAATTGTAACAAAGTATACCTCGTGTACTATGCAGGCGGTTTAGAATGGGATAGGAACTACCCACCTGCGAAAGCGTTGCCAACGGCAAAGGCGGCGACGGTCAAGAAGATGGCGGAGAACTGCATGGTGGTGGTGATAGGTGTAAATTGACGGAAAGTCGAAGAAATATGTTGATTATAATAGTTAACGTGCACCTGGCAGCAGTAGAAGAGAAAAGACGGATTGCGATGATTGGAAGTTGTTTGCTGAAGATCAATGTTGAATAATCGGAAATGAGTTTCCTTTATACGCAGTCGCGTCAAGGCAATATGACCCTCGTGCACTATAACATATGCATTCTAAGCTTATTTCTTACCTTCTTTTCCTTCCTCAGTCCTCGTGGAGTTGCAGTGCTGACTCCCTCATACGAGGTCGAGACGCCTGACATCCGCGACAGTGGGTTTGGCATACTGCTGGATGCTTGTTCTTCTATAGACAAGGGGTGGATAGGGCGATGGGCCCGTTGTTCAGCCTCTCGGTTTCGGTGTTAATCAGCGCAAGGAGCTGGCTCTTCTGGGTGATCGCTTGCTCTTCTGGGCTAAGCTACCGCCTAATCCTTCTTTTTCGTTCGTTTGATGATTTCTTGGCCCCGGATCCGCGGCAGACATGGCATTGGCGCGGGGAGCCCTACCGACGGGATGAATTCAGCCAAGGGCAACATGGATTCCTGAAACACCAAGTCTCCAGTTCACGCGCTGCCATAGGAGCTTGGTCGTACGTCTGGCAGCGGACACCTGGCCAGTAATTGGACCGTGCTGTTCAGAGATATGTGACAATAACTTGCTGAGTGGCACTCTAGGCGGGCATGCCGCAGGCGAGTTGTGGCATGACTGGGACAGGTGTAGACAGCGCCTCCCTACCTCCATACCATCATCTAGGCTCTGTAAAATATGGCACTGCTCCAAGGGGCTGTCTGATACAGGTTGTCTTGCGTGTGTCAAAGCGTTTCAAAATCCGGACGAAGCGGTGGGCTCGTAGTACGACACGAAGGGCTTATTTCTGGCAGCTGCCATCCAATACTATGCGCTCTATGTGCTTAGCTTTCTAAGAGCTTAGGCAGTCAAAATAAGGGACGAATCAAACTCTCAAGAGACAGGGCATTGCTTGTGAGGTTGTCGCATTGGACGACGGTGACCGATGGAACCCCGATGGCTTCGATGCATCGAGTCGATGGCTACATGCACGAAATCATTATTTTTCTCTTTTTGTGATGTCGTGATGACTTATCTGCTAGACAAGAGCCATGGCTGCATATCCTTAGTGAACAATGGTTACAGATCAATACACCTAGTGATTCCACTAGGCCGTGTTACTACATTATTTCTTCTATGCTGGGCTCCTACTACTGGGTTTAAGACTTCACGTGGTGGGACGGTGTTGATAACAATTAATAAACACAGTAAGTCCTTCAGAATACAGGGTTTGCCTTGCCATGGGATGCTCCTTCGATTAAGTCAATCTTGTATGCAGTTGGAAGACTGACACACTTGTGTCGGTTTCGCCTCTCCGTGGATCCCGCGGGTGCTAAACGAATTTTAGCAGACCAACACCCGCCGGCAGCCCACCTAGGCATCAGACAGGCAGCGTGAGCGGTAAGAGTAAGATACGGAGCACACCAGAATAAGACGCTGCTTAACATGGTTTCTTATCACCATACTATCTTGTCTAAGTTAAAAAGTACGTAGACAACGACCTTCTCCCTGTCAGCGCATAGTTACATTAGGCTGTCACATAGAGTATGAACAATCATTCATGGTCAACCCGTACAGGTACTTAGTAGCTAAAGCATACACTGCGACTCTCCCAATCCAACACCACAGGGTCCCAAAGCTGCTTCTCAACGGTCACGGAGGACTCGCCAAAGACAACATTACAGTCGACAACATGCCGTTGGTCGTTCGTGATACGACCCGTCGAAGCCATCGTATTCACCCACTCCATGATGACTAGGAATGCACTTGTGTCCCAAAGCCCGTCACGCCGAGGGAAGTCCTTGAAGAGTTTGACGATAGCATGTCTCACTCCAGGCATTGTGCACATGAGGAACACAGTACACAGAGGCCAAGTCGGGCCGTCCTCGATCGTGAAAATCTCTGTTGCCTCTGCACCATTCCGGTTCTCCGCATCGTGGACCTCGAGGAGCTGTCTGCTCATTGATATAATGTCCATGAATGCGGGCATGATGCGCTTGGTGTCCTCCACATCGGTCCAGCCGGCACAGCGTATCACGCTCCAGAGGTACAAGTAGTGTATTCTGAGGCTGATGGCCTTATAGTAGCTCTTGAAGTCCGCCTCCTTTTCGGTCTCTGCTTTGACGGCGAGCGGTTGGAAGGCAAGGTGCCAGGCGTCGGTGAAGCGTACAAAACTCCGGACGCGTGCTTGCGAGCTCGGCGAGGTGTACTCAAGCGGCGGCTTCTCTGGTAATGGAGCGGTAGATCCCTCAACTATGAACCCAGTGTATAGCGGTGCATGATGCTCGACGTGGTGGCGAACGACGTTCCACCAGCGGCGGGCAGCCTCCAGCGTCTCAAACTTCGTGGGCATTTCGTCGACCGCGTACCGCGTCTTGCGTCCGCGGCAACACCACGGTACTCTGGTCTTTGTCTCTTTCGGGTGCGCTCCGCCGTGAGTCCAAGATTGGAGACTCAGATACTGGAAGCTAGTCATTACTTCTTCTAGCAGGGGGCTCGAATCCGCGCCTTGGCTTGGTGGGCACTGGTCAAGGATGCGGGACCCGTGGTTGATGTGGTTCAATCCAGCTGCCTTGTTGCCTCGAAAGCACTCGAAGATGATGAACAAAAGACATGCTGTCAGCGTACGTTCGAGAGACATTGGTGTTGAGTAGAGGATGTTCATCGATTTCGTGTAGTGGAACAGAGCATCCGAGTCGAATCTACCTCGCCCGAGGAGACGTTGTTCTCGCGTAGTGGCACCTAGGGCCGCAGCGCCTACGGCCAAAGCTGCATGTTTAATGGCTGGATCGTTCCATGAGAGTTGCGGGATAATCTGCGTGAGCAGATCGGATCGGAACAGAATGGCGGTGTTGGTGAAGGATAGCCAGTAGTCGAAGTGGTCCTTCTCCAGCTGGCTCGAGAAGACGAGAGTCGAGTAGTTTGGCTCAAGAAGTACATCGAGGACTCTGCTCTTTTCTTGTTTCGGTTTTGGATACAGTAACCGATGCTTGGGTGGTAACTTGGAGGGCTTAGTTTTGGTTTCTTTGTAGCCTCCACAGTGGCCTTGGTACTTCAAGCAAGCCGCGCACGCTGGTCTGCCCTCGTCGCACTTGACGCGGCGAAGCCTAGAGGTGGCATGAGTATCACTACTACGATTGAGTAAGGCAGATCCTCTATATGTGACTTACTTGCAGGTGACGCAGCCACTGCGAACCTTTGGCTTGCTGGCTCGGACTTGTTGTGGTTTAGAGTCGAGGGCAAACTTTGTGATCATAGGGCGAAGATCATTCATGATGACTCGGATGGACAATCTGTGGCTGGATACTTTGCTGCGCTAAGCTGGTTTAACGCATGGTATGTGGTGCAAAAGTCACTCATTATATGCTAGTATCATAGTTTCGAGATGAAGAACGATGTCAAATAAGAGGCGAAATGATAGCCGGGATGGTCATCCTGAAGCGGGTGATGTTAACATTTTCGGTCGACCAGTAAGGGCTTGCCAGGGTTACCTCCGGCATAAGCACTAGCGCACGTCTGGCCAGATCAAACCATTATTACCCTACAGACACCTCGATAGCAACGCTGCAACGGGTCTCTTTTATTTTGCTGCCTGGCTCGGTTACGATCCTTCGAAACCCGGACCTGATTTTCGTCCAACGGCCTTTAAACCCGCTTTGGTACAACACCTCTCATAGCTGTGCTGAGATCCGGATCAGGATATATTTTTCATATTAGCGCTTAGTTCCGTTATTTCCACGTTGTCAGATTTCCGACCCCCATGTCGACTCTGCTAAAGACAACAAGATCAGAGTCCGAACCGTGTGGGGCCTGAGTTGTATCCAATACGATCCTATTAAGCGTGAGCCAGTAGATGGACATTAGCCTAACCAGCCGTCTTTGGCCTCAACATGTGACGATCCTGGTTCCCTCGATAACGGCCGTAAGTATGTCATATCTCAACGGCCAGCTAGACTGATGACAAACCGACGAGAAGGAGTCAACTCCGGGATCTGCCCACTGATGATTCGTGAGCTTCAACCGCGGCACGCCGAACAGTGGATTCAGATACTGACTTTGTTTAGGCAGCTATCACGAACCTTGCTATTCTGATATCTGTCTTTCTACTCGTTATTCATACAGTTCATTGCGCCAGCCATTATCAATCCAGCTCGATCATCAACGGCCGCAGCAGCAGTAGCAGCCATGAACCAGCCTTGTGATGATGGCCCGCCTGGTGCCCTGGGCCTGGGTAACGTACCCAGTCTCCAAGCACTAGTCGCACTCCATTCACTCCTCATGAGTTTTCATCGACTTCTCACGAACTTGGTGTGCCTTCCGTTCGCCACCGTAGCGCCCCTGGTCCCGTCGGCTGGGTTGACCTTGTAGATGTTGACGTGGGTGAACGCCAAGCTGCCTCCGACCTTCTCAATCTTGCCCTCAATCTCAATTTCGTCTCCCAACTTGGCGCCTGAGAGGTAGCTGATGTTGATATCGACGCTCACACCCGTTGCCTCACGGAGGTCCCATGCCGCGATCGCCAAGCCGCCAGCCCAGTCCACAATGGTCGCCGAGACACTGCCGTGGATGCTTCCTGACGAGTTCAAATGGTTCGCGGTGACGGGCAGACGTGCGATGATGAGTCCCTTGGAGGCGTGAGTGAGCTTCAGGCCGGGGTTAAAGAGGAAGGCGTAGATTGGGGATGCGTTGCAGCGGGTTGAGATGTAGTTCTCGATGTGAGCGAAGGTGGCGGGGTCTGATTGCGCAGAGGGGCCGGTGGCCGGTGGTGGTTGAGATGGCGTGGAAGACATTATGAAGCGTTTGTAGTTTCTGACTGCAGGCTGTGGTAATTACAGGATATGAATTCAGTTACAAAAGTGATTCGCGATGCCGGAGGTCAACGACACTGTTGAGTTGTTGAGTGACACAATCCGAGAGCGAAGGCACGTGCGCCAAAGATTTCTTTGCGGTCGGGCGGACTCCGTCCGAAGTCGGCCCCGAAGAACCCGCTTTTGCCGTCGGGGCGGAAGAAATGCATCAGTGGCTCTGGATGATGCTCAGCTCTGAACGCCGTAGCAAATATCAAGTAGAGAGACTTAGAGATTCTTTTTTCAAGGAAATCGCTATGAGATGTCCTCACATATTTGCAGCAAGTGGCCAGGAAGTCAATGGAATGCAACCAGCAAGAACGGTCAAGGCGAACCGTGTTCTCCGCAAAGCTCACCAATCATGGGAAGTGAGAAATGCCAGCACCCACAGCCAAATACATGACGGCTTGGTCATGCAACTGGCAGAACGACGATTGACGAAGCGACATTGAAACTTGATATCAGAAACACGGCCCGTCGGCAATTACGACCAATGAAGACAACACAAGGTGAAAGACGCCACAGTAAACCCGGATAAACAATCGCGGCTGCAAAGCGAGTAATGTAGTCGGGACGATACTCGAAGTGACGACATTCGCATGGCGTTGCTTCTATCCAACTTGGGCTGGCGTCAGTTGCAGATTTGCCCTAGCCGTTGCGTGGAACAACTAGCAAGATGATCATTGGGCCGGTTTCGCCAGCGTGGAGCCAGTTCCGTGTCAGCAAGCAGGGGTTCCTTCGAGGCCGTTATGTCCGGCCAGGTCGAGATGTCGGTTTAGACCCACTCGGCCAGCCGATGATTGTACGCTGCCGTTGACCGGTGTTTGTATAAGTGAAGACGATGGTCGTGGGTTGCTGGGAAACTCGATGTTTGTAAGGCCATGAAGTTACGCTGCTTCTTGCAATTTCTGCTAATAAGATGGCAAAATTAGAAACGGCCCCAGCAACCTTTGCAGTTGACGAAAATGGCGCTGAAGGGGCGAGCTTTCCAGTTGTCGTTGACTGGGAAGGAGATGAAGATGCTGAGAAACCAACAAATTGGTCAGTGTCGAAGAAGTGGATCAACGTCCTTCTCATATCAACACTCACCCTAATCTCGTAAGTTTCTATCATTCAAGAATCGAAAAGCGGTATTGCCTCGATGTTGACAATCTCTTTCCAAGGCCATTCGGCTCTTCAATGTTCGCACCCAGTACGAGCGAGACAATGAGAGAGTTTCACTCCACCAACGTGGATCTCGAATCCTTCAGTGTTTCCATCTTCGTGCTTGGCTATGCTTTCGGACCCTTGATTCACGGACCTTTGAGCGAGCTTTACGGCCGGCTAATTCTCTACCACATCAACTCCCTCCTCTTTATCCTAGCCAATGTTGCTTGCGCACTGTCAATTTCACTACCGATGCTCATCGTCTTCCGTCTCATCACTGGCCTCGTTGGTTCCTGCCCGTTGGCTATCGGTCCAGCTAGCGTCTCAGATTTGTTCATCCAGGAGGAACGAGGAAAGGGGCTTGCGGTCTGGAACCTACCAGTGCTTTTAGGTCCGGCCATTGGGCCCTTAGTTGGAAGCTACTTGTCGGTGGCTACTGGTTGGCGGTGGAACTTTTGGTTCCTAGCAATTGCGGCATGCACCCACGAGTAACAAGTCAAGATCAACCGGAATTCATAACTAACGAGATGTGCAATAGATGGGAGCGATCTACATCGCTACGCTACTACTGCTCCGAGAAACTCATTCGCCAACTCTACTAGGACGGAAAGCTCGAAGACTACGTAAGAAATACGGAAACCCGGAGATATCATCCGTTTTGGTATCCAAGAAGCCCCCGCGGGCCACATTCCTGAACGCAATCATTCGACCGACCAGACTTCTCGTCTATTCACCCATTGTTCTGACTCTCTCTATCTGCGCCGCAGTCAACTACGGCTTCATCTACATCATCTTCACCACCATGACCTCGACATTCATGAGCCGATATGGGCTCAGTAAAGGCGATGTCGGCCTTACTTACTTGGGCTTTGGCATCGGAAACATTGTAGGAAACGTAACCCTCGGAGCTCTCTCCGACAAGCTTGTGAAAGCCATAGCCGGCAAAGGAGAGATGAAGCCCGAATACCGACTTCCGCCATTGATACCAGGCAGCCTTCTAGTCCCGGTCGGCTTGTTTCTGTACGGCTGGACCTTGCAGTACAACGTTCATTTCATGGTGCCGCTGGTTGGCACCTTCCTGGTGGGAGTCGGTACCATCCTCATTTTCATGTCCATCAACTCGTACTTGGTCGATGCCTTCACCGAGCATGCAGCCAGCGCGGTTGCCGCGAGCACCGTGTTGCGTAGCTTAGGTGGGGGTTTGCTTCCGCTTTGCGGAGGGAAGTTGTACGAAGCTGTGGGTGATGGATGGGGCAATTCGATTCTTGGGTTTATTGGAGTTGCTTTTATCCCTGCCGTATGGTTGTTGTACAAGTTTGGGGAACGACTCAGATTAAAGTCTCGAGTTTAGGCAATGAAAGCTTTTAATTTCTGAAAGCAGAGTCTTCGATGTAATTTTACTGTCTTCGTGATTGAAAGACAACAACAAATCAAGAGGACAAGGTAGTTTAACATAACAGTCTTTCTGCTGTCTGCTGGACTGTGATACCATTGCGTCTTCCTCAGTAGTTGCGAACCTTCCAAGCTGTAATAGTCTTACATGAGGAAACCCAATCTCTGTCCTCTTTGAAGGCAACCTACTCAACTTCCCGTACTTCCATGACCCAATCTCGAGCCGTCAGAGCGGCATGGCCATCAAACAATTCGAATTCCAACTCCAAAAGATAAAAGAATTCCAGCAAGATATTCTCAAACTCCCAATCGTTAGAGCCATCCTTTGACACTTGCTTTACGGCGCAACTAATCTGCTAGCTGCATCAACCAATCCGCTGACTTGAGCCGAGTATCGCCCCCAGGCGAGCCGCAAAAACAGAGCCCCCTGGTCCAACATGCTGTCAGCCAGCAGCCTAAAAGCACAGCGTTCTGCGTCTGGGTATTACCTGAATGTTTCTTTCCGAGCGCCTTTGCCCTCCTCTTCTTCACTTTGAGAGACCGTCTCATTTTGGAGTCGGCCTTTGATGCACCTCTGCGCACCGGCCGTGCTACATCGGTGGACGCGGTAGCAGGGGCCTCCCAGTATTGGCTTTGCGAAGGGGGCCGGTCGAGATCAACGTAAGACAGTTCTCGCTCAATTTCTTCGACACTCTCAGTGCTTTCGGTAGTCTCGGGGGTCGATTCTGTGGTGTGCTTCTCCTTTCGAGTAAATTTCGCCCGCAGGTTCTCGCCAAATTTGGTCGCAACTTCAGGGGGTATGTGCTGCTGAGGCAGGGGGGAGGAATCCGTGTCAGTTGTTTCGGCCTCATCGTCATCGGCAGCGCAAGCACCGTAGGTGCGAGGCTCGTCTTCTGCTATCTCGAATCCGTCATACACAATGTCGTCTTTGCGGCCCTCGGCTTCGGCAAGGTGAACTAGTAGATCCTCCTCCTCGCTGTCGTAGTCGCTGCTGAGACTGGAGACAGCAAGATACTCTTGAGAGTGAAGAGCGGAAAGTTCCTTATTCACCGGTCGTGTTCTGGGCCTGTGAGGTACCGAGCCATCAAGGATCAGGTTGTTCTCCTAAGAATGAACCGTGAATTTGATGCCCGCCGCCTGGCCCAGCTTTCTGACGAACGGGATGCACTGGCCGGGGCGCTGAGGCGTACCGCACGGCGCTCTGCTGATATGGATTTCGTAATGAGGCGCGAGGCCTTGGTATCGGAGGCGTTTGCGAAGTCGATTCAAGTCCTTGAGGGAGATGTCGTGGCTGTCTGCTGGCTTGATATCGTGGGCAAACACCATCGCATAGACCATGTATGTGGCGAGTTTCTTTTCGATATGACCTGCTCTCCAATTGCCGCAATTATCTGCCGTCATCGGCTTGCCGGCGCCATCGTAGAAGGTTCGAAGGTTGAGACCGAGGTGTCGAGCCATTCTCTTCACTCGTCGGTGCCATCGCGCATGGTAGAGAAAGTTATCTTTCGACTCTCGGAGAGGAATGAATGATGTACCGCTCACAGCGAGCTTGAGAACATCCAATGAGGAATCTGAACCCCTAATAGCGATGAAGCCCAAGGTTTTGGTGGCGAACTTGTGCTTCACTTGGGCGTCTCCTTCCTCGCCCCGATACTCAGCGTTTCCGATACACTTCAGCACTCGAAAGTCGGTCCCGGACTGCCTGTAGATGAAATCGCCTTGTTCAGTTTCCCAAAGCGCGTACTCGGTATTCGCTTGTTCGTCACTCAGCTGCGTTCGGCCTGAATCAATTTCTTGCAGAGCATCGAAGTGGGGGCGGCCGTCCACCATTCTCTTGAAGAAATAAATGTTCCTGGGCGACTGGGTGGAGGAATCACCTTCGGTAACAGGCTCTCTCTTGACGGCGACCTCGATGTTGGTGTGTTCCGGCTTCTTCGAGCCTGGGGTCACAATGCGATCGATCGTGGGTGGCAGACTTTGGCGGTGGACTTCAACACTAGGTACCGCAACATCACATGATCTTCTCTCTAAGACGATGACTGAGTGAGATGTAAGCTAAGTACATATGCGTAGCAGAGGGATAGGATATCTTACCCGGACCAGAAGAACTCTGCTGCTCTCCAGTGCTGGCAGCACCTTGAGGGGTAGAACGAACAATGTAGTTCATGCTGTTTGGTTGGTTCGGCAAGTGTTGTTGAGCAGGAAGCTAAATTATTTGGTGACAACTTATTCGTCCCAGTAAGATGAATTTGAGTTAGAGAAGGGGCTCAAACTGTGAGAAAAGCTTTTCGACATGTACTCTTGCGTCGAGTCAGTGAAGTAATCAGGATACTCAGGAAAAGCAATGAAGGAGAAGTGCGACGCGTGGCGAGCGCGACAATTGGAAGAACTAGGCGCGGGGATGAAGGTACAGGGTATGGGAATACACACCAAGCAGACCGGCGAAGTCAATAACAATGAAACCGTGAAAGGTTTATGAGATATTGAAGCAGCGACAGGTCGGCACTCCCAGTGACACGAGCAGCGAAGACTTGTAGCTGCAGGAGACCCGTGACAGAAGCGAGAGCAGTCAGGCTGTATATAGAACACCTGCCGAATGATGAGGAAAGAAAGGTGTCGATTGGGAGGAATAAGTTCAGTGAGCTGGTGCAGTTGCCGTAATGAGACTCAAGGTCGTGACTGCGCGTAGTTGCGATGCGTTCTGGGATAGACTGTTGAGGCCAGAAGGATAGCGACAGGCTGACGAAGAAAAGAAGTGCCGGAAGGATGGAAGACTAAGGTGTGAATGAGGCGAGGATTTTGATATCAGGCGGCACGTGGTGACAAGCGTTGAAGCGCTAGTAATCGTGGACGTGTTGTTGAACCTGAGATATTCAACCTGAGACTGGCGTCTTCAGTTGGCTGAATTCAGGTAGTGAAGTGAGTGAAACGATCATTCGATGCGGGAAGGAGTGTGCAACCGCGTCAATCACGAGCGCGTCAGCGAGGGAGTGGAAAGCATGAGATTGGATGGCGAGTGGGGTATGGAAGTCGATCACGTCAAGGAGCCACGCTTCAACTCACGCAGCATCGTTTCACGCAGGAAGGAGCGACAGCAGTGAAGACGACGTGAGGTCCGACGTGAATTCTGCGGGGCGTGTAGCACACACACTACATGTCAAGAGAGTATCAAAACACCAGGTAAAGACGGAACTTGAATTTGGTCGTGGTTCCAAATGTTGCAATCATGAAACCCGTAATCCATTTTCAGACGCCTAACCCAATGCCCATTGCCGTAGCCATGACCCGGAACCTCATTTTATTTTACCGCAAACAACTTTTTAAATCGTGTTGGGGGAATAATTTACTCGTCATCCTCCTCCTCCTCAGCCTCAGCGGTGGTCTGGGCGATACCTATTGTGGTACGTTAGCATGGATGCTCTGAGAAGACATGTATGTAGAAAGGCAACTTACGGTCCAAATCACGCTGGCCGGACTGGGTGATGCGGCGGCCACCCTTCTCCTCGTCCTTCTCGAGGACACCGATCTTCTCAAGAGCCTGGCAGATCTTGCGGTCGACGGAGCCGGAGGCGTCAACGTGGTGGGAGGGGCGGACACCGCGGTTCTTGGCGGAGCCGTGGACCTTGCGGAGGCGGCCGACACCGACGGTCTTGCGGACGTAGATGTGGCGGGCGACGGAGGCGGCGCGGACATAGAACCAGTCAATGTTCTGGGGAGGGAGCTCCTTGGCGGGGCCGGTCTTGACGATATCAACCCAACCTGATGGCGGAGATTGGTCAGCGACGAGTTGTCATTCGAGGAGGGATGTCGGGGATTAAACATACCGGGGATGGGCAGCTTGCCCTGACGCTTCAAGAAAGCGGCGTACGCGTTGATGAACTTCTGCGCCTGCACCGGAGAAAAAGATTACCAATTAGCATGATTCCGTCATCAGAAGTCTTTCGACTCCCTCGCGCCTGCTCCGTATCCTCAAATTGTGTATCCCTGTTCTCCCAATTGTAATCCTCGCCGACATGTCCTCCACAACTCGATGAGCCCGGCCTGGTTTGCACTTCCTGTCATCACTTTGCATCTCTCTTTCCTCCCCCATATGTCATGGTCGCGACATCCGCAAGATGCACCAAGAGGGTCTATTTCAACAACCTCTGGATGTAGATCAAGCTTCGGGGTGTACTCGCGAGATCGTGACCGGAGTGCAGTGGCGGCGCAATGGGCTTTCGAGGATGTGGCGTGGACAGTGCGGTGTCATCGGAAAGTACTCTTGTGGTGATCTTGGTCGCAATTCGAGCATTCGAAGAAATCTTGCGATTTTTTGTCTTTGGGTTTCGGCTGAGAGGTCTCCAGATGGAGAAGAACGTGGTGTTAACCTACATCGACATCGCGAACGTTGATTCCACCGGCCATTTTTGCGGTATTGATTGGGTATTGGGGGGAGAAGGGTGGACTGGGTGCGGCGCTGGGCGATAAATTTGGCGATGAGGTCGGTCGGTCAACAGATCGAGAGGCACAAGTTCACGAAAGTTGCGATGGTAAATTTTTGGTGGTGCCCGGAGCTTGGCGCAGGGCTCTTTGCCCTGCGGGGCGACAGATCACGTGTGTCATCGGTTCAAGAATGTTTTTCTTTTTTTTTTTTCACTTAATACCGAGTCACCGGGACCCTCCATTGAGTCCGAGCGTCGATTATCTAATATTTCCGGTTCAGCGCCATTCCATGTGGGGCCAATGCTCGACTCAATGAGGGGCTCATGCTCGAGACGCCAGAGCCTCACTCCGATGACAAGGATACATCATGAGAAACCATCTGCATGAGTTCGTGATCACCGAAGCTTGCAGCCTCTCGTTGTATCTTGAGCTGTCACGAAGCAGTGGTCTCATACTACCGCACGACCAGCCACAATGATCAATAGTCATCACATCTTCAGAGCAAGCTCATATGCAATTACAATATCACCAGTGCCAATTTTTAACTCAAAGCAATTGCGATTGCAAACATTCATTCTATCACTATCCCATTATATGCCTGACTGAGAGGCGTATGCAAAACTCCTCCTAATGCAAAATCCAAAATGCCTCCGAAAGTAATGTTCCACACCGTGCACTAAACACCGGCTCACCGACCCAGGTATCATTTTCACCGATTGCCCCATAATCCGTTTACCATTTCCAGTTCCGTTTTCACCAATTCTACATCGTTCGTTTGCACACAACGTCCGTCATGGTCAGTCCGTCACACCTAGGCCCAGTTGGCCAAGACAGCCATCACACCAGCACCGAGCGCGACACAGCCGAACGCAAAGAGCTGCACCTTGAGCGGTGAGTTTCTCATCTGCGGGTTGAACATGAACTCGTGGGCCAGAAGCTCAACCAGACCCGTGTACATCAGAATACCGGCACTGATAGAGTCGAAGATTCCGTTGACAAGTGTCTGGGTCTTGGCGCTGTTCGGCTGAGCAGCGATACCAACGGCAATAGCGATGGGTGTCGACAGGCCGTAGATGATGGCGAGAATGTGAGGCCACCAGCGGCCGTGGGAAGGCCAAGTGGCAGTGGCAAGACGAGAGCCCAAACCGAGACCCTCGAAGAACTGGTGGAAAGTAAGGACGATGAGGAGGACGACGAGCTCGTCGCTGGTGGCGAGGACGAGTCCAATGAAGATGGAGTGGAACACGACACCGAATTCGAGAATGAAGATGGCAATCAACTGGCCAGCGAGGCCGTTGTGGCTGTCTCCTTCGGTATGGTCGCGAGCATGGCCGAGATGATCCCTTCCACCGGGCGGGTAGCTAACGTCGTCTGGAAGTCCAGGCACCTTCTTGGGGTCGACAAAGCCGGCGCCCCTCTCAGTGTCAACGTCGTGGGGGCAAACCTCAGTAGCGCTCGTCCCATCGGTCCCAATGTCCTTGGTCTTGGTGGCCATGCTGTTGCTGTGGCCAAGTTCGTGGTCATGGCTGCCGAAAGCAGACGAGGCGACGTTGGATGCGATCATCTCAATCAGGAACATGACCATGACGGTCATCAGGCCGATGGCGAAAGCCCAGTCGTAGCTGCCCAGCATCGGCTCCAAGCACTCGTTGTGCAGAGCCTCGACACCAGGGGCCAACAGATGCATCCAAGCGGTTGCGATAATGACACCGGTACCGACATACTTGAAGATGAAGAAGGTCATTTTGGGAACGTGCATTCTGGTGGTCCTGGCCAGGAAGATAGGGAGGAAACCACCAAGCATCGAAGCGACCATGATGATGAAGATGGAGGCGATACGCAGTCCCTTGTTGCTGACATCGACGGCAGCGGCACCGCACTCGTTGACGGCATCGGCACCGGAGCCATCATCTTGGCGGAGGGCGAGGAGCTTCGCCGCTGACATTTCCAAAGGGTTCATTTTTGCTGATTTTCTTGCTGAATACGTTACAGATGCTGGCAGAGCCTGCGACGGGTGCTTGCTTTAAGGCTCTGGTCTTGGTCACCGCAGACAGGTAAGTACCCGGAAGGCTGTGACAGCAAAGTAGACGAGCTCGAGGCACCACCGGTGGTACAGGTTGGAGCAACGGCTTCTTGATCGACCGGGGATATGTGACAAGTGCCGGCGGACTGGGCTCGAAGCCTGTGCGTCTCCGAGAGACTGGGTTGAGCGGCGGCTAGATGCGTTTACCGAGGTGATACGACAGGCCAAAGTCGTCTGAGAGGCGCAATGAGATGGCGACAGAGAGGAGCAACGAAGAGCTGAAGGGCGGCAGGGCGAGGTGTGCGTCCTGGGAGATGGGTCCTCGAAGGTCTTGGCTCGCAGCTTGGCGTCTTGGTAGATGGAGAGGATTGAGGCTCCGAGACAGGCGCTGGGCAGTATATATTATGCGCCAAGTGCAGGGGATACTCTGATGGAGACGATGAAGAATCGGAATTCTCTTTGTCGATTCTCGAAGAGAGGGAGGGCGAGTGGGCTGCGGTGGCTGCGAACTTGCGCGGCGTGGAACGGCGTTGCAAGATGTGTCGAGAACCCGGATGGTCGTCGGTCGCGGAGGGGGGTTAGGATGGCATAAGAGGACGGAGGGACCCCCCGCTTAAACAGCCAGGGTGGACTCGACGAGGACGGAGGAACCACAAAAGCAAGCGGGAAACCCGGCACTTTGCAGACCAAAGGAAGAGGAAATATCTTGTTTCGGTTCTTCTGTCCGGTGGTGGTTTTTCTGTGGTTCTTTGGTATGGCGCGGCTGATCAAAGGGAGACGTCAAGGTGGATTGCTGTGTGCTGTTTTTCTTTGGGGCACTCGATCGATGTTCTATCGCACGGCGTCTGATAGATACCAAAAAGAAAATTTACGAGAGGGAATTATTGGACGACGAGGTACGAAAACGATATCCTGACGTGCAGGGAACCCGTCTGAACAAATCGGTGGCCTCGAAACGATTGTTGGACGGCCGAGAAAAGCTGTCTAATGTTTAGAGTTTTGACGGTTCACTTTCTCGAGGTCGACGGTGATACCGAGCAAGAGGTACCTTGGGCAAAAGACGAGTGTGCAGAGAGAACTTGGAAAGACCCAGGAACGGTTGACCAGAGCGGCACGGGTGTCAGGCTCGGGCGGAAGGCGCAGGGACGGGCACAGGCGGATGCGCAAAATGGAAGTGAGGACCTTGATGGCCAAACGTCGATGTAGATCCACTTTCGCACCTTGTTCTTACCTCACGGGTTTCTTATCAAAGACAACCCAGCACCTGTTCCCCTGCAGCTTCCGCATTCATGAAACAAAGACAGAGCAGCGCAAGTCGACCAGTGCAAGGTATTCTGTAGTTATTCTCCATGATTCTATCCATCATGCGCCAGGACATGTGGATTTTAATCATGGCAAGCATCGCCAAAGTCAGCTACTTCTAACACAAATACATGCAACTATCGTGCAAGAAAGACTGGAGGTCCGCCAACGCACCTGCTTCGACTTTCAGAGTGAGGACCTTGATGGTTAAGCTAGTGCGGAGAACCTTGATGGCCAGCTTGCGGGCCAATGAGAGCCCGAATAAATTGGCACAAAATCTGATGGCGTGGGGCACCCGCGCCGAGCTAGCGCAACGGACCAAGGATAGTGCCAGTTGGGGAGCTGACAGCATCCAGGAATGAGGTGGGATGTCTTGACGTTGCGAGGAATGCGCTCGTTATTTGATACTCATCCAATGGTGAGGGATATCGCCGATATTGCTGGTATTGCTCGAAAGGGGCAAAACACCGACATAGTTAAACCATAATCATGAACATTGATTGGGGATTAATCTTCGTGTAATATGTTACGGCTGAATGAGTTGAGACATTCTAAGAGGAAACTGACGTTCAGCTCTCCTCCAATCTGAACCCATCTTAGACAAGGACGCACACGACTTCTATCAGTGAAGTGGGAAGATTTTCTTCACATCTCCAAGAGTGGTACTGATAACTGTACGCGCGGTAGCCCTTTGAATGCGGGTGGCTTTCATCCACTGCCAAGAAAGCTTGGCTTAAGCCGTTTCTGCTAGTCAAGCTTCAGCCAAGCCGGTCGCTTGCTTCCGTCCATGATTTCATCATGAAGAACCCAATCGACCATGTCCCATTACTTACGGAAGTCACCAGAGACTTCGAGACCCAGAGCCACTTCTGAGTTCTGCTTTCTCCTCTCGGCTAACATTTCCGAGAGAACAACTATCAAAGGCAACGTCGCATTCTCCTCCTATTTCATGCAGCCACCACGGCCCTTCCGACGCCATCCTGCATCGATAGCTGCGGCGTCACCTCGGATTGTGCCCAAGGAGACCCGTAGCCACGAAGCCGGGATCTGTCGAGTCCAACCTTGACAGGTAGTATAGAGTACTAGTAAACTCAGCCTCTCAGGTGCTAAGGATCTCGAGTGTGCAGCCGTGCCAGGATGCCGGGAACTTCTGCCACGCGCCAACTGCCTGTTTCTGCGACCGAGATGTCGGGAAGAACGTCGCATCAGGGAAGATTACCGGTGGGTACGCTGTAATCTGGCCAAAAAGACCATTGACTCCTTTTCATGATGAAAATTGAATTTCCACGCCCACCGTGCGGAACGGCGAGTCGAGCTTGCGCAGGTCGATTGCGCTGCCGAGACTGAACAGGAGGGACTTGACCCTCCCCTCCCACAAGACCCCAATCTTCATGTTCTGGTCCAGCCGCGCCTTGATGACGCTGCCGTATTCATCCGCGCCCTTGGTCTCTGCCGCCGTGCCGGCATCCGCCGCCGCCGCCTCTTTCGTTCTATCCACCGCAGGATCGTCCAATCTCCACTCCATCTTCGCCTGAAAGCTGCGTTCTCTCGGCTGATTCTTCCGTTCATGCTCTGGCTCTTCCACGACAAGCCTCGGCTGCAGCTTCGGTGACTCGGGCAGCTCGTCGTCCAGCCTCCACTCTAGCTTTGCCTGGAAACTGCGGCCCTTTTTGACAAAGCTCTCGGCCGAGAGCGCGGGCTCGAGGTTGCGGGTCAGGTTCTTGCGCCACAGCTCCATGCCCACGGACCAGTCGCTCTCGTAGCTGTACACGTTGAAGTCCATCCTCGTCGCGAGACTGCAGTGCTTGCCTGCTACTACTGCGTAGCTGGCGCTTATGTTGCCCATCAGGGGGTTGATCGTCATTGTCGCCGTCAGCGGGGTGCCGCGGTGCTCCGGGAGCGTCGCAAAGCGTCCGCCGAAACTGACGCCGCCCGACTTGTTAAGTAGGCCGTAGTAGATCTCCCCGCCGGCGCTGAAGCGTCCGTAGATTCGTTCCTTCGCTTCGTCCGTGTGTCCGCCCAGCTTGCCGCCCGATCGTAGAGCTTGGATATCTTCTGTATCACCACCAAAGTTGTACGCGCCTCTGAAGCCCAGCAGGCCGCCGTCGGACGAACCTAGGCCTTCGATAGCGTATCTGCCGACATCATACTGAGCCAGTCCCAAGACAGTGCCTCCGTTGCGGAGAAACTTTCCTGAGACGGCGCTGAGCTGGAGTTGCAGCGCGGGGGATATCCTTTTCACGACGAGAGCTTCGAGCATGGACTCAGGGAGGTACAAACGGCCGTAGAGCAGGGAGGCCGCGGCCGGACTAAGGAGGGGGTAAGGCTTCGAGGTTCGAGGCGGGAGGTCGGCGAGCGGTCGGTACGAGCGCAGCAGTGCCGGCAATGGTACGGCATCGGATTGCGGGGTGAGGTGCGCGCGGAGGGGCACGGAGGAGTAAAGGTAGGAGATGGAGCCGTCGACTACGCCTACGGAGCCGAGCTGGTATGATGTCGCAAAGTGAGGGGTCGCGAGAGAGGAGAGTGTGAGGCGTAGGCCCTGCGGTGTTGGGAAGTTGAGGAGTGCTGCCAATGCCCTTCATGTCAGTGCTGGTCCAATGTGCAGTTCCCCAAATGAGCTCTGCGCATTTCGTCAAGCCTACCATCTGCAGTTGCGTTGAGCGTCGAGTACGAGTTGTCGCGGTTCCAGCCGGTGGCGTCGTAGAACGCGCTCTGCACATAGCTCATGAACTCGCGCATGTTGGGCGGATGTTCAAGATCGCCTCACAGAGCAACGGGCTCACGACTTGCTATTGTTGCAGAGACATTTGTTTGGTACCTCAGCGCTGGAAGGTTTTGTGCGAATTGATGCTCGATGTAGCTCCTATGACGATCGCTAGGTTCTGGGCAACGGAAGTTCTGGCATCGCCGGCTGCTTGGAGTGGGTCCGGTTCATTTTGATTATATAAGCCGGCTCACTCATCATGCCTGGTTGAGGTAGAACTTCAGCAAAGACAAGGGCATGGCTCTTGACGAGTTATCTGAGGACCAATTCGATTTCAATCGAGACATGGAGGACAAGGTTTTAATTCGAAATTCTTGATGGCTGTGAAGAGGGCGGATGTTCACGACCAAGTCGAGTATTCTATCTTGCTTGATCCACCTTACCTTATCGTTCTGTGCAACAGCTCCATGTACAAGCATGGATGTTTCCCGATTGGTGGTTCTGACCATCAACTCCTTGAACAGGACTTGAACCTTGTCCTCTTCTTCTTTCTCTGGCGATGCGGATGATGATGGCTTGCATTGCTTCCCGATCATGTGAGGGAGTCCCGTCACGCAATTTGGTCCTACGTCGTCTTTCGCAGGCTTTATCTCAAGGCTGAGATCACTTGGCTTTTCCCTATTCTTGGAAGTCCGCAGTTGTGAGTCCAACAATCAGGAACTCGAGGGAGACAAATGCACCATGTAAAAACGCAGAGCTCTTCGGACGTCCGTTCAGATTAGTCTATTTGTTCCAGGCTGAGTCTCTTATTTTCCAATGACTGTGGCAAGCAGCCACAAGTTATCGGCAATTAGGTCCGCCAGCTTCAGAATTTCTCTAATTAATCATAAAGATGGGTGGATGGCGACCCTCGCATCCACGATAAGATGCAGTATTTCCCATCCCGACTCTCGATACGGAGAGATTATCTCAATACTTTGGAGTTCCAGAGCCAGTCTGAACATTTTTTCCTCCTTGAGTTTACTCGTGATACGGCGTCCCCGAGGCTGGTAATATCGCGCCTTCACGTTCGGCAGTCCTCACGTGCCGGATGCTTAGGAATCTGTCTTGCTTCATCCAGTTTAGTTCCTGAAGAGGCACAGCACATGGAAACAAGATGGACACTTGGTGAATCCTCCGCACCGATGGGACTAGGGCCTACGGTCAATGCCCGCGATGCGCGATGTCTCGCCGGTCCCTGGTTTTGCAGGGCAGAACGCCGTCCAACAAGATGTGGATCCTGATATTATCGATTCACAGGTGTGATTGGACATGATGCTTGCTCCGACCAATGAGAAATACCCGTGGTCCGCCGATAACCAATGTTTGCGGAAGAAGCGGGGCTGAGGCATTGCTTTTGCAAGGACGGTCCTCGACGACCGGCCGGTAACTGAGCTTCAACCGTACCTCCAATATCTTTACCTGCTCCTTTTCCTCTCAAACTCAGTGACTCATATGGAAGATTCTCATTCACCCTCTTTAGGGAATCTCAACATCTCAAAGAGCCCGAGCCCTTGACGCAGTTACATCCACGCCGTACACTTGCCGACGCAACCAACATAGACATGGTATTGTTAGCGCCCCTGAAAAGGCACAGTCCGACCAACGCAAACACAGTCTCCAACGAACACGCCAACAGCGATCAACTTGTCTCAACAGTGACACGAAAAAGGGCCAAACATACCCGCACTCGTCTTGGCTGCGCGACTTGCCGGTAAGTGAGCCGATTTGTTGGCTGGATACGGTTCTATCAATGCGGTCCATATGCTGCGCCGACAAGGCGCTTGAGAACAGCGTGAATTTGCAAGCTAAGTGAATCTTCTCCGGGCACAGAATTCGCCATGTGAGATGCGGCTTGGAACGACCCTCATGCCTTCGATGTAGTTCTACAGGAAGAGTCTGCGACTTTGTCGAAGATTCGAGCAATGAACGGCGCAGTTCGCTCCTCGCAAAAAACGCATACGTATCAATCGTACCGCGGCCCAATCCTAACGATGCCATCTATCAGCTAGCCCCGCAAACCGGCCGCTGGATCAACTTTTATCAAGGACACTCAGCTCCTGAGTTTGCTGGATACTTTGACGTGGAGTTCTGGAGCACCACCATCTTGCAACTAAGCTACCGAGAACAATGTGTCCATCAAATGCTCGTTGCCATTGGTTCCCTCCACGAGTCTTTGAAGTCTGGCCTCGCTCAACACTCGGACTCGAATGCCGTTAGCCTGTATAAATACGCCGAAGCAGAGTACACGAGAGCTGTCAGTCTCCTCAATATGCATATGACCCATCGAGGATGGTCAGCTCTCGAGATTACACTCGTGTGTTCTATCCTCGGTATAATGTTTGAGTGGCTGCGTGGGGGCTATCAGGACGCTGTTCGACATCTCACAAGCAGCTTCAAGATCCTATCAACGTGGTTATCCCACACCGCCCCACCATCTACCACCACCTTTGGGTCGCCAGGAGGCCACCTCATACGGAGTCAGATAAAACCGATCTTCCATATTTTGGTCCTGCAATCAAGAATGTTGCCGATACCCCCCAGCGTGCCACCGAAGGTAGTCCAAGCCCCGGAGCAAATAATGCCTGAGTTTTCCAGTGTCGCTCACGCTCGGAATGCTCAGCTCGACCTCTTGACTTATGTTCTTGTGGTTCCGCCAAAACACACAGGATCCAAAGGGAGAACGCACCAGGTCGTGGCGGAATCATTGCGTCAATGGTCCGACAAATTTGCACTCTTCATCTTACAACAGCCGCAATTGGCCTCCGATCCCTGCGTAAAAATACTAAAAGTATGGCGCATTATCACAGAGATGATTTCTATATCGCCTTTTTCTTCAGAGCCGGACTCTTCAAATGGGCTCATTATGCAACTCTCTACCTTTTTGGATGACATTGAGAGTCGGAAGATAGCAGTTGACATAGGAGCGGTTGCGATCTTCTATTACACCGCTGCGTACTGCCGTCATCCTGAAACGCATTGTCGAGCTATTGCTTTACTGAAGTCGGCAGGTGGACCATGGGGCCACCATGTTGCTATCAAAGCCCAACAAGAGTACGCCAGATTAGAGGATAATGATCCGAAACTTGGACCTCTTTGATCACCTAATTTCCCAAACAATATCAAAGTTTAACCTATTCCCAGTTCATTCGAATTGAATATATCTTGATGATAAAGGGGAACGCTGTAGTCTTCATTGACAAAATCCATACTTCATCAATCATATCTAAAACCCCCATGTCTGACTATTGAGGAAATCTTGACTGCGCCCATTCCGTTACCTTCTGGAAAATGAGCTTGGCGTCCTGCTCACTCGAGGACATCTCAGAGTAGTATCGTTGAAGATCATCCTCGGTTGGCAGTGTAGCTCTGTAATATGGAACGTTCATCTCGAAAAGTTGCCTGGAAAGCTCGCCGTAAATCTCTGGGTGGCCTTGAAGCGATAAGACAAGTCCAGAGTCGGACATGAGGATTTCGTTCTCAGGCGCCAATGGCTTGAAGCCGTTGGGTACATTCTGCACAAAGCGCTTGTGAAACTTTGTGATTTTCTAATGGGATTGAGGACTTAACGACTGGAACCTAGGGATTGATCACGGATAATATGCTGCAGAGAGTACTTACCAGCGCATCCTTGCCAAAAATTGCTTTACCATCATCGTTCAGAGCGAGAACTTCCACGCCAACCTAGAGAACTAGCTTAGCATCTGCCTTATAGAGCCTCCATATTTCCTGCGCTGTTCCTCAATGCTCACTCTTGGATGTTCAAAACTCCCGACTTTGCCAGAAAGAGCTGTCGCAATTGCCTGATGACCCCAGCAGATGCCGAGAAGCTTGGTTTTCGTGACGTGTTGCTGCCCCACCACCTGTCGAATCCATTCCAGCGTGGTGTCGACCCAAGGCTCATAAGTCGCCTGGCACAGGTTACTCAGTCCGCCGGTGATAATGATGAGATCGTAGTCCGCAGGCGCTGGAAGGTGGCCGTCATCCTTCATTGGCCGATATGCGTCGATTATTGCATCCGGAACTTGTTGTAGGACGTTATCTCGGAACGACTGCAACATCCCTCTGTGTTTTGGCTCGTCGATCTCGTAGGCTTTGACGATGGCGACCCTGAAAGGTGTTGCTTGTGGTAATGAACCCATATTTATCCGTGATGTGTGTTCTTAAGCGTCCCTTATTTCGTCTGTTCTTAAGCCTGTGTGGTGTAAAGTCTATGGGGGGTGAAATCAAGTTCGAGATGTGTCGGTATTGCGGTGCGGGACACTCTTGATAAGAATGAAGTGGGCTGCTCCGTGTTCTTGACTCAAAGCCGTCGGAGTTTCGGACTCACAGATAAGCTAAGCGCGCTCCACCAGCCCGGCAAGGTGGGCTGGCTAAACTCGGAGTATCCACTTGACACATCTCCGGAAATCGGACACTGGAAGCTTAATCACGAGGCGCCCCGAATCCATAGAATTAGTAATGAGATGATGCTTGGTCCGCGTTATCTATCACATGGCGCTTTACGTCCACCAGTTATGAGCAAGTTTATCATCTGCCATGTGCGCCCTGCTTTCTAGATGGGCCGGTCATGCTTCTTAATGTTTCCTTGATGAAGCTTAGCCTCCGCTGTCCGTCCAGCTGGCCGCTGCGGGTCCTCCATTGTAGCTTCCGCTTTGAGCCCTTGCATGAGTCAAAGAGAACCCCGCGATCTGAGTATTGAGGTAAGCTTACGCGATGGCACGATCTAGCCAGCGCTGTTGGTCCCTGCAGATGGATCGGAGTAATGTGGCCGAGGAAAGCGGCGAACAAAGAGTCTTTCAGTTGCCGTTTTTACCCCACTTCCCCGGTGCCGGATTTTGAGACACAACACGTTCAACGGCTCCGATTACCGAATTAGGAAACTTTTCACCACATCATACGAACCAACTTGAACATCATGATCCAAAAACTTCTAGACACGCAGAGTAGGTCTGAGTAGCGCAATGTATGAATAGTAGAAACGTAGCTTAAAGAAGGACAGTAAGGGCACCGGGAGTCTTGTTCTACCCTGGCTACGGCGGCGTCGGAAGGAAGAACAGATTGTTACCCTCGAATTCTCCCCAGATAGCCTACCTACCTCCCCTATGTTCAGAGTGTAGGTACGGGTCAGCTAGGAAGCTTCATGGATGAGACAATCACGCTTGAAGACTGTTAAATAGAGGTAGGCCTTGCGCCTAGAGGGCGGCGATGGCCAGTCTGCTCGATGATGTGTATTTCTGTTTTTGTGAAGTTTGGCGTGGGTTGTGGTGCATCCTTCCGTCTTGGCAGCATTCATAGACCGCACCACATTTCCAAGACACGCCAACCAACAGCTAGGAAACCCCTACGTGATGCCTAGAGTTGTGGATCACCTATGTTCAACAAGTCACGAGCCAAGCCCAGCTTGCGGCCAAGCTGAATACTTATACTGATGCTGGCCCCTTGCCCTACTTTGATCCGTCTCGACGGGTTGCTTCCCATCAAATGTTGGTGCAAAATCGGGCCAATTTCTCTTTCAACTCGTTGGATGACAAACGGTGTTCGACTTTGCCAAGTACCGCCAATGCGACCCAGCCTTGCCAACTCATGCATCGCCTCAATTCGGGACTTTTGTATGCTTGTTGGTGCCACAGAAGGAAGGGCCGCTAATTGCGATGCGTCGCCAAATGTCTTGGACGCGCGCGCCTTCTTAAGGTCGGCGGCGCCCGATCATGGCGTGCCTTGCGCGGATCGTCAATTGCCTTTCTTGTGCTCTTGAGCGATTGCTTCGGAGTAGTAGTTGTAAGAACAATGGTGCGGCTCACATCGCTCTTCGCACGAGCTCTTCCCGTTACGGCATTTGCGGTCGCCGCTCCGGCTGCATCTACACCGCAGCTCCGGAGACAGGTCGCGGTTGGCGAAGCTTGTGCCGAGATTGGAAGGGTCTACGACGAAGCAATTATAACAAACACGACCGGTATGTTACGTAGCTCCTTTCCGCGAGCAGATACTATCAGGTCTTCTGTTGAATACCAGGATATGGTTCGTCCTCGCATTCGCCCCCTGTCGTGCCACGCGAAAGCTTTAGGCTGGGGGTGAAGGACCAACAGCGACTACAGACACATCAGGTGGAACATAGGCTGACGCCCTGCAGACGATGTTGTGGTGAAGCCTTCCCTGGCATACCAGTGCCTTAGGTCAATCTCAGTGGACGTTGAAAGAGATACAGCGCTTGTTCGCTATTTGCGACCATGGCTTGAATATCAGAGTACCGTCGACATTCTTCTAGACCCTCCCGCAGAGTACCTTTACCCAGGCGTCGATATCTTTGGTGGCCTCGACAACATTACCCAGTCCCTCGAAAATGGAGGTTACGAGTCTCAAATTGACTTCACTGTTGATCTTTACAGACTGATTAACGTCAAGCCTCGGGATGGGCACTTGTCCTGGTCGCCTGTTCTGGGTGTATTGATCAGCTTTTCTACGCCAGCGTTGTTTATATCGATTTCGGAAGATGGCATCAAGTCGCCCAGAATTTACCTTTACTGTAAGTAGGGAATTCCATGATTGTTATTTCCCCTCCTGGCCATGCTCCCCTCTCTTATATGCGAAGGCTCGGAAAGGGGCAAAGGGATAGATCTGGGACTGCCTTTCAGAAATCACTAACGCAAGTCCTTACTAGCTGACTACCAGAAGAGCACGGAACAAGGATATAATGCTTCCGAGGTCAAGTCCTTCGATACGGCGCCCATTGTCGACTACATTCAGCAGCGGTCTGTCGACAACTCTCGAGACCAGGATCCCGATGCGGCCTACAATGAGCAACTGTATAGCAAAGCGCTAGAAAACGTCCTTGAGACGGCGACTGCTGGCAGGCATCTACACACAACCCTCGGTGACGAAAGCGTCATTGAATTCGCCAACGGAACGGAGGCAACTGTCGTCAACAGAGCTCGCATTGTTGCAAATTTCTCCGGCATTACATCTGGTCAAGCTGTTCATGAGCGCTTTGAGGTACCGCTTGATGACGGCGAGGCCGAAGTCACCCTCGATACTACGAGAATTCCATTTTCTCCGGCCTTGGAGGGGTATCCTGAACCTTCTGTCATCCACGAAGACAGGTATATCAGCGGCTACCTCTTCAACGAGTCGACTCTGAAAGACACTGCTGTACTGGCTGTGAATGTCTTCATGTCCCAAAACGGAACTGCTAGAACTGTTCTTGAGGCGCTCGAGGATCCCATAGAGTTTGCCAGGGTTGCTAGCAAATTCGTCAATAGGAGCAAGAGCCAGAACAAATCTAAGCTCATCATAGATCTGCAGGGTAACGGTGGTGGTCTTGTGGCCAACGCAATGAGCCTATATGCGACACTATTCCCAGAGGCCGGTGCAGAAGCGCACATGAATATGCGGGTTCGGGCGCACGCTGCTTTGAATTGGGTCGGAAGGACTGCTGAGAGACTAGGCGCAGACCTGAAGTCCCTTCCTTACCCGGTTGGTTTCAAAGGCTTCGTCGACGAAGACTTGAAAAACTTCACAAGCTGGGAGGACTTTTACGGCCCTGAGACAATCGAGGGCAGCAACTACACTAATGTTGTGCAACCTTGGGAAGTAGCCTACGCCCGTACCGGCTTGCCCGGCATCTTCGAGATCCCAGAGCCGTGGTTCAAGCCAGAGGACACGGTCATTCTCACCGATGGACACTGCGCGTCTGCCTGTGCCTACATCGTCGGCATGATGACCCGGGAGCTAGGCATTCAAGTCGTGGCTATGGGGGGACGACCTATCGATGCGCCGATGCAAGCTGTGGGAGGAACCAAGGGCGGACCAGTCATTTCGCTGGGACCTTATCAGACCATTTATTCTGCTCTCGGGGCTTTCGTCAAGCCCCCAGAGGGAATCGATATGACGCCCTTTGCCGAGTCTAACCCCCCGCTCGCGGGCTTACCTACGGATACCTGGACCGTCAACTCAGCCAACATATACCTCGACGACGATCTCGATGGCGTCCCGGTACAGTTCAGATATGAGGCGGCGAATTGTAAGCTCTACTATACCTGGGAGACCTTGACAAACATGACCAGTCTATGGACCGTGGTGGCAAATGTCAAGTGGAATGGCGCCAAGTGTGTGCCGGGCTCGACCACCAACGACGATGACACCATAGGATCAGTTCCTGGGTACACAGACAAGGTTGTGTCCAGCTTCAAGTGGGCAGCCGGCCCTGGAGACGTGAATGGGGCATCAGGCGAGGGCAATGGAGATGGCGGAAACGGTGATGACAATGAGGGGAATTCCGGCGACGAGGATGAGAATGCTGCTGGCTCGCTGCGGGCTTGTTGGAAAATGCTGGCTCTTGTGCTGTCTATCTCTACGATGCTGTTTGTCTTGCAATAGGAACCCGAATATCCTGATATACTTAGTCGAGTGAATGGTGTATGCAAATCAAACATGTCTAACTCAATCTCCGTGCAAGTTGAAATGATTCGATGATAATTCCCATGCCAATGATGATGATGATGATGATGAATCGTTAACTGACGACGTTTCGTTGCCTTGCCAAGATGCTGAAATCGACATAGGAGCTCACGTTTGGTTCATATGGGACTTTCACACCCTAGTCGAGCACGATGGACGTTGTTGAGAATGACCCGAGCAAAACTTTCTAGCACTTACAGACATCTTACTCGTAGTTATGTGGTGAATTAGACGCAGCTGTCAATGATGATGTCCGGTTCAAGGGTGTTGGCTTCGGAAAAAAACATCTCTTCGATAAGATTGGAGTAGGTAGGCCGCTATGGTGATGTCCGACTTCTGAAAATTTGATCAAAACATCTAGGCGAGGCAAACAGGCACAACCTGACAGTGATTATGTTTTGTTACTGGCAGCGTGAGTCTTCAATCATGTGCTCGGCATAAATGAACGCTGAAAGAAATGCACCCAACCCAACTTATTCTGGACAGAAGTAGCAACTCCAACCGCATTCCTTCGTCGGTCGAAATTCTCCTCCCCGTTGCACTATGTTTATGTGGCGGACAGCGGGCTTCCTAGCTTCTGCGTATGCGGAAATAGTTGAGCATATCAAAATGTACAAAACTCGATTCTGACAACTCTTCTTCCTTTCACCACAATCTGCCTGAAAGCTGTGTCTATCCAAGCCATCCGATGACTTTGAGAGTGGGGTTTGTTCGTCCTCAATCTCAATTCAGTCTTCCTACCAATAGCCATTCTCAATGGACTGGTTGAATCTCCTTTGCTCCCTCTTAGCCACTCCGGACCTGTCCTGGCACTTTCCATTCCACCACTCAGACTGAGAGTGTACCAACTCCCAATCACCCCATTTCTTTTCCTCTCTGGTTGATACAAGTACAATGTGGAGCTTCGGTCGTGCCTTCGACAGAACTCGCAGTACGCTGCTTGTCCAGCTCATCTTCGCGATACGAAGCTCCTTCAACTTTGGCACCCACTCCGGATGATCTGTCAGCGCCTCAAATACTATGTTGTGGCCCGTATTCGACTCATTTCTCGAGGCAGTACTGATGTGCAGATTTGTGAGGTCGGGACAATATTTGCACAGCGCAAGAAATGCCTTTTCTGTGAGGCCCGATGTGCCTGGGAGGGAAATGATTTTCAGCTTAGGACAGGCATGGGCTATCTTGATGACATCGTCGTCAGTAAGCTCCGTAGCAGAGTTGGTAGAATCATAGTCGACGTCGTGATAGTCGAAGCTGAATGAAGTGAGGCGTTCGCAGGTTTCCTTGAAGGAGAGCAGCGTGTCAATGTGTGCCCTGGCAATGTCGTCAGTTTTGGTGTGGGCCTCGCGGCTCTGGCAAGCCCCAGTATTCCATAGTCTCCCAACTCAGTGGGCAAGGCAACTCACGGCGTTAATTTGTCTCGAAACATCACCGCCCTCGTGGCATGGCCGAGCCATTCGACACGCTGGTTCTGCCACTCGCCATCAATTCGGAAGCAAGCGCTGACAGATCCTCTGGGTCCTGTGGGTCGCGGTGCTCTTGCGGCCTTCGGCTTGAAGGTCTTCTTCGGTGCCGGTGCTGTTTCGTTGAAGCTGAGATACTCATCGTCGCTGAAGTCATCGGCGTCGAATTGCACAGCAGCTGCGGCGTCTGAGGCGAATTGAGATACAGGTTTTCCTTGATCGAACTGCGGCTCGGCCTTGACTGACATGGGATATTCTGCCTTGATGTTGCCCGGGGTGAATGGATCATAGGGTACCTCCGCATGTGAGCCGGACGCGAAGTGGCCCACCAGTGTCGCGTAAGACGCGCCGGGGAGAGCTGGTGGCCCGCCCTGGAAGCCCGGCCTCACTCCGTACACTGCAGCATTCGCTGCCTTCCTGGCCTCGTCCGACTTAGCTGTTCGCGTCGGCGGCATCGTGATGTTTGTGTATCAATTGTGGTCATTCAGGCCGGCAATTCTGGAGAAGTCAGGCATCTATGTTGACGGAAAGGGAGCCAGGGTGTGCGGATTATCCAAGTTTGATGACAAGCCCGTGTGTTTGGACATTTCGGAACGAATATCCACAATACTGATATAAGTCGGAACACCCCCATTCGGCCACCCCCCCCCCCCCCCATTCGGCTACCCCAAAAATCCCTCTTAGCTACCCTAATTAAAATCCTACCCTTAATTTATAAATAACTATAATAATTATAATTATTATCTAAATATATTTTTTATTATATTATAATATTATATATTAAAAATAAAGTTATTTAAGCGCTCTAAATAATTAAATATAATATTTTAATTAAAAGGGCCTTAATTAAGTTCGGGGTTCTAAAGAATATACTTTAGAATTATTAATAAGGTTAATAAGCTAAAGTAATTATTTTTATAAACTAATAAAAACTTCTTTTTTAAATAAGAAAATAAGCTAGTTAAATAGGTTTATATTTAATATATTTTAAGAGTTATATTAACTTATAAATAAATTAAAAGATTTATTAAATAAGTTTTATAAACTTAGAGAGATAGTTATTTTTTTTAAAAAGAGATAAATAAATACTTTTTTTTAAAAAGAAACTTATTTATTAAAGTTTAACAAAGTCGTTTTAGAAGTTTTAATTATATTAATAAAATAATTACTAAGATAATTAAGCCCTAATTCTAATTACTGAATATATTAAAAATTAAAAATATTAAATATGTTAATAAATATAATATAAAATTAATATTTTTAAGGGTAAAGAATTTAATAAGCTAGTTTTAAATATAACTAAGGCTAACGTAATATAAAAAAAAGAGCTTTAATTACGTTTTTAAATTTTTATTATTAAATATATTTTTATTAGTAATATCGTTATTAAATTATTAAAAATCTATAAAAAGAAGTTAGTTTAGTAAAATTAGTTCCCCCTTAAGCTTAAGGGTCTCGATAATTAGGAGTTTATAATAATAAATAATAAGTAGATTATAAACTAAACTATTTTAATATAATTAAGAGTAGTTTTTTAATATAAACTCAGCCCTCTCTAACTTAGGGACTTAACTTATAATTAGAGCTTTAATTATTAATTTTAAATAAATATAAGAGTTATATAATAATAAAATTTATATAAAAGTACTATATTAATAATATCTATTTATTATTTTTATTATTAAATATCTTTTCTATTTTTTTAATTATTAAATATAATTATTTTTAATTTTATTAAAACTTATTTATAAAAGGAGCTTAATAAAAAAGATATAATAAATAATTTTATTATTATTAAAAAGCAGTACTTCTTAGCTTATTATATTATAACTTATTTATTTAATTTAATAAAGAATAATATATAAAGTAATTAAAAAGTAATTAGCTTATAACTACTTAATATTATTATATTTCTTAGTAATTTTATAGTATTATTTAGCTTAATTATATTATTAAATAATATTATTAGTACTTAATAAATAATTATTAAAATTATTAAAGTCGTTAATTAAATTTTTATAGTATTTATTATTAATTAGTTAATATTTTAAAAAGTTAGTAACTTTTATTAATAACTAAAGCTCTTTATAAAGCTTAATTTTAATTATAATACTTAATATTTACTTTTTTATAAAATTAAAAAAACCTTTAATAAAAAATCCTTTTTATTAATTTTATTTTAATAATAAGTTCGAGTTTTAAAAACTAAAGTTAAGTATATAGTTTTTTAAAAAAAGAAAAGTATTTAAATAAACTTAAATACTAAGTTTATTAATATTAAAAATATAAAAAGAGCTTAAGAAGATATTAATAAGCGTTTAATTAGTTTTAATTAAATAATAAAGGTTAAATTACTTAGTAAGAATAGTAGGTATATTAGAATAGTAGTAGAAAGTAGTTAATTAATTAACTATAGTTATTAGCGATATTACTAGACCTACTTTTAATAGGGTAGCCGAAAGGGGGGGGGGGGTGGCCGAATGGGGGTGTTCTGACTTAGTACTCGAACATAAAGTAGGCAGCTTTCAGACAAACAAATCAAATTGCCGATGCTTCAATCCAAAACTCTTTCTCAAAGTAGACTTAGACATAGAGGCACTTCTCCTTCTACGCCGGGTTTCTTGTATGGTTATATGCAGGCACCCGTGCGCGCCGTGATAGGCATATTAATTACTGCAAGAACCTGTACCACAGGCGGTTAAGAACGGCGATTGAAGCTTAACGTTCTGATTTCAACTCTACCGAGATCGCTTGGTTAGCGCTAAAAGTCAAGACAGCTCGAGCGAAGACAAGAGCGAAGTGCTTATTTGGCATTCAGTATGGAATGTCTCGAAACAGCAGGATGCAGTTACACAAGGCGATGTGCTAAGAAAACATGGAAAGAAGGTATGAGGGTTGCGTCGGCCTGACAGGACATACAGAATAAATTGCGGTGACAGCTCAGAAAGCGCTAGGGGATCAATGGCTTAAGAGTCACCTTGAGGCCGGCCATCAGGAGGAAGAGGACAGAAGACGAAGAATATAGGTTGTTGAGAAAAAAGAAACCCTTTCCAAGCTCACGACAGTCACTCATACTGTGATATTGTCGGAACGAGAAAACAGAGCAGTATTCAAAGCTGCATGCAGGCTGTGCCATCCACACAAGTAAAGGGCAACACACATCTAGGAAATAGGCGATTGGTAGCTTGTTTAAATCAATGTCACAGGCACTTATAGTCTCTCCATACTTGAAGCTATGGGATAGCATTACTTGCTGCCAGTGTGCAATACGCTCATGTGGCCCCTTGAGACTGATGCGATCCGGAACCTCCCAATCATGCCTCATAACAGACATTTGAACCTTTCTGTGGATGAAGCGAGAAAGAGCCGAAGCCAACAGGGATGTCTCGTCTATAAGCTGTCTGACTCGTTGGAATGTACTTAGATTCGTAACCTACGGGCAGCTGCTTCACTCGGCCGCCCACTGTGGTCATACTGTCATTTGATGCGGCACTCGTGGTGGGCGGCCGAGTTTCAGGTATTTGCGCTTGATCGCTCATGAGAGTAGTGTAAGCTATAAGGAGGCGCTCAATAAAGTAAGTTGAGGAAATCTGGCGAACGGCCTGATGAGCAACCAATAAATTGAATGAATCAATACAATCTGGATCGAGATAACAAGCCTTATGAAGATTTGCTGAGAAGTGTTTATCCAAAGGCGTGCACAAAAGTGGCCAAATCCCAGAATAGGCATCGTAAGGGGCGAACAACATGAGACTGGGGAAGTGTACTAACGTCTTCAGGGATTGTGGTCGATTCTCGCCGGACAATTCGCAACACCAGGTACATGTAGTGTTGAAAGCGACTGGGAGGAAATATTCACATCAACGAGGCACCAACGGTGGACGCAGTTCTTGATATGGTTCCTGTGGTCAACGGCAAGGTCCTCCTCAACAAGCTTGACAACTCATTTCTGTCAAGTACACGAAAGTGAGCTGAGAGCCCTTTGTTCATCAGTCTTGCGTACTGGCCGGCCTGTAGCACATCCTTCCATGACGACGCAGTGCGCCCACTGGGTATTCATGTCATAGCGACGCGGGGTTAATGACGTCCGAAGGAGTCGCCGAACTAAAATCATGACTCAAAAACTTTGACTTTTCCACGATCACTATGAGGACCGTGGACTGTATCAACCTGCCTCGAGTAGTGCTTGAGCTTTGGAAGACGTTATATATAATACTGCAGAGAACTACTAAAGAAGTGCAGTCCAGTACCTGACAAGTATCGGTTGCATCAGCCTTTTCACCTCACTCATTCTCTTTCTACCACATTCGCTTCATACCTTATAGACTTGCATCGCCGATAACATGAAGTCCACCATTATTCACGCTGCTGTTATGATCTTGTTTGGTACTGCGTCGGCTGTTGAACTAGCCTGCTACGGCACTGGAGTCCCCTCGGCTATCAGAAAGGGCGATGTCGAGTACGCCATCAAGAATCGGTCCGACGAACTAGGGATTCCTGGAGGCACCAAGTTTTCGCTCCGTTGGAAAACTTGTACCGATCCTGAGAACAGTCCTAAGGACGTTGCTTTTATTACAACACCCAGCAGTAAGTGGTTATCTTAGCTTCAGAGATCGCGCATCGCAAAGTTTCTGTCTGTCCCCAGATGCTTGCGCTCTCTGAACATAGCCCTTGCGAACTAATGCAATCTAGTTACTCGAGAAGGTTCTACTAAGTTGGCCAATGGCGTCGTAGCGTGCAGCTTAGATTCACCCCCAGATTCTGACTGTTAGATGTACCTAGGAGGCGATTTGGGATGCCGTCTTCAGTTTGAACAACAAACAAAAATTGTAGCAGCTCACTTCCAGATATCTGACTAAACATGAATAAATTTTCTGATTGAAAGCGCAACTGCCTATGTCATGATGAATTTAACAATCTTTCGCGTCTTCTGACAAACGTCACACTCAGAGTCGGTGCTAGATTGTGGTAAATTGACACTTACCAGAAGAATCGTCAGTTGGAGGCGACCTCTAGCATGGCTCCAAGATATGAGAAGTAACTGTCAGTGAGGCATCAATCTGACCACACAACGTCTTCCCTTCTGTTAGGTACGCTATGAGAATTTGGCATATCAGGTTTCAGCCCGTCTGCACAAGGATTGATATCCCAGTGCTCTTACGAAGTGCATGTGGATTTATGATTCAGTAATAAAGATAGGAGAGTTGCGGACATCTTGACAAGAAAGAGGTTCTCATTAGAGACAAATCATATAATTAAAGTACGTATGCATTGCTTACAAACAGTCACTTGCGACAGGGTCAACAGAGATGGGATTGTGACTGATGATGAGGCCATGATAGCATGATCTCGTATCTCGACGCTTAAAGGTGATGCATAAGCGCTGTGATTGTGTTGTTGAGGGTTCCAAATGTTTCAGTCTCTGATCCATTTCAATCGACCTTTGACCTTGATATGGAGGCTGGGCCATTGTCACAGACAAGAATAAGCAACCGACAGACTGCCAATCGGGTTTTATGCCCAGTCCACTGTTGTCCATCGAACCATACGTAGCAGTCCTAACTTGTAGTTAGCTGCGTCACAAGTAGCGCTCGTCCTATCGAGACGGGCGGTGCAGATCACAACACTTGAATAGTACTTAAGTAGTTACTCTATCTAAGTTAAGCGACTTATCTATTACGAAGTTCAGAGAGCAACCCCGTCATCCAGAACATGTTCCAGGGGCTACTTCAAGTGCCCACCTTCATTCTAGATACATGACCTCTCTAATTGGCCTAATAACATGAATGGGCAGAAGAGTATGGGGTTTCAGGGAGACCACCCAAGAGTTGGCATGAGTCCGCATTAGTAGCCAGCTAGACGTTAGGTACAACCGCACAATTCCCTTCATTGGTCTGGCCTAGAGGCTTTAGGTCTCAATACAAGCGTCTTCGTAAGCATTGCATTATTAATACGGGCTGCCGTATTTGGTCAATTTTGTTCTCATACGAGCAAATGATGACATTTGTGCAAATGTGCGAATTTGAGACATTTGACCTAGGGATTTCATCAACCGCGAGGGTGAGCCTGTGTCAATGACAACGAACCAACCCCGCCGAAGTATTGATTCAATTGACCCAGCGCCATGGGGTAAGATGCCCATTGGACTTAATTTACCGTCGCGCAGATAAGCAAGCTGATAAACGCCGCTGCGGCCTGCCAGGAGAAAGTAGGGATCGAAGCTACTTACAAGTAAGCTCAATGGAGAGATACTACGGAGATGAATTACTATCTGCGGAGACTCCCTTGTAGGGCTAGTGCGGCTTCTCCCGATGTGGTGTGTGAGCCGTGGGAGCTCATAGCAAAAAAAGTTAAAAAGAATTAAGCACTCTAAATCTGAAACGACTCGGATGCCCGGCTTAGAGGGTTCCACTCGCCCTTTCGGATCCGGCACGGCGTAAACGGCACGCAAGCCTGGCCGGGCTCTGCCCCAGAAAGATCGTCCTCATCCAAGCAAAGCCAAGACTTTGGCAGCTTGGGTGAAGGAAACAAACCAACTTCATGTCTTGAGAGGGGGCTTCGATTTCAAGATGCAGAGGAATCATCAGCGTGGGGTCAACAACAGGATATTGAGTTAAGCATCGTTGAATGCTTCAACTATATCTAAGATTGCAACGGTCGAACCTTAACCTAATCCTTTGGGACTTGATGATTTAATGACACAATTCCGGGAGTGCGCTGATTTCGTAAAGTAACGTGCTCATTTACCCGCGTGGTTGGCCCAATATTTGCCCACTGCGCCGCATCCATCCCTTTGCCTCCCCGGGAAGTCTAACCAACAAAGACACAAACATCAGACGAACCGCCAGATGAACCGCCGGGTGAAGTGGCGAACCACCAAAAGAACCACTCTAGAACGCCGCCAAGGAAATGAAGGAGGAGAAACCAAATGAAGGGAGAGCAGGCAATATCCCGGTAACACCACCAGATCGTGCTTCGCGTGTCCACAAACAAGCAATTCTGCCCCTCACGTCACCTCCCACGGGGGCCAAACCGGTGCGAGAGGGCGATGGGGCGATTCAGCGGGTGCGGTGGCCCCACGAATCCCATCCACATAGCAGGGATCTCGACCTTCACCGTTCCGGCCAGTCGGCACCATGATCAGTCTAGGTTGCATTGGGACGGCAATCTCAACTCCAGGAGTAACACGAATATAAGACCTCGAGCCAGACTTGCTATTTCGAAGAAAGAATACCGCTGTTCGTTGCATCCCACCAAGTTTCTTCTTCTCCCTCGTTCAGGGCCTTACACTCTTTTGCATCACCACGTTCATTCACAAAACTTTAGTCACTCTTTTTCAGACTTCGACACACACTCTCTTTTTACCCTGAATCTGGAATTCATCATGAAGGGACTCATCCTCAGCACCGCTCTTGTCAGCGGAGCCATGGCCGCGGCCGGCCCCTACATGCCCTGCGGCGGCAAGGGATTCACCGGCGAGACAACCTGCGTGTCCGGTTACACGTGCACAGTTCAGAACGAATACTACAGCCAGTGCGTCCAAGGAAGCGCCGCCGGCGCCGTCAGCGCCCAGGCCCAGGCCACCACCCTGAGGACATCGACGAGACGGTCTTGTAAGTCCAAACCGGCTTACGCCAGCGACGTCGCGCCCCATGTGCCCACGACGACTAGCTCGCCTTCTTCGACCTCGGCCCCCGCCGTCGTTTCCGTGTCATCATCCGCGAAGCCTGTTGACACCAAGCCAGCTTCGTCAACGTCTACCCACGCCGCCTCGATCGTCATCCCCGTCAAGTCTTCGAGTGCTCCGGCCAAGTCTTCGGCTACTTCTGCTAAGCCCTCTGCCGCTGAGGTGAAGCCTACTACCACTGCTGCTAAGCCCTCGACTACCGCTGCCGCCGCGGTCTCCTCGGCTGCTCCCGCCACCACGAAGGCTTCTACATCCTCGAAGGCTGCCGCCCCTACCTCTGCGTCTGCCCCTGCCGCGTCCGCTTCTTCGACTCCCGTCAAGAGTGGAAAGTTCAAGTGGTTCGGTATCAACCAGTCCGGCGCCGAGTTCGGTCCCGGCTCCCTTCCCGGTACCGTCGGCAAGGACTACGTCTTCCCCGACGCCAACTCCATCACAGTGAGTCAATGAGAACTTGAGACGGATAATAAGACCAACCATTGACTGATATGTGCTAGACTCTCCTGAAGGATGGATACACGACTTTCCGTGTCAGCTACCTCATGGAACGTCTCGTTCCCAGTGGCCTCACCGGCACGTTCGACGCCGCCTACCTCGCCGGCCTGACCAAGGCGATTGAGCAAATCACCTCCGCCGGCGGCTACGCCGTCCTCGACGCCCACAACTACGGCCGCTTCCAGAACAACATCATCACCGACACCGCCGCCTTTAAGACCTACTTCACCAACTTGGCCACGCAGTTCAAGTCCAACGCCAACGTCGTGTTCGACACCAACAACGAATACAACTCCATGGACCAGGACCTCGTCCTCAAGCTCAACCAGGCCGCCATCGACGGTATCCGCGCCACCGGCTCCGAAAACTGGATCTGGGCCGAGGGTAACTCCTGGACGGGCGCCCACAGCTGGACGAGCGTCAACGACAACATGAAGGGCCTGACGGATCCTCTCGACAAGACCGTCTACGAGATGCACCAGTACCTCGACAGCGACAGCAGCGGTACCTCTGCCGACTGTGTCTCCGCCACCATTGGAGTCGAGCGTGTCAAGGATGCTACCGCGTGGCTCCGCACCAACAAGAAGGTCGGTGTTCTCGGCGAGTTCGCCGGCGGCGCCAACGCCCAGTGCAAGGAGGCCGTCGCCGGTCTGCTAGACTACCTCCAGGAAAACAGCGACGTGTGGCAGGGAGCGGCGTTCTGGGCCGCTGGATCGATGTGGGGCTCTTACATCTTCTCCTTTGAGCCCGAGACGGGCACTGGATACAACTACTACAACGAGCTGTTGAAGACGTACCAGTAGAGGGATGGGTAGAACCGCGATAGCCCAAGGCGGCTGGACTAACTCCGAGAGAAGTTGATTTTATTTCTTCTGTATAAAGTAGGACCTTTTCGGGACGTTTCAAAGGCGCTTGGACGGGATAGTGGGTGACATCTTGGAGATGTCGTGATGGCTTCAATTACCAAGAGGTCAGGACCCGTTGCCTTAACCGACCCGATTACAAATTCGTAGCGAAAAAAACATGGAGACGCTCGTGCAGCAGACCATTTTCGATTCTTGTATTTAAAAACTCACTATATTTCATGTCGCTTTCGACTTGTGGTCCTTCTTTTTTGATTTGGGTGCCTCATTCGTTGCAACGATTGTGATTGATCCGCGAGATTTATGTCGCGTATTCCCATCCCCCACTTAAGACGCCTTTAGTAGAAATCCCCCTTCTTTATGTTTCAGTCACTTTCGATGCTCCTGATGTGTGCACTGAAAGCTTTGCTGAGATCAGTCAAAATGCCAAAGTCCCACTTGATGGCACACGCGATTTCCTCTTAAGCTAAGGTAATGCGCGTTTGGAAATCCACATGCAGGTACCTACGGCCACAACCAACCAACGGTAAGATCTGGCCAAGAATTAATCCAACAGAGTACCTGGCAAAAGCCAAAGTTCCGAAGGGTCTGACAGGCTGGGGGCCGGGTGCAACGTGTCGCGATTGTGCAACGATCAGGTTAGGTGTCACCGCGGGGGCTTAAATAGGGTGTGCTGCCTGGTGGTGGCTGAGGATCCCTGTCGAAGGCTCTAGAAACTAACCGTAAGCAACGTCGTGGTCCGAATCCCTTCAAACTTTGGTTGAGGCAGAGTAGGCAACAGGCCCCCGCTGACGGTGGCACAGCTTAGGATTGCGAGTATAAATGCCAGATGATGCTTCTCCCCAGAACTCAATATTGCCTAGGTACTATTGTCTTGGAGAATCCAACCTTCGTAGCGCTCGTTGAAACCATATGTAAAAGGTCGCCCGATTAGATCTAAGAGGGTTAAATCCGTGGAGACGCAATTCCTCAAAGCATTCACTTGATCCTATTATCGTTAAAATTATGGTGTCTTTCAAAGTCGACGAAACCCCGGTGGACAATCCGCCGTTCAAAGGCCAAAGACCGGCCCCACAATCGGGACCTTCTACGGCCTGGTCGGACCTACCAGGCAAGGCCAATGTCCTCACCCGCCAATTCGCCGCCCTTCCCCTCATCGCACTTCTCTACACCGCCGCCGTACCATTCACGCCGGTGGTATGGGTTCTCAACATTGACGGGAGTTCCCTTTTCGACCGCCTCTTTGCCGGTATCATCATGTTATCGGCCTGCTACTTCCAGTGGCGTATCGCAGGGCTGAGATCGCCTCTTGCCGTCTTTCTTCCGGGCCCTAGCAACACAACTATTCGGAACGGACGAATTGAAACTGGGTCGAGCATGGGATTTGTGTGGCATCCCAGCAACTACTGGCCCTATGTCATCTGTGAGGCAATGCTCTTGGGCGTTGCCGAGTTTGGCGGAAACGAGTTGGTGAGACGAGGCATCGTTTGCAGCATCATTGCCGTGTTGTGGCTGGTTGGGTATCACGCAACTCCCGAGTCTACGAGACGATGGGCTTATGAGAATGTTAAGGGTTGGCTCTTCTGGATGGTTTTGGATGAGATGATGCGTGTTGGGGGAAGGAGTTACAGTGGACGCCGTCGGAGATGAGGTGGATAGCCCAGAGCTTTCCATCTCAAGTAGTATCAGTCGGTCGTCAAGTCAGGAAGTAGAATCTCTATAAATAAACTACTGCAAAGCTATCTCACTTACGTATGAAATAACAGGAAGATGATCTCAGTCGAAAACTTATCGGACAATAAGGAGTGACAGCTTTCGAAATGTTCTAGAGGCAATTATTTCATCGCTCACTTGGCGGAAAAGTACCAAAAATCAAAATGCACGTACCCAGATTTGTAATTATAGGTGTGTTGGAATGAGCAATAGTGCAGATATGGGGGCTCGCTTTCGGGTGCTTACATAAACTGGCCGGGTCGCATCCGTGCCGAGATTGAGGATCCACATGTCGGCCTACCCCGCCACCTAAATCCGATTACCCCAACCGAGCCGTGGTGGTTCCTGGATTTCATCTCGTAAAACCCCCACACCCGTTAATCGATTGCAGTTACGGAGTACTCCGTACGAACCATCTTACAACTTCCCATTGAGCTTGTTCAACCAAGCAATCTGATCGCCTTAACTCTCGCATTCGAAAAGCTTGCATCTGAGATACTGTCGTATTGAATTGTTGTGCACGACCGAGCATCCCGAAAGTCACCCGGCAAGAGCCCCATGTGGTTGCTGATCAGCGCGTCCAAGTGGACATGGACTCTTTCCTGAAGCAGCAGGTGCCATTGCACAAGGGCAACGACGAGATTAAGACTTCTTGGCAAACCGCAAGTCACTCTTTCTCTCGTAAAGAGCAAAACGATACATCAATGAAGGTCCGCAATGAGATAACGTTGGGGCGGGGGAGGAACGTTCATGAGGTCAGAGATGCAAGGTCGGTACTACCTCATTGACCGCGTCGCGTTTGCTGTCCAAGTACTTATCTATCGCCAGTCTGCCCCGTCGACTGCTCTCTTCTCTTGCCTTGCTGGCTTCTGTGAGCATCTGCTGGTGGCTGGTTCGAACGTCACCGCTCAACTTTCATTCCATCTTGGGCGACATGCAGTTTCGCGATGGCAACAGTGGCTTCCAGGCCGTCCTGGGAGCCACCCTCGGTGCCTTCATCGCCGGCCCAGTTGCTGCGGCGTCGGACAGCCCGTACACGCCTTTCGTTCCGATCGATCCCCAGGACTGGGTCAATCCGGACAACATGACATGGGGTGACTTCATTTCACCACCAGGCACGAATTGGTCGGACCCGGCGCGCAAGGGATCCAGCCGCAACTTCAACATCGCCCTGGTCGTCGTCGACTACCCCGATAGACCGTTCGTCATCACTCAGCCGGCGCACTCGACCATCTTCAACAACCCTCAGCCTGCAGGTGCTGACACCCCCCGGGAGAACGTTCCAACCTTCTACCGCGACCTCCTCAATACGCCAAATGAGCTGAATAATGGGCACACTCTTCACGAGTACTGGATGGAGGACTCGGTCGGCCGCTTCGGAGTCGATCTGACCGCCTTTGGTGCTTACCAGCTCTCTGGCAACGGCTATCAATACGGGATTGATGGCGGCTTTAACCCAGATGCCTGTCCTGAGGGAGAGACTTGCGACCTGAACATTCGCACCGATGCGCTCGCCGCTTGGCGTGCCGAGATCGGAAACGCCACTGCCGATGCTTTTGAGCTGGTCTTCATCCTCTCTGCCGGTCAAGACGAATCCTCAACATGGCAAGAGTTTGGCGAGATGAAGTTCAATAGTCCCGAAGACGTACCCGATGAGTTCGGCCCCCCGAAAAAGGGAAACAGCTCCCAGACCAACTATGCGCGCACACGTTACGTTCCTTGGACCTCCTGGGCGGCGGCATCGACACTCTGGCCCAACGCCGGTGGTGGCTCGTCTACTCAAGGCGAGAGCTCTGGCATGGCTGTCTACGCCCACGAGCTGAGCCACTTGCTCGATATCGGCGATAACTACAATAACCCGTATGGTCTTCCCCTACGCAGAGCATACACCGGGCCGTGGTCCATGATGTCGCGCGGCTCTTTCAACGGCCCCGGCGGTCCCCATACCCGTTGGCAGATCCCTGCGCTAAAGGGTGCGTCGATGGGCTCGTTGCATACTTTGCGCGACAAGTTCCAGCTCGGACTGATTGACAAGACTGATATCCTGTGGCTGTCTCGCGAAGGGCTGGCAACCTCTGGAGTTGCTGTTGCCAACCTGGTTGCTCGGTCCGTCGATCCGGGCGATGGATTGATGGGTGTCCGCATTATCATGGATGGCGACCGATCCCCGGCATGTAACATCACGACCGAAGTGCTCTGCGACGGCGGTAGCTGGGATAACTACGACATCGAAGTTGTGGACCGCATGGGATCAGACTCTTTCCAGCCGGATTCTGGTGTCTTGCTCAGCAAGTCCAAGAATGTCGACAACCAGCCCTTCCAGTGGGTTATCGACGCAAACCCAGAGGACATTGAGCTCATTGACTTTTACCGGCCCAACGGCTCCGTGGCGATGATCACCCTCGGCGACTATCGTCAGCTCGCTGACGCGCTCTTCCACGCAGGCACGAACTCTGGCAGCGAGTTTGAGTTTATCGATGTGCCCAACAGTTTGCACTTCTACATCGTCGACCGTCACCGCGATGATGAGGGTATCCTCTCATACACTGTCGCTATCCGCTCTCTGACGGGCGAAGGCGGCGCGAGCACCCACGACGTCTCGCTGGAGAATGGCGCCGTGACGGGCGCCAAGAACGGCACGGCTGCTACCCAGGGCGTGACGTGCTCGTTCCAGCTGACCAACAGCGGCACCTACGTCGCCGTCGACCCTGATGCGGCCCAGCACCCTGAGGATGTCTCCGCCTTCCTAGGTTCAGACGTCTACAGGCTGAGCGCCGAAGTTGAGGGTACCGGCTGGCGGGTGGATTTGCCCAATGCTCTTGTCACGGCCAAGTTCGGCGAGATTAAGACGGCGTACGTTTCGGTTGGCGCCGCGTCCGATGCGGCGAGCACGGCGGTGGTGACGCTCAAGGCGACGTCGGAGTCCGATCCGTCTGTAGCTGCAACGGCGCAGTGCCAAGTGACTAAGTCATGAGGCTCCGACTTGCGGGGTGGAAAACACATATACCGGCATGCTTACCTTGTCGAATATCGTCAATCGATTACGTACTTAAGTACCTAATAAGTCTTTTTTAGAGCTTCTCGTTCTCCTGCATGATCGAGGCCCGCCAACGTGGGGTTTCTGCCGTGACTCGATGCAATGCAGTCCCGCTGCGGGGCCGCTTAGGGCTAATGAACCCGTTTTCACGCCTGAATCTTCATCAAATCCTCACGATCAATCGCCCAGATCGTCTAGTTGGTTAGGATGATACGTTGTGGTTCTTCTATACAGCGATCCGTGTTGACGGCGGTTCGAATCCGCCTCTGGGCATTGAAATCTTTTGTCGTTTGATGATGTTGCGATGATTGCTTTTTTGCAGATTTTGCCGACAGACCAGGTGTTGGAGGTGCATAATTGGAGATGGTGTGAGACCTCGTGTGAGAGTGAGCTGTGTGTGGTAAGCGGGTTGCTAACATAAACGAGAACGCTGCTGTCAAACGTAGTCTCTTTTTGGTCAACTGGTTGACAAGAAGTCCGCAGAAAACCAGTAAGTAAAGCTTTGTTAACTTGCTTCTTCTATGGAGGTACATAGGTACCAAGTAGTGTATTATATGTGCAGTAAGGTAGTAGGTTGAAGTATTGGAAATAGCATTTGGGTTTCGCGTCCCTAAGTGCCCCTCATTGTACGTAACTATTCCTTCTCGATACAGCAATTTAGGTATTCGCCGCGGGATCATATAGGTCGGCTCATGACGTGCGCAACCTCCAAACTCGCACCATCCCCGCCGCCCCCGGGTCCGGCGCCGGCAGCGGACCTGTTCACCGCGAAGCCTGAAGCTTTCGAACGTCATTGCTAACCCGAAAAGTATGTCAAGTCAACCTAATTCATTCTATCAAACCCAACCGACTTTAATTCAGAACCGGATCTAAGCAACTGAGCTCTCGCTGGTATCAAGCGCACCATGCCACCCACAGGGAGCTTCAGCGAAATACCCACAATAGACCTCTCCCTCGCCCAAGACCCCGCAACTGAGGCGGATTTACTCGCCCATCTGCGCCACGCTCTCACCAACGTCGGGTTCTTGTACATCATCAACCACGGGATCCCCGAAAAGACTATTTCTGATGTCGTCGGCGCACTGCCAAAGTTATTCGCGCTCCCGCCCGAAGCAAAATCCGAGATCGCGCTAAGCAATTCCCCGCACTTTCTGGGATACAGCGGTGATGGCGCGGAGACGACAGCGGGGAAGAGCGATCGGAGGGAACAGGTCGAGTTTGCTACGGAATTACCGAGCGGGCTGGAGGAGGGTCTGCCGCTGAGAGAACGGCTTCGTGGGCCGAATCAGGTGAGAATATATATTTCATGGCTGTCTTTCCTGCCCCATCTCTTGCGCTAGTCTTCTGATCTATCAGTCGCAGTGGCCGTCTTCATACCCAGCGCTGCGTCCTATTGTTGAATCGTACATATCGGAAATGACCGATTTGGGAAACCGCTTCCTCATCTTGGCAGCCAAAGCACTCTCTCTCCCGCCAGAGACTTTCCTCTCCTATCTCTCGGACCAACACCGCCTGAAACTAGTTCACTACCCTGGCCTCCTGGAAAAAGAAGCAGGCGGCCAAGGCGTGGGTCCACACAAGGACTCGTCCGGGTGGTGGACCTTCCTCCTCCAAGCCTCGCCGCCGCATATTAAGGGCTTACAAGCTCTCAACAAGACGGGCGAATGGATCGACGTACCAGTACTCCCGGGCTCCTTTGTTGTCAATATCGGTCAGGCGTTTGAGGTGGTGACGAACGGGGTGTGCAAGGCTACCACTCACCGCGTGCTGTCTGGGCATCTTGAGAGGTTCAGCGTCCCGTTTTTCCAGGGGGTGAGGAGGGATCTTACCAAGGAGGAGGCGGTGAGGTCTCTGAGGGAGCATTTTGCGAGGCCTGAGATTAGGGGGTTGGTGTCGGAGTCTGAGGAGGGGAAGGAGATTGATTCGGCGTTTTTGAAGGGAAAATATGAGACTTGGGGGGAGAGCCAGTTGAGGACGAAGGTTAGGAGTCATAGGGATGTTGGAAGGAAATTTTACGCGGATGTGTTTGAGAAGTATGCCAATGATGATTGAGGACGGTTCACGTTAAGCACCAAACTACAATGTCCATATCAAGTTCGATACTCCTTTTTCCCATGTCCAACAACTCTTTATTCACCTCCATGTACCTTCAGTCGTAATACTTGGCCTTCACCCCTTTCACAATTTCCTGTTCGGAGACCTCGCTTCTTGCTTGGCTACGATTTACGCCCGCCCTGACGCGAGCCTTCACCCATTCACCAGCTGTGATTCCAGCCACAGCCGCATTCTCATTAGAATTGTAGCCCAGCCTTTGGAGAACCTTGCTTTGGACCGGTCTGAGCTCGAGACTATCTTCAGGCCGTACGAAGTACAGTACACCTAGACGATCAATCCCCGCCTGGTCTGGGGGTGGAGCGACGACGCGATGAATGCTGCTTTTCAGGAACCCATTACTCAGAAACTCTAGCGCGTCGGCCACGTTCACAGTGATGCTACCGTTGTATGGTTTGACCCTATTTGGTATTAACATGGTTACCACAAGAAATATGCGAGATATTAACATACCACTTCCAGTTGCCATCTTTGCCTCGCACCTGGAGAGCTGCAACAGGCTGCCTGAACAGCAAAGTCAGACTCCCAAAGTCAGTGTGGCCTTTGACCCAAACGTTTTCCAGTCTTTCGTTGGTCTTCACATCTCGCGCGTGGTACTTCATGTATCTCAAGTGACAGTCCGACAATGCCTCATCATAACGATGGCGGGCAGCGAAGTGGTCTTCGGGTAGCTCCAGTATGATTGCAAACAGCGTCAGTAGCCGGTTCACAATTTCGTTGTGAAGATGACGTGCGAAATGTTCAATTTCTGCTCTGTTTTTTTCGATCACCTCGGGTTGTGGGCGCTCGTAGGCAGGGATGAACTTCGGGATGTTGAAGATCTCGGTGTTGTCAAAGACTCCGGGCCGGATTTCCTGGATCACGAGATTCAGCATGAGGAAAATGACGAGAACCATTTCCATAACAACAATTCGAACACTCACCCTTAGGCCAAGCGGTTTGTACCCATTATAACCGCCGTTTTCTAGGTCGGCACGATACTTGAGCTTTTCTTCGGTGGGTAGTTCGAAGACAGACTTTCCTATCGCGAATTGGCGATCGACGTCTCCTTGACTCAAACCAAAATTGACAATGTAGAAGAATCCAATGGTTTGAATGGCATCAAAGAGCTGTTTTGCGAGAGCTTCTTTGCCATCCGGCTGGTCAAACTTTGAAAGATCAAGTGTAACTAAGTCTGCCCACTCAACTACGGAAATATTTCAATAAGCTTCATATTTGATAGCAAATATTGACTCCTCGTATGCTCACGTTCGTACTTGGTCTCTGGGACCTGGTGGTATACGGGAAGAGTGGAACTCTCATAATCGTGACGCACTGGGTTTGTTTGCACCGTTGCAGCCATTGCTGGAGTCGAAGCTGAACTTTTGAGCAGTTGTTGATGCTACTGACGTGGATGCAGAGTCCACCATCTAGACTTTCATAAGTTCGCGACTCCACACGACACCGAAACATTCATTATCTTATGTGCCACGAACGACGCATCTCCGCACTCGGCCTCTCTGATGTTGTTAGCGTGAGATGCCCGTATCTCGCCATCGCGGGGTATGATTGCGAATGCAAGGATCTTCGACGGACTTCGTCCGCTTACTTAGTTGAACAGCACTGTCATCAGTGAATTGCCCAATGATCATAATAGATACCCCAGCAGCGCGTCAAAGCCCCCCACGAAAGGATTCTCAGGAAGAGATCAAGAAGCAAAGACTTATCGCGGAAGGCTCTCCCGGGCTCAAATGATGCTACTTGTCTCCTCTTGGCACACTTGAGACAATCCATGCATATGTCTACATGTGGCCAGTAATGGTGCACGACACCCCCGTTATCTTCATTGCTCGCGATTTCGGGAAAGATGACATGATCGGTAGATGAATGCAGGCTCGGCTTGTTTCCGTCAGACTTTTCAGTCTTGTTTGTTGTGAAGTTCTTGGCGACTAGTGAATCGTTTGACCCCAGCCCTCAATAAGTAATATTCAGCAAGCTTCACAAAACCGCGCAATGCCTTTGCGTTTCGAGACTCGGAACCTTGGATGGCCAACCAAGAGATTAGATTCCTCCATCATTTCATAATGGCCGACACGAAGGATATCTCAACCAGGACGAACTCTTTGTCTGGCGGCGGTGGAGCCAGCAAAGACGGCTTGACATTTGCTCGACGTGGGGAGCAAATCGACGAATCGATCAGCGGAGATGTTTCTGGCTTTGATGCCGAGAGAATGAGAGCCAGGTCTCTGCTCACAGCTGATGAGGAGAAGAAGCTCATGCGACGTGTCGACCTGAGGATAATGACAATATGCTCTCTGCTCTTCCTGATGAAGAACATCGACTCTGACAATATTTCGAATGCGAGAATCATGAACAAAGGAACACCAAGGAACATCATGACGCAGCTTAATATGACTTCTGACGAATACAACCTTTTGACGGTGTTATACTACGTATGTTACAGCCGCACCTGAGTTACCGAGCTTGCGGCTAATTGGTCCAGGTACCCTACATTGTTCTGGAAGCGCCTTCAAATCTTTTGTTAAAGCGACTCAGACCGAGTGCTTGGCAATCGAGGATAATGATCTCCTGGGGCATTGCGCTTCTCTGCCACGTTCCTGTCACCAATAAAGGCGGTATCTACGCTACCCGATTTCTGCTTGGTGCAGTAAGTCCAGTCTTTTTGTGGGATATCAAAAAAGCTACCGACATTTCTAATAATGCATAGTTCGAAGCAGGAATGTTTCCTGGAGTCATACTTCAGATGACCTATTGGTAAGCTTTGCCTAGCAGCTTTACCAGTTGATTGATTGAATAACCCCTTGGCAGGTACAGACCGGACGAGATGTCGATTCGGCTGCTTTACTTTTGTGAGTAACCCCTTAGTCGATTCTCATCGCCGGGCAAAATTTCTAACAAACGAGGTAGATGTCCTCGGTAATCTCTCCGGAATCTTCAGCGGTATTCTCGCGTTTGCCTTCGATACTGTCTCCGGATCAAGAGGGTTGTCAGGGTGGCAGTGGTAAGACATCACTGAAAATGAGCTTCCTGAAAGCTGACAGCGGAACCGCATAGGCTATTCCTCGTGGAAGGGCTCATTACTCTCGTTTTAGGGACTGCGGTATATTTTCTCCTGCCTGACTGTCAGTTCGAGTTCCTTTGAACCTGCTACCGATTATTATAATTCTAACAATGTCTTGTGCTAGTCCCTCCCACTGCGAAGTGGCTGACTGAAAAGGAGAAAGCCTTCATCCAAGCACGGCTTCCACCCAATGCCCCGAGAGCTGAAGAGATGAACTTCAATTTCAGCGAAATTGTGGACTCTCTGAAAGATCGACGTCTTTGGCTCTTCACTCTCATTTGGGCCACATTTACTGTCGGTACATCTGGTGTCCGTTTCTATCAGCCAACGGTCATTGCCAATCTTGGGTTTACAACCATAGCCCGAGCTCAGTTACTCAACTTGCCAATCTCGCTCTTGTCCATCTTTGTCATCGGAGTAACGGGATTTTTTGCTGACAAAGGAACCGTGCCGCGGCCACTCTACCCCTTGGGCGTTTTCGCTGTCGTGATCGCGTGTTACGGAGTGTTGGTCGCCTACCCGTCCAATGGCGCCGTCTATGCCGCAACGCTCGTCGGCAACGCTTTTACGTCCGCCTTCTTCCCTCTCATGTGGCCATGGCGCGTCCAGACCACTTCAAGAGCCACAGGTTCGGCCTTCAGCATCGGGTTTGTCAACAGCTACGGTCAAATCGGAGGTGCTATTGGGCCTCAGATCTTCAGGTCAAAGTATGCGCCGCGTTATCAGACAAGTTTCGCAGCAGCAATGGCTCTGGTTGGGTGCTGTGCCATTGTTACGCTGATTACTTGGTGGGTTACGAGGAAGACGGAGTCCGATACTCGGCGTCTGAAAAGAGCTCGAATTGGTGCCGAGAGGGATGGCTTGGCTGTGTTGAATGATGTCGTGGACCAGGATCTGAATAAAAAGCGATCCAATGACGAAGAAAGCGCCTGAAGCAGCCTAGCATTTATCGTCCTGCAGCGCGATACCTAGCGTATGAGCCGAGGTGGCTTTGAAAACCCGTCTCAAGCAGTAGCAAGAATGCTGCTTCACCGGCTGAAAGACCTTTTCATCAATTTGGCTGGTGGCAACACTTGAGCTCACTTAACGTCTCTTTGTATTCTTCCGCAGCTACAAAATCTGTACAACTACAATAATAGAATACGTATATACGCTCAATTGTTGAAACCAACCTAATGCTTCTTGCTCTTATGTGCCAAGGTTGAGCCCTAAGAGATGTTTGAGTTTCTGCAAAGCCAATCATCTGAAATGTCGTCAGACCGGGGACCGATTCAATATCGACGACGTTGACTCCAGAGACAAGTGCCGAGCCTTTGGTGCACTGGCCCTCTTTGGCGACGGAATCATTTCAGTGGTTGATCCAGACCTTTCGTCAGATCTATGTGAGAGCGTTCTGATCTTTGAGAAGGTGCATCTCCAGAGTTGACTTGCGCTAGGCATACAGGCAACAAAAACACCAACATCAAGTTCCGCAAGGGACCAGACATAGACCCACAAGGCCTCAGCTGAGAGAGTCAAATATGAGTTTGGATCGTTCCTGGGAATGAAGATGGAAAGAATGATAAGGATGGAGCTTACAAGTGATGTTATTGGCGGTCGCAAAGTGAACCAAGACTTGAATCCTGAGAGCGCTGATTGCGGTGAGGCTGATTTGACATGATCAGCAGTCTGAATACATTTCCTCCCACGGTGGAACTTACAATAATCCAACAGAAAACATCAAGATGACCCCTAATTTCTTCTTGAATCCGAGATTCAGTTTATAAAGCTGTGTGAGTGGCAGGGCCAGCATCCAAATATCCAAGAGAATGTTGAAGCCAACGTGAGTCAAGACGAGCTTGTTGAAGTCCATGCAAACGCCTGCTTGTTCTCCATCCCATCCAAGCCAGTATTTGTTGAGTGGGCGACATTGAGTGAACGTGAGAATGAGGTACAAGAATAATAACAAAGCATTGAAACCTTGTGTAGCCCATAATACTCGGCGAAAGCGAACAGATGGAAAAATACGGAGGTAGAAGAATAAGATGGACGCTTTGATGGTACTCAAGCCAGTGATGTAGAAGATCTGGGTACTAAAAAGAATCTAAGCAACGGTTAGTCTAAGTGTCTTGGAACTACTGTACGACCCTCAGGAATTCGGTGTGTTTTTCTCTCCCACGAAATCTTCAGTGTTCAGATATTACCTTGAGGAACTCGGTGATTTTATAAGGTTGGAGAGTCCAGATGTCCCTCCCAAGACCAATAGCTAGTACTGCAACCAATGTCAGTCGATTGTAATTCGGGTGGTTGTTAAGTGAGCAGGGTGTGCAATTACATCGATACACAATAGGCACCAAAGCCGTCGCGCATGCCTGTTTGGACATCAGAATCGGTGCAGCGACGTGACAGTCCAGAATCTGACTTACAAACCCGATGAAGATGCAAACGTCATCAGCGCCCCAAGGAGATGGGTTGACAAATTTGTTCAAGATCCGTATGCACATGAAGATGACTGGTAAGATGAAGAGTGTACCTGTGAGGAATCGGGGTATCGCTGTGTTGTCGGTCAACGGGAAGCCGCAGTTTGCCCACGTCATATTTGCTACGACTTGTATCACTGTTAGAGTCTGAAACTTCTAGAGTAATTTGATTCCATGCTTACTGAGGCCCTCTTTGACTGTGCATCCAGAGTTAACACAAGCCCCAACATTGTCGTTGAAGACCGGGTCGGCGCAAAGACAAGTCTGGTTCAGACCAGTACATGGGGACTGAGGTAGGGCATCAACGATGCAGGTAACCTAGATCTGTTAGCTTGAACCTTGCTGAGACGGGATTCGGACGTTCGTACTGCGCAAGGAGGATAATCGGAGATGCTAGGAATGGCTCCGGCTGCGACGGTGATAATGCAAAGTAGGAAAGTGAGTGCGCCAAACGTCCTCATCTTCACTCAACACTCAGGATTGCTGAAACATCAACGGCTAGTGAAGCCGAATCGAAAGAACGAAGGTTTGGAATATAAGAGCCACAGAGTGCGAAGGATGGGAATCTCAGGGGAACATTCGCGTGGCGACATTCGAGGTTCGCTTCCTTTCATTGAAGCAATGACGAGATTGGTTCCATTACATTACACACAGCGGTTCAGTTGTGAAAGAAAACCATGCTTAACGGGCTTGTGGAATGCGAGCGGCCGCTCCATCGTGCCAGTGGCTCGGCTTGCTTGCGAACGGAAAGATATGCAGCCCGTTTCTCTCAGGCAAAGCCATGTGGCTGTGATCGACCACAGCTGAGGATCTGGACGCGTTTGGACCACCCACTCAATTGGTGGAAGGACCATCGGACTTTTAATCCTTTTCACATGTCTTTGGTCTAGGCGGCATATCATCCGGCATGGATTGGTGGCGTTCCTGATCTATGCCTAATGCAGGTCCGGCATGTTCAGATCACCCCAGGACGATGATCAAACTTACCATCACTTTGTCAATCCCATTAACAAACAGCAGGATTTGAATTTCCTAATTCGTGACAAGGAAGCTCCTCGCAAGCATAAGCATCAAAAGCGTGATAGGGTACCTCGGCGAATATGTATTTGTGTGAGCTAATTCTCCTTCAGAATATCGGCAGCCTTTTCAGCTACGGCATACATAGTCGCTTGCAAATGACAAGCTGGAATCAGTGGAATGATACTGGCATCAACCACCCTCAGGCTCTCAACACCGTAGACACGAAGTTGGGGGTCCACAACGCCACCATGCTCCAAAGGTTGCAAACTCGCTGTTCCGCTGGGGTGCGCAAAGCTGGCAAAAAGGGAGTTCCTGATAGCTTCAGCGATAGCCTGGTCAGATGTGACATTGACACCCGGAGAGATCTCAACGGCCTCCCTAATCGCCAAAGTGGGAGTATCCCAGACTTTGCGGAAATCTTTGACACTGAGGACTGCAATATCGACATCAACGGGGTTTTGAAGGGTACCAAAGTCGATGATGGGCGGGTTGGCAGGGTCAGGATTGGTTGAGCTGATCTTGATGGTACCACGAGACAGAGGCTTCTGGAAAGCAATTGCGCCACCAGAGAAGCCCCCGAAGGGAATCTCCAACACGCCTGCCTCTGGGTTTCGGAACAGTTTGGTGAGAGCTTCACGCTGAGACAGGAAGCCCTCTAGAAGCTCGGGGTGCTCTGAGTAGATCTCCGGAAGGAAGTCAAGCGCGTTCTGAGCTTCGACAGACGCTGACAGAGCTTCATATTCCGGAGTAAGATCCTGGAGAGATCTGAAGATGATATTATTCCCACGAGCGTGAGTGAAGGGCCCAGTTCGATTGGCAAAGTACTCGGCCTCAGATGCATTGAAGAATGCCGGATCGTTCATGGCCTCGCTCCCAAGCTCAGGAGGGTTACCGTACGTATACAACATCAACATCCATGCGTGATCCTGGTAGTTGCTACCCACACCAGGGAGGTCGGCGACTACATCGACGTCGAGAGACTCCAGCAGCCCAGCGGGGCCGATGCCACTCTGGAGCAGGACTCTCGGCGTCTGAACGCCGCCGGCGGCAAGGACAACTTCCTTCTTTGCCTTCACCAATGTTGTGGCGTTAGTTTCGCGTGAGATGATGTTGACGCCGACAGCTTTCTTATCCTCGAACTCGATCTTTGAAGCATAGTGCTTCACAAGGAGGTTGAGATTTTTGCGAGTTTCGGCGATAGGCTCATAGTATGCTGTTCTCGAGGTCGACCGAGTAACGTTCTTTGGGTCGTGGTTTTGGGGGAGCTGAGCCAGGCCAACGTTGTTTCCTCCGGCACCGTGGTCATCGAGTACAGGAACGCCAATGTCCTCAATCCAGGCCTTTCTTTGAAGATCTAGGAAGCATTCATGTTAGTTTTGAAATAGAGTCCTGTAAATGTTAGGAGGGGTTCAAGTTTTCGCGTACCTCTGTCGGGCCATTGCCACGAGGGAAAGCCAGCTTGGAGAGGACCATCACCATAGGTGCTCGGGTCGTAACTAAAGTTGTACCTCTCGACATACTCGGGCGCGGGAAGCGTAAATGTAGATGACTGGGGAAAGACGTCAGCACAAGTAGTTCAGCCCTATTTCTACCGTCGGTTTTTGCACACCTTTTTGAAATAGTGGAAGAGGCTGTCCCAATTCCATCCCGGGTTCCCTAGCTCCTCCCACGCGTCGTAGTCGGCTTTCGAGCCGCGATCAAATGCCATGCCATTGACAGTAGAGCCACCTCCAACTACTGTTCCAGTCTGAACACCAGAAGTCCTGTTGTTCAATCCAGGTTGTGGGATGGACAAGAATTGGATCAAATCGTTGGGGTGTAGGTTAGAAGCGTAGTAGGGGATAGCTACGTCCCAGCTGGCGTCGAAGTCTCCATACTCAACAACCAAGACAGTTACTGTTAGAGATGTCGGTTAGCAGCAGGTCAGTCCGCTATTTCAAGAACGCGTCATTCGGTTACCATCCGGGTCTTCGGTGAGTCTATTGGCAACCACAAGGCCACTCAAGCCACCGCCCACAATCACGTAGTCGTAAGAGCTGTGGAGATCCGTCGTGTTTCTCTTGGCGAACTTGGCAGCCGCTGGCACAGCAATTGCAAGCTGTACTTGGCCCAAGACAAGGGCGATCCAAGCTGCTGCTTTCAGACCACGAATGATAGCCATTGCACAAACTCGAGAAAGTCGGCAGGTTGAATGACGAGACGCACAACAATCGAAAGAGAAGCTTTCTCAGGACTAGAGGGTCGTTTCCAATCATTTAAAGGCTCAGACCCAACGGACTGCTGTCAACACATCCTAGTTCATTGCCTTCGGGCTACTGCACAAACATCGCCTAGTCCAATTGATCGCATGTTGTTCAACGGTGCGCTTCTGCGCGAGAACCCCGCCAGGCCCAACAGCCCTTGCCGTCGACGGGTCTTTAGCAAGGATTATTCAAGTGCAGTGTGCAAAAAGTCGGGGAGCGGCGGATGTGGCAAAGCAATCCCATGCAATGGGTTTCTGTCCCGCAGTCCTAGGCGTTCCCATAGGGCAGGTCGCAAATGGAATATCACGGCCCCAGCGTGACACCCCGGACGACACATGGGTTAGAATCAACAGACACCAGGGCCCGACCGGCCGGTGGGACGGCCCTTGTTCTCCAAGTTGCCACATTATCCAGCCGATGTTACGCTGTCTGCCATTCTTCTCGAAGGTGTAAGCACTAAGGATATTAACTCGCCTGTCTTTGATCTTGCCATTTAAGACTGCGATGTTTAACCACTATCCCCAATTGAATTGATCAAAGAAGCCAAGGTAGTAGTGGGGTCTTGATTGTCGTATACGAGATTAGTGCTACGAATCTATAGTTTTGTACACACGATGTACTTTGCAGTTGAAGCGGTCTCTCGCAAGCTCTATGGAGACTTCGCTAATATTCGTCTAAGATTCCCTTATGACACTCATGCCGTCCCCAAGGACGTTCTCAAAAGTAATTCAACAGTTGGTCAGCGAGCCGCGGTCAGCACCGCTAACCTGATAGATGCTGCCTCCGATCCTTCCTGACGGTTTCATGCGAACAGTTACATTTCCAAGAGCTTGTGTAAGGCAAGGCTGTTATTTATATCGATCCCTCCATGCCGGCATGGTGTCTAAGCGTACACCTGGCAAGGCCTATGGAGCCTAATGGTCACTTGTTCAATCTCAGCCGCCAGTATCTACTTTGACTACGCGTGGGAATGTTAGGGCACCCCGCACGGGGACGCCAGGATCTTATCATATTCAGGCCAAGAGATTGTGAAAAATTCGACGCGTATGAATGTCCAGCCTTGCACTGGGCAGGAACGGTCGTGTACGCAGCTTTTAATGTACGAAGATAAGAGGAAAAACAGCTTTTGAATAAGAAGGAATGTCTGAAAGCGTCACCATGTCGAAAACTTCCACTGCGTGAATTGATGAATTACCTTACTGTATGACTGGTGTATTATATTCCTTGACCTTCTCAAGGCCATGACCTGAAGGGCTCACATTCAAATTCCGGACAATGCTCCTGGAGTTGAAGAAACAACATCTGATTTCCTCTAATGTACGTAGCCTGCAACCTTTGACCTTAAGGTAAGCTGGGCATGCAATGTTGCGCATTTTACAATGTGATATCATGCCCCAACTACGTAAAATCCCACCTTGCGGTCTAAGCAGATCATATTCTTTTGCGAGTCTCCGGAATTTTCCTTAGAGCTTCCAGCCCTCAAGCTCGGCGGTCTTGTTATATGAGGCAAGGTCAACATAGTGAACCTGACGAGTGCCGTTGCGGCCGAACTGGTCTCCGCTAATGTCAACGAGCGTCTTGGAGGTCTGTGACGTGCCGTTGAGCAGGCCGGGGAACGCGCCGTCCAGCATGCCGACAATATCCGCGGGCGTAAAGAAGTCCAAACCCTTGGCCTCAATCTCCTTCTGGAAGAAGGACACGTATCTGCGGGAATGCTCGACATCGACGGACGGTCCGAAACCCTCGACAGATAGGGCATGACCGGGGATGATGACAGCCGGCTTGAGGTGCTGGATAAAGTCTAGGGTCGAGAGCCAGGTGGAGGTCAGCGCGGGGGAGAGCAAGTCGGCGAGCCAGAGATGGACGGTGTGACTATAGACAGAGTCGCCGGCAATGAGGGTCTTGATGGAGGGTATCCAGAAGAGGGTCTCGTCGATGGTGTCGGCAACCAAAGGACTCAGGAGCTCAATGGGCTCATTCTCGTTGCCAGGCAGGACGAAAAAGGTAAAGTCATAGGGAGTTGGGACAGTGGCCTTTTCGACCACAGCGTCGGCTCCAAGGATGCCGCTCCAGATTTTCAGCTGTAAGGGGGAACTGTGTTAGTGACTCTACTCTTCAAGTTTGAGTTAGAAAGGGAATTGCCCTGATATCACCTTATCCTCGACTTCATTCTCGATTAGGGCCACAGCCTGAGAGTTGGCGTAATACTTTGCTTCGGGAAAGTGAGCTAGGAACGCGGAACCGCTGAGGTAGTGGTCGGGGTGGAAATGTGTGGTAAAGACGGCTACTAGGGGCTTGTCGGTGGTCTTGACCACCCAGGCCGCGAGCTCCTCGGCCTGCGGAACCGCGAGGGGCATGTCGATAAGCAAAGCCGCCTCGGAGCCAATAATCAAGGAAGAGACCATGTCAAGAGACGGGCCTGAACTGATGAAATTCTCGACTTGCAGGACCGAAGAGCACACTGCGCGAACGGCAAGTGCCCGCGAGAGCGCGAGGGTCATGAGGTTGAAAGACTTCATGGTGCCTGTATTCATGGAGCGAAGCGATAACTTCAAGATTGAGAGATGGTTTATTTGGAAGGACGAGTAAGCGTTGTGCAATCCATATTCAGATGGAATTACCTTTTGCTTTAATACTCCAGCGACCGCTTGATATCCTCGTAATTGGCATTATTGCCAAGCTTTATTTTTGATTACATACTGATTGCAGTACGATCCCTGGAGTCACCGATCAAGTGGAAAAATTTTCGTCGAGATGTTCTCTTCACGCGGTTTTCGAGCAGTCGGTCGGACGGGCGCAAAAAAGTGCCGGTTGTACAAATCGAAAAATGGGCACACTTAGTCAGAGCCAGTCTAAAGACTTGAGGTTGATGGAGCTTATGCAAGGCAACGCACCCAGATAGTGTGGACCTGCCCCATGCCAAACACTGTCACAAGGATCTCGATAGTCTCATTGCTGACATCCTCTAGAGGTGCACTGGCGAATTTCAAGACATGCTGTGTAGATAGTCAAAATTTCCAGTTTGTTCTATGGTCCAGCTTGGTAATGGCACACCCATCGCCTGGGGTGTTTGCCGCGCAATTGCCACGACACGAATCTTCTATCATGACTCTGTTTTCGTAATCTTGAAGTGACGTAGAGATGGCGGAGGGATTCCGCCATAAAGCCATACGATATAAAGAGACCGAACGAATCCTGGACCCACGATTGTTACTGTCCTCTGCAATTCCTATGAGCTCGATTGCATCTCATATAAGACAGACTTTCCACGGACTCTCGCTACACTGTCAAAATTTACTTCAAAAATACCAGATCTTATCGAATCACAATGGCGCAAAACCAAGCAGTCAAGACTGTTTCCGCTGGAAATGCCCAGGTGGTCGACGTCCTCGTCCCAGGCCTGCCAGCAGCTGACTACCTTCTCGTCAAAACCTCTGCTGTGGCAATAAATCCTACAGACTGGAAACACGTGGAAGCCGCCGACCACGCTGGCTGTGTCGGTAGTTGGGTGGGCTGCGACTATTCCGGCGTCGTGGTCGAAGTTGGGCCTGGTGTCACCAAGGGCTTCAAGAAGGGCGATCGAATTTGCGGCCCAGTTAATGGCTCGTGCGTCTCTGTCTTTTTTTGAGAGAAGTTGAATACGATGTGCTGACAGGGGTAAGGAACGCGTTGAGAGAAGTTGATGGCAGCTTCGCAAGGTACATTGTTGTGAAGAGTGATCTGCAGATTCCCATCCCCGACAACCTTTCTGATGAACAGGCTGCTACCCTCGGCATTGCTATTACCACCGTCGTGCGTACAGCTCAAGAATGTTCCTCTTGTAAGATAACAGTGGCTAATGCGAGAAACGTATTCGCTAGGGTCAAGCTCTGTATCAGACGCTCAAGCTTCCACTGCCCACATCGCCCGCCGAAAAGTCTGCGCCTATTTTGATCAACGGTGGAAGCACCGCCATGGGCATCTTTGGCATCCAGTACGCTAAGCTTTCCGGCTTCAGCGTCATCACTACAGCCTCGCCACACAACTTTAACTTTGTCAAGTCGCTCGGCGCTGACATCGTCTTCGACTACCGGATCCCTACCGTGAGCAAGGATATCCGGGAGTATACTCAAAACGACTTAACACTCGCGTGGGATTGCCAGAGCACCGAAGAGTCTGGTATCCTCTGCGCCAAGGCGCTGTCGACCAAGGGCGGCTCGATCGCTAACTTGTTGCCCATCTCAGCCGAGAAGGTGCTGCAAGCCAACCCTCACGTCAAGATCGGGACGAGCTTGTACTACACCGTCTTCGGCGAGCCCTTTGGCTTCTTCCAGACGTATGAGGCCAATGCTCAGGACCTGGAGTTTGGCAAGATATTTTGGGAGCTGAGTCGTGGACTGCTGGCGAACGGCAAGGTGAAGCCACCCCCTGTGATATTGAACAAAGGCGGCAACGGGCTGCAGGGAGTCTTGGTCGGCTTGCAGGAGTCCAAGTCGGGCAAGGTCAGCGGCGGGAAATTGGTGTACACACTTTGAGAGACGTCGGGTCGATAATGTTGACAATGTACACGTACGAAGTGTAGACGTAGATACTTCAAGTATCTAGGGCGAACGTTATCCGAAGTGCACTTCTTACAGGCGCATGCATCTCTATATCTGGTCTGGTCAAGGACAAACTTCTAGTCTTTCGACGCCCTACTCGGTAAAAAAGAAGATATCTCCAATGCAATCATGGTTTACCTGACTATCTCTATATCGTGGCAATACGTGTCTTGCCTAGACCGTCAACGCCATTGAAGTTGGATTCAGCGAAAAAAAACTCACTTTCATAAGCAGATTGACAAGCCGACTCCTATGTGGGCAATCTCGTAGCCAAGTTCGCCGTCGACTAGGGCTTTCGCTTACCAAGGACCATGATGTTAATAATTCAAGCTTGTGTTGTGACTTCTACCCATACAGCAGTAGACGGATGTATTATCGTACCGAGGTCGTTACTTTCTGACCACCGGTGTTGACCAGAGTGTATCACCCGTGAGAGTGCTTAGGTTTTCCCTGTCCCCAATGGGTAATTCGAACCCCTCATGAGTCTGTTATGCCTTATCGGTACATCTCTATGGAGTCTGTGTGGACCTCAACATGATGTGCTGCAAACGACTTCCCCTGTAACTCAGAGCTTTACGGCGGAATATTGCCCGATTAAGGTGATCGGCATGATAGTGCTTCCCCCCCCCCCCTCCAAACGCCACGTGCATCATACTTTGCCTTTTTACAACGGGACATTTACATAGTACATGCACAAGCCGGAGAAAACATCGGAGTAGTGATTAGTAATGTCCTGAAGCAGGAAAATGTGATGGCTTGGACGTCCATTAATTATCCCATCAACTGCGAGATAACGTCGGTACATAGCTACGTACCTATCACGAAGAGAAATAACAAATCACGTATCATTCTACAGTAATCCGGATCGTTCCTATCTTACTCCCATCCGATATACTCAATTCTAAAATTCGGCTGTCAGAGAAAACTGGAGGCTGATGTACCGAAGTCATCTCGCAGTTGATGGGATAATACAGGTGCCATAGCGCACCTCTGAAGTAAGCAAGACTGAGATTGGATGAATTCGGTTCGAGTAGATAGCTGCCAGGGAGGTGATAATGGAGATGCCAAGGCCAGTGGTGAGTTTCTGAAGCTAACACGGACTTATGACTACAGATTAGATGACTGAACACGTAGCTAAGGAAGGAAGGAGGTCCACGCAAGGTGGTGAGGTATTGCTAAGGCTTGTCATCCCACTCTCCGACGCGAATCGTGCAACCTTTGTCGCTTTCATCGCGGTTTACATGCGATTGACTCGGAGATTGATAGCAACCATCAAAACATCAGCCTTGCCGCTCAGTGGCAAAGTCATAACTCCTAGAGTGCGGTATAGTTTAGGTAAATCTTTTTGGTTGTAGGTAAGACCATTATGCTTGAAGCTTTAGGCTTGTGCGACCATGAATTCAAAGAATGATTCTGGGGCGAGTATTCCCGAGAAAGTGGTTGTCGTTTTGAAAAGAACATACCTTGGTCACCGATGCCGAAATAGCATGCAAAATTGAATACAGGATATTCTGAATTGACGGTCGGAGGAAAAGCATAGTACCTAATGGGACAAGGTGTTGTTAAAAGCCACGCGAACGCATCACAGCATGAATTACGTGGAAGTTGTCCCTCACTATGCATGCTTTGAAGTTCAAGTATACATCAGCGGTGAATGAATTCTGTGCGATCCGGCGGTGCGGGAAGATTGGTGGCCATATGGCCGGCGCCGTGGAAATAGGCCGGCTAAGGGAGCCGATGCTGACGGCGGAGTTTGAACGGCTGCGGAATTGCGGAACCCCGCCAGCCTGTAGCGTGGAGTGTGGCATATCCTTCAGCGATGGGTCATTCACCAATTTCATTCCACTAGCGGAGGTTTTGGAAAAAGTCCTAAAATGAATGAAGTGGCTTGCTGTGCCGTTTAAAGTGAATCCCGCGTATCCCGCTTTGTCGATGTATGGCACCATGACGATCGGAAATGATGTCAATGAGCAAAGGATAGCGGATTATGAAGCGGAGATGTTCCTTCACTGCCTCACAAAGCTGACGGACTTTGGTGTCTGCACTTTTGTCAAGTATAAGAGGCTCCTTGAGCTCTAGAGATTCAAGTTTGAACTTAGAGGCCATCTACAACACAACAAAACCGTCCGCTGTCCGTTCACACATAAGCTTCCTTCTATTCAAATTATAATCTCATCAATATGGTCAGAGTCGCTATTGCTGGTGCTTCCGGGAGTGAGTTAAGACTTCATCTCAGGCAGTGAAGCTTCCCAAATTGCTTGCTAGAGACAGAATCCACTCCTCTGAGAGTGAATGCCACGGCTAACAAGTGACGTTCAGAGCTCGCCCTTGAGGTCATTGACAAGTTGGCCGCCGCCGGAAAACATGAGATCCTTGGATTGGTCCGCAAGGTAAGCTATAGGCCCCCCCTAAAGGAAGTTTCAAGCAATCAATGCTTCAGTCTACTTGGGTGCACGCAAGTTGCCAGTCCTTTTGTTCTAAATCTAGTCCAGGACCCTTCATCTCTACCCCAATTTCAGGGAGTGAGGTACATCCAGACTTCTTATCAAGACGAGAAGGAGCTAGTAGAGATTCTCGACGGTGTTGAGACTGTTCTCTCTTTTATCGTGGCTCACACCGACCCGAATGCGGAGACAGCCAAGCGTCTTATCGATGCATCGATCAAGGCTGAAGTGAAGCGCTTTGCTCCCAGTGAGTGGGCAACGTAAGTATCGCTACTCCTCGTTCGCTCAATTCGTCCTCAATACTTCTGTCGCTAACAGAGCGGGCCTAAGGAACAACAACCTGTCTGACGTGATTGAATACACGTCTTGGTATGCCAACAAGTTGGAAGTCAAGAAATACTTGGAAGACATCAACAAGAGCAAAAAGGTTGGTTAAGTTTGAGGGTTCGAAATGTTGAGTGCTTCATATTCTGATCAAATCCTAGGTGATTGAGTACAGTTTGTTCCAGCCAGGAGCTTTCATGAACTACTTGGGGTATCCTCATCAGACCACCAAGTACTACCAGATCGATTATGCTACCTTCATAGATTTCGAGAAGGCTACTGCTTTCATTCTCGAGGGGTCTGAGAATGCCGAAATGTCAATCACTACCATCGAAGATATTGCGGAGGTAGCCGCACGAGCCGTCGATTACGAAGGCGATTGGCCTGTTGTGGGCGGTATCACCGGCGATAGAGTCACCATTGGAGACCTCATTAAGCTGGGAGAAAAGTATAGAGGTCCGTCCACAACCCGTTTTCATTGTAGCTCTCTCTATTAGCTACGTATGAATAACACGTCATTTAGGAAAACCCTTCCAGGTCGACAGATTGAAGCTTGAGGACCTCAAGGCAGGCATTGTCAAGACAGACTTCGCCCCTGAAATCGACGTTCCTGGTGTTCCAGCGGAGCAGAAGGAGTACTTCAGCAACGTAGTCGTTATCGGAGCGACAATTTCGACTGCTCGAGGCACATGGGCAACAACTGATGAGTGGAATAAGTTGCTTCCTGAATTCAGACCAACCACCATTGAGGAGTACCTGCAGAAGACCTGGGGCTCTCAGTGAAGCTCTGTCGCTACGAGGCCTTGTAACTCCGACAATTTGGCTAGAACTTGGGGGTTGTTCAATCTGGGCTGGGCCAAAGCCAGATATCCCGCCTGTCAATACCACGGCCATGAAACTAGTATTGGCTTAATAAGCTAGCTCAGGCCTCGTAATGAAATCTCCAGTTGATTTGAAGGACCGCTTTACCCTCTAAGCCTCCAAAACTACAGAGGCCGAATGACAAGTTCGTTTAATCTTCTGACACTCACGCATACCGTTGGGGAAGTAGAATTCAAGATCGCTTCTGATCACCTTTTCATACTTGGGTAAACCTAAGTAAAAGTGACTATAATTATTTACTTTCAATCATCCACCGGTATTGAGCGGACTAAGAGGGTCATACTCGTCTGTAGCGATCAGCTCAGGATAGAATATTCCGGCGTCTTTCAATACCTTGTCCATAGTTTCCATGACGAGTATGCTCTCAGACCACGGCATAGTATCGCTTTCCAATTTGCCGTCCCTTATGCAACGTGCAGCTTCGTCTGCTTCCCAAAATGTGCCATTTCCCCAACTCCTTTCGCTATCTTGCGGATGAGGGTATTCAAAAACCTCCTCAACAGCTCCCGTCTCCGACATGGTAATTATCTTGAAAGATTGAGGCTTGTACGCCGGATTTTCGACTTGTATTTCGCCACGTGAGCCTTGGATTCGGATCGCTTGGGTGCCGGAAATGCCAGGATCTGTTGCAACCCGAAGCGATGATGTGGCTATACCCACTGTTCCGTGCTTTGGGAAGTTGAGGATGATCGTGGCCGACTCATCGACTCCCGTAGAATATTTCTGAACAGCGGACAGGATCTGTGGCTCCTCTTTTTCATTCTCAGGTTGGAGATGGTAGAGAATTTGGAAAACCCAGGTTAGTGGATAGATTCCAAGTCCGAGTAGGACACCTCCGGCCAAGTCAGGGTTGACCATGCGATGGGAATCTTCGTAATTGAGTCTTTTGCTTCCGAAATCTCTGCTGCTGTTCGCTCGAGACAAGTCTGCAGTAACACGATGAATCTGGCCGATAGCTCCGCTGCTGACGAGCTGGCGTATTTTGACGCTGAGCGGGAAGAACCTGGTCCAGACACCTTCCAAGAAGAAGAGCTTCTTCTCTCTTGCAACTTCGTAAAGTCGCCGCGCTTGCGCAGCAGTGACAGTGAGAGCCTTTTCACAAAGAATGCTCTTTCCTGCTTGGAGCGCTAGCATCGCGTTTTGGAAATGGTGGCTATGCGGGGTGGCGATGTAAACAATGTCAACATTCTGGTCTTTAACAAGTGCTGCATATGATCCATATGTGGAGACCTCAGTAGGTGAGTGGTGATCGATGCGAGCGAGGAATTCGGTCGCCTTTTGAGGGTCTTTCGAAGATGAGACTGCGGTGATGGCATGCTTAATGTCAGTCACTCCGCGAGTAGCTGGGTTGGTCAGGAGGTCTTTGCAGAAGTCTGCAATGTGTCAGCAACACCGCTTAATGTGAGAGGATTGGACTCGTTCGTCTCATCAAGGGGATAATTAGAGTTGACATACACTCGGACATGGCTCCAGTGGCCATTATCCCCCATCTCAACAGAAATGGTTCTTGTGCCATCTTAAGTTCTTGAGGTGCAGACCAGGCCCAATGGGTGGTCAACTGATATGGAGCTCATGCAACACTGAAGTTCTCATTCGTCCAAACAACAAGGCCGTGAAGGGAGAGGCTTATTTTAAGAGTATCTCAAGGCGATCGATATTCAGGCAACGAGAAAATTGTGCACACTGTTCGGGCGTTCGGGCTAAAGATGGCCGATGCAGTCCCAATGACTTCACGGGACCTCGGTACGATCTCTAGTTGGGAGACGACAGTCCTGGCTGTACAGCGATAGAAACGACGGCGCGGACTTGGCGACAGGATCAAAGAAAAACAACACACATTGATATGTCCAGCCAAGTAATGTTATTTCCAGGGCGTCGGAGAAATCTTCAATTTTCAGCAGGATTGGTGTAGAGCATCATTTGCGAAAACCAAGTGATCTCTTCACGCTCAGTCAAGAATTAAATTTTATCCCATTATGTAGTAGCCAGATTTTCCCAGTTATTTCGTCAATCATCATCAATCATTGCACCGTTTTGCTCAACTCCTTCAACTCGCAGCTGCCATCCCGATCTTGCTGCACTAGAAGTACAAGCTTCCAGCGTTGTTCAGGATCCAGTCGGAACTCGTCTTTCTGAAGTCGTCCTTCAGAGTGCTAGCCTTGTCCGCAAAGAACTGCATCAAATTCTGGCCCTGGGACCACTGGGGCCAGGCTGGGTAGGCTCCATTGAGGCCCACGTTAGGGTCTGAGGCGTAGACAAAGTTGGTGTAATAGGTACGGATGCTTCGCGCGGCGTAGTTGTCCTTGATACCGTAGAAGACCTGGAGCAAGTCGGATCCGTGGAAAGTACCCAGGATCGGAGTACCGTAGTCGTACGACGAGAGGTATGACCACGAAGGTACAGTGGGCTGTACGGAGCTAGCAAGGGTGAGGAAGACGCGGCGAGTTAGGGTGAAAACCAAGTCGCCAAGGACGGCTGAACGGCGCTTGAAGCCGGGGAAGATCTCGTTAAGAAGCCCGGTGCGGTGAGGGCTGCCGTTGATGACAGCTGTCACGCCATCATCGTAGGTGTCAACGTAAGCAGTGATCTGGGCCGTGGTGGCAGTCGCGAAGTAGTAGTTCTTGAGGTACGTGACGAGCTTATCAGTGGTAGTCAGGTTGGGTTGGAAGATGCCGAAAAGGGTGCCTTCATCTTCTTGATCTCCGATGATCATGGGCACGGCTGCGTACTGGCCGTTCTTAGCCAGCACATCAGGGCTCGCAGTAAGAGTCTTGCCGTCCGGACGGGGCAGGTAAGACAAAGCGAGAGAGTTGTATGAGAGGATTCCAGGGACAGATGTGACGGCGTTCAGGAACGTAGTGTAGTCAACCCCGCGCAGACAGGCCAGCGTGTCGGCCTTGCCGGCGCAGCCTGCCTCTGAGACGACCTTGTCGTACACGGCCTGGCCCTTCGGGCAATCGACAGGGTCGGTAGGGACGATGCTGCCAGAGTTCATGATGGCACCGCGGAAGAGCGCTTTGCCGTTGTACTTGTTATTCCCGTTGTACATAGCCATTTGATCGAAGACGGAGATTGCGCCGGCAGACTCGCCCCAGATGGTGACCTTGTCCGGATCGCCACCAAAAGCCGCAATGTTGTCTGCAACCCACTCGAGGCCCATTCTCTGATCGAGGAGACCAAGGTTTGCGGACCCGTCGGCGAGGATCTCCTTGCCGGGCATGAAGCCGAAGCCGGCGACGCGGTAGTTCACGGCGACGAAAATGAAGGGCTTGCTAATATCGACACCGTGCTGGACAAGGCCGGTTCCATCGTACATGGAGGACCATCCGAGCTGTACAAATCCTTGTCAGTACTTTGGATGAATTGGTCAAAAGTTCAGATGGCGCTGGGCATACCTCAAATCCACCTCCAAAGATCCAGTAGAGCACGGGCAGCTTCGCATCTGCCGTGGTGCCCTGAGGTCGAGCCACCGTGATGGTTAGGCAGTCCTCGGTCTGGCCAGTCGCCTTTTGGACGAAAGGAAGGTTCGCAATGTCTCCCAACAGGTTGAAGAGGATGTTGTCACTGTCGGAAGAGGAAACCATCTGCGGGCAGGCAGCCGCCGGGCCGGTAGCGTCAAATGTTCCAATGTTATCTGTGAGGCGCACGGGAGGCTTCAATCGCAATTGTCCGGTAGGCGGCTTGGCGTAGGGAATGCCGCCAAAAGATTCAACATTGTTCATGACGTTTCCGACGACAGTTGCTGTCTTGAGAACGACCGTCGCGTTGGCCACCGCCCTATTTTCCAAGGTCTGGACATGGTCCGAAACCGCCAAGGCGGCTCCTAGGAGGGAGAGAGACGAGACGAAGGTGGGAAGCTGCATGGTGTGGAAAGAGACGAACGTTTGCTGATTTGATCCACTGAACAAACTGGGAATAACCAAAGGGAGGACGGGGCTAGCTGCGAGCCACAGGATAGACCCAAACGATTGAGCTTGGCTGAAGACGATCCGAATGAGCTGCCTCGAACGACTCGAAGGAGAATGCCATCGTGGAGAGGGCTTCCCGTGGCCTATTTAAGTCAATTCTCCACGAAGATCCGGGAACGACATTCCAGGGCAAATTTCGATCTAGTGTGGATTGACCGGTGAACTTCGAAGCCGCACCCACCATCGGATTGCGCACCCCTGGCATTTTCTTTTAGTCTAAGTGTGGTCCATGCCATCCAGCTAATTGCGAATGGGGGCACTTGCGAGCTTAGCAGGAGCTTGGGCAAGGGAGGAGGAGTAGCTCAGTCCCCGCCGACTGAGTCGTGGGCCTCACTAGTCGAGCGGGTATCGTACTCGTGCTCGACTCCTCAAGCTAACCCAGCATAAAAAATATTGGATGTGAACAAACCGGGAATGCAACGTTCCCCATGGGGTAGCGGGGCTTATTGCCGGGATGTAGAGACGTATTCGGGTCGCTTCTGCGCGGGAAGAGACGGCCGAATGACCACGGCAGTTCGAGATACTCATTGATCGGGGATGTCAGTGATCCCGCTGCGGCACAGCAAACGAAACGAAACAGCCTTATTGACGTAGGACAAGACCCGAGATTCACATGGGAATATGCACAGTCACAATCAAGCCCCGCGCTCCCGCCTCGGTATGTCGGGCGGCACAAAGTGGTGGGATTCTTAAGCTTAGTCGCAAACGTCGAAGACATGTAAGCGCAGGGGAGCAAGGGGGGCAGAGGGACTGAATGGAGGCGGTCTGGTCGAACGGAACGGCGTGAGAATCTTGCTCTCGAAAGCGCATGTGATTGTGAGACACAATGTCGACGGACACCAGGAACCAGGAACTCTGTCCCAATCAGGCATCGATGTTCCTCTGATCTTGGACTTGTGGGTGTGAAGCTGTCGTGTGTCTGGCCGCGATGGTGGCTGCCCGTCGAGAGCATAAGCGCCCTGGACAGCTGGCGTTTGATGCACGACAAACGGCGCGGGCGGCAGAGCCAAGCTGTACGCTCCCAATAGTGCGTGAGTTTTCGTATTAATCGGGGAATGCGGGGTGAAAGTTCAAGATTTGGTGCGCATCCATCTCTGTTGGACAGTTGGAGTAGCATCAAAAGAACCCATCCCGAACGAGGTCGGCTGATGTAGATCGCCAACCTGGATCCTTGCACCGGCACTGGAGCCAGCCATCCACGAGGTTCGAGTCTTTCGGATTTGGTATCCTACCACGGTAATGGGCCCGAGACGCGTGGGGCTCCGGATCGAGAGATGTGCGAAAGAATCGAAGTTTGTCTCTTCGAGTTGAGAAGCAGCCGTGGAATCCGCGCATACAATCTATGAAGCGGGCAAGTAACACATACAAAAACCGTTGAGGGGGCGGATAGGTCGGGATATTCCACCAGTATCTTAGCTCGAAAACAGAATCCACTCGAACGATATTCGCAATGGGGGGATCATACATGATTACACTAGCATCTCGGCGGGGTGCTTTAGTGCGAGTCTGATCACACACACACGCACACACGCACACATCTGGATGCACACATATCTTTCATTCTCGAAGATGTTCACTGGTCAACTGAAGTTTTGGAAGTTCCCGAAAGCGAGGAACGAGAGAAACGAGCTGACGATCTGAGAGGCACAGTGTCCATAGTCCCGAAAGGGCAATATTTGCTCCTCGGCCGGCCGCGGACACGAGGCGGCCAAAGAGCGCTAGGCACGTCAAAATCAGCTCGCGGAGCCTTCTCCGTCCGAATTGAGAACTTAGCGCGTGACGGGACGTTGAAAACGTCCGAAAGCCTCGGCCGAACTACTAGTAATCAGCAAATGGTCTTACATACAGATGCGGCTCGTATGCTTTGACATCTTAAGCATGTGTCTGCCATGCCCAGGAGCAATGGTGTGGCACGTGTTGTCGTTGAGGGGGCGGAAAGAAGAAATGTGTTGTGCATGATCTTCCACATTCTGCGTGCAAGCTTGTTCAGCGGGAATATCATCGCAAGAAAACCACCCCGATTTGGGGTCTTTCACCGCCATAGAGTAAGGTGAAGTAGTTAATATATTGTTGCGGGGATAATGAGATTGCCGGCTTCTCAACACATGTGGAGCCGGGATTTGGGCAATTTCAAGTTATTCCCTGCCCGACAGATGGAAGTATTTGATCCCATTTCTAGCAGGAGCGATGGGGTCACCTCTAATTGCTTAGAATTTCCTTTGAACTCCTTGAAAACTTCGCTTGGGCATGAAATCTCTCGCGCCGAGACAGTTAGTATCCGCAATTGTTGAGCACTTACGTATTTGATAGATACTTTCTACGGAAAAAGTCCTACAGCCTGTGAACTAATTTAAGATGTCCGAACCCTTATCAGACGGCCGAGCCGCAAACGAAGAGTCAGAGAAACTCGCAAATGTTGCCAAAGAAGCTTAGTGCCGCAGATGTCAACTTTTCAATAGACAGGAACAATAACAAAGGCATTCTCCTGACAACTGCTAGCCATACGTGCATTGACACTGAAGATCAAAGTGATCCGCCAGGTGCGGACACGTTTTGCGCCGTGACCCTAGCTCCCGCGGCTATGAATACACTAGACACTTTAAACTTCAGGACTGTGTTCAGTCTAAGATGCTCAAGCGTGCGAGCAACGGTTCATCCGTCGTCCAACCCGTCGATTTGAAATGTTGGCTCGCTCCGCTTGCAGCTTGGAGCTATCTGAAAAACCCCAATTTTCTCTATCCGCCAAAGTGTGCGCCAAGGCTAAATATCCCCATTAAACCCCTTGCGGGAAAATTTGCGACTGCAGCGTGATGGATCGTTTGCATCTCTCCAAAAAGGTTCGAATGACTCAGGTCAAAGATCGTCGCGAAAGAGCTGGGGAGTGGAGAACCTGGGACTTCCCTTACTTCCCTCTGGGCTAGGTACTCCGAGGACCCGTGCGTTGAAAAAGCCTGCACGCTTGGCCCCATTTTGTGCTGTGTAGTCCGTAGGTACCTGACAAAACTGCAACGTGGGCTGTAAGTGACTCGAAGGATATAAGGGATGTGGTTCTAGTCGAATTGACTTCGTACAACTGTCGACCGTAGAGAACTTACGACGCAAGTCAAGATAGGGTAGGTACGGTACGATGGGTAAGGGGGAAGCTGCATCTGTACACCAGGCATGGCCTCTCAATCAGGTCTCCTAGCTTAGAGCTAAGTGTCGATTTCGAGAGGAACTCCTCCATGCAAAATCACATACCATTAGAAAGATGCTCAAAACGGTCCACCTAGCTGAAGAAAGATCAAAGGCAATACTTGAGGGCGTTCATGTTTGTTATTATGCCCTAGAAATATTATAGCCAGTCCAGATACTAGCAGAATGAACCATGACAAGATATTAGCCCAAGCATTTCCCCATGCTGTTGCCATCGTACCACAAGGGGTAATAGAGCATCCAGAACAGTAAGCATGTGTTCGATCGAATGGTTTATGGCGGGCAAGTGACTGATGTGACGTGTTGCGTGAAGTCGAAGGAGGATTTAAGAAGTTGAGATCGGGCATCAGATCTCAGCCAAGTGATTTGGGTGGTAAGAAACATCCATCTGGCTGAAGGCTCAAATTGAACTTTCTTTCCTATAAGACCAACTATCGCTCTTATTATGGCGTTGCTATCCTGTGGAAGTTACACGCCTCGGCCGGTGTGAGAAAGACAGTCGGATCAAGGTCCATGCTCTCACGAGTCACGCTTGGAATGCAGGGAAAGTATCATTAATTTTGAGTTGTCTCGGGTTGTTCTCTTATAACTTGAAGGTGCATATAGTTACGGACGTAGGTATTTATGCTTACTTCAGTAGTTGGCATTCCTATAAACGACAAGGTAAGTATTTATCTACTTTAGATTTTGCGATGGAATCCTGAGCTTTCACCATGGCCTTAGGTTTTATGACGCAAAAGCGCCGGAGAAAGTCCAATAAGTATGTATAATTTCAGATCTTGGTCATGGACAGGCATTTGGGTGCACCCGAAGTCCGTTGACGCTAGAATGCTTTCGCTCGACCCTGGCAGCCACAGCTCAGATGTGAGGCAGTGGTGAACTCACAGTATGAGTATCAAGCGACCGGCGGTTCTTTGGCGCTAATCAACTCAAGGCGAAGCATTTCTTCAATCGATAGAAAGCCGAAATAGCTTCGATTTGTGGAGCTCCATTTAGGCATCCTGAGAGAAGGCAGTCCAGCATATAAAGCCACACGAGGTTTGACGACACGGGCGCAAGAAAACCTTAATTTACATATCGAATGGTAGCTGCATGTGGTTTGTGATCGTATCCATGTGGTTGAATACGAAGAGACCTTGGAATTAGCTTTGTAATTGTGTATGTTACCCACGGGAAAGAGATAACGCCCGCATGTGCTGCGATGTCACTTCCACTGACCTTGACGATGACGAAGAATCTACTTGTCTGGGTGTTTCTTACAGAACTGAGCATCCGGGAACCAGGCACTGAATCAAGAGCCCAGATTTCAAGGAATCTAAGCAAGGATGTTGCCTCCATCTCACGAAAAAGGGCCGCGATATAAGTAGACAGATGAAGTTCTGAAGCTTTAATTCCAGTCAGCGACAGGGAGGGCGGCCATCCAAATACAGTTAGTTCCCGGATGTGTAGGCACTCTGCTTTGTTCCAGCCCTGTAGTCGGATGCACCTTGCTTATGACTTTTGAGTCAAGAAATGGACCAGTCGCCTTACAATCTCTCTACTAAGGCAAGTTTCGAATACTCTAGACCTCGAGGCCCTCATACTTTGAGCCAATCTCACCAACATCGCAGAGTACTCATATGCATTCTTACCCGCGTGGAAGAAGCCGACGGTCTTCAAATGCTCGAAATCTGCATTTAGTTACCATCGGTGACACGCAAATTAGCTTCGGTTTCGGTAACAATGACTTCGCTTTGGAACAAAAGGTCGTGACGCGGCGAGAACGACCGCCAGCAATGTTTTCGGACCTAAACGGATAGAGGGCTTTGGATGCTAATCGGACTTACCTTCACCTCCGGATGTACGTCAAACTCATAGCTGCTTCGTTCAGGTGCATGATGCATCCGTGGATCAGGTCGGGTTTGGTGTACTGGGCGAGGAAGCTTTCCTCGTTGAATCTTCCTTGTGATGACCTTATTTGTCTACTCAACAGTGTGATGAATCCAGGAGACGGAAGACTACTTATCGCATCTGATTCTCACCCAAGCAACCGTCTTTCGTTGCCTTCTTCATCCTCATCTTTACACACATTCAAATATCGAGCAGAGCATCTCACTCCTAATTATAAGAAAACATCTTCTGCGACAATGTTCACCCCGGCCAAGGTTACATTCACTTCTCGCAGCTACAAGCTTGCAGACCACTTCTTTCCTCCTGTTATCGATTCTCCCGCCCTTTCTGGAGCAGCTGTCGTCATTGCCCACCCTTGGACCTCAGTCAAAGAACACTCACCTGCCCACTACGCTCGCGTCCTTTCTCAGGCCGGCTTCTATTGCCTCGCCCATGACGCGGCCTACCAAGGAGAATCCGAAGGAGAGCCCCGCTACCTCGAAGACCCTGGCCAGGGGGTTGAGGACATCAAATCGGCGGTCACGTACCTCGCCAGCCGCGATGAAATCGACTCTGAGAAAATCGGCGTTCTAGGAATCGGCGCATCAGGCGGCTACGTCTCCTTCACAGCACAAACCGATCTCCGAATCAAGGCTGTCGCCATCTCTGCCGGCGTCCGCTCGGGCACAATGGGGCGCCGCGGTCTCGACAAGGACGGGTCCAACCTTGACATCCTCCGCACCCAGCTCGAGGCCGCTGCCAGAGACCGCAGCAGCGGGAGAGAAGGTTGACATTATCCACATGTTACCCGATGAGTTCGACCCGGCCACTGCCCCTACCGAAATGCCCGAGTCGTTCCGCGACCTGGCTTCGTAGCACTGCACTAGCAGGGCCACAGCGACTCACCCTCGAGTCCCTAACCTTTGCTTGCCGCGAAGCTGGGACATCATGGGCAATTTTGACGCCTTTGCCTGGAATTAGCTGATCAGCCCAAGGCCGTTCTTGGCAATTACTGGTACCAAAGCTGCTTCGAAGTGGTATAGCGAGGATGCTGTTGCAGAGGCCAAGGAGCCGAAGGAGCTGCTCGTTGTTGATGGACGTACCCATGCCGACTTGTATGACAATGTGGAGGTTGCCGGCCCTAAGCTCAATGAGTTCTTCGGCAAGTATCTTGTCTAAGGTAGATGGTCGTTGACTCAGTGCTGTTGACGACTAGATATATAACTTATACGTAGGCTCGATGCGCTTCGGCCTTGACAGTTGAGCTTCACACACAAACGATCAGCCAGTCAATAGGAACCTCAAAATCTGATATTTACGACTGTGAGTGGATTCAAGTTACTCGAGATTCTCATCTTTGAAACAAATCTTCATTGAACGAGCACTTTTGAGTCCATAGAAAATGGCTAGTCATCATCGCATGCTATCTACCAGCTTGCGGCGACCACCTTTGAGGCTCTGTGTCGTGTCTCCTGAACCTCCATTGTTGTTATAGGCTCTGTCACTTGATGAGGTGGTATCAAATTTCAACGCTTTCAAATGCTGAACGCTCCTGTATCGCCATGCAATCGTGCTGTAATCCCCCCGTCATGATATTCTTCCACATTTTCAACATCCTAAGCAGCATCGCATGAGAGGGAGCCGCTGCCCAAGTCATTACAGGAACCACTGCGCTTTTGGCCCTATAGAGTGCACACAGGTTAGTCAGAAGTTCCTGGGAACAGGGGATTGTTCTTCCTGCGATGGACATACATTGCAGGTCGCTGTGCAGGCGTCGCCACGGTTGTTGCATGCTGTCTCGGTGTAAGTGCAGCAGTTGATGCTTGGGTTGCACTTCTGGGGCTCGGGCAGAGCGACTGCAAGGGCAGTGGTAGCGAGCGCGACGAGAACGAAGAAACGCATTTTGACGTGTGTGTAGGAACGTTATGGAGGAAAGTCGAGATCAGTCGATGGATGGCGTGTGTGCATAGCTGGTGGAGGTGATCGAGAAGAACTGGAGTTTCGCCATTTATAGGTATTCATTGGATTCCTGCAGGGCTATAAATAACGAGTATACTAAGAGATCCGCATTCTGTTATCAAGATTCGAGAAGAACTCTCTTTGATAGATTGTTAGAGATATTGAGTCAGTTACCCTGCAGGTGCTCCAGTTACTTGGCGGCCTCTATGTGGGATGCTGTCGTTAATTAATTCGGGACCACTTGAAACAATCAAAACGTCGGTCTCAATATTGGCACATATACAACTGGTTCTGGTCATACGGCCAAGCCGGAGTTGTCCATAATCATGAATTCCGTCGACGGAGAGACCGGAAAGCTTTCAGTTCACCTCAAGTTACCTTAGGTACTAGTAGGCGATAAAAGAGCGAAGACCACTCCCTTTGTGTGCCTTACACGTTGGGAATTGCATCAAGTCGCAAAGAATACAGTCACTCCCTGGATGACAGACGTGGTTTCATATGCGAAGCCGGGTGGCTTCACACCACATGATTGGCTTTTCTACCGAATAGCAATGATACCTGCGATCGGACTTGAGGTCATAGAGGACTTTCTATCGCGAATGCGATAACATGGTGCGGGTAATATAAGGTTCTAAGAAACTCTAACATATTTTCCGATGACTTAATCCAGCAACTGATAGATCATCCGCGGAACGCACGCGTATCTTGTTCCCTGGGTTGTAATCATTCCGGGATGAGGGTGCCGTCTTCAAAGCTTGATGCGTCCGAGTTATGAGTGAAGTGTCTACAAGATAAGGAGGTGCAATATACTCCAAAGCCCTTGAGAATTGAGGTAGTCTGAGGCTCGATTGAGCAGTTCCCTGATACCATTTCCTTTGACATAATGAGAGGTCTTGACTTATTGAAAAGGTGGACGAAGGGATGGAAGACAACTGGCAGATGCTGACGTAACCACACCGCGAACAGCGCAAATTCGTCCCTTGGACCCCTATTTAAGGTTTCATCCTTTTTTTTTTTTGAGCTGATCACGAGCACGTGGCGGGTCTGATCGGGTGCTTTGGCGAATCGCAAGCGCCAATTAAGCGAGATGAGATGGGCATCTCGTGCCTGGAATCCCGGGGGAAGGATCGGATGGGATGCACCTGAGTCTTGGGGTTGCGCGCGCCCAACGTTCGCGATCCGAATCCCCCATCTTCTCTCTTTTCTTTGCAACCCACACCACACCACCACAACACCATCGGCGCAAGCTGCAGATCATCGATGACCTCACTCCTTTGAGTCGCATATCGGCCGCATTTGCGGCTGGCCACAATCATTATTGCTACATTACTACATACCAAAGTCACTCATTAGTTTGGAGAGGGGCGTCCGTTGGGACCCCTCCCTACCCACTCTCTTTAACAATGCGTAGCACCGCTCTTTCATCGCTGTCGCAACTATTCCTTCTGCTGATCGCATCTTCGCCGAACCATGTCGTCGCCGACGGCACCGTCTGGGCAACGCCCCACGATAGCTACTCCTCCTCAGTAGGCGTCCTCGGCTGCAAGATCAATACCGATCGCGTCGCCTACTGGCCCGGCTCCGTAGACTGCACCAACCTCTGCATCTCCCTCACCTACGACGACGGCTCCTCCGACGGCAAGCGCACCGTGAAACTCCTCCGAATTGACCAGTCCCAGGGCGCCTACGACGTCAGCTACGATGCCTGGAACTACCTGTACACGGGTGAATCCGCCAAGAAGGCGCCTGTCGCAGGCGGGCCGCTGGCCATGACATACAAGGAGCTGCCGGCGGACGACTGCAAGGAGCTCCTCAAGACCAAAAACAAGAAGCTGCCGCTCAGCGCGTCCAACAGCATGAACTTCCTCGCCAGCTGCCTCGACCAGCCGGACAGCTGGGTGGCTAAGAACTTTGGGCTGTACAATACACTGGATTCGGTCTGCGCATGGGGATACGACGAGGAGTGTGAGCTGGATTGGCCTGCGGCGAACCAGCCCACGTGCAAGCACTCGCTCGGAATGCCGGTGGAGCTGAAAGATGCGCCAGTGTATAACGTGCAGTATCCCACAGGGGAGGTTGTCGTCGCGTCCACGGGGGAGAAGGTGTCGAGTCCCGGGGATAGTACCAGCCTGGCGGCGCCATCGCCGACACAGAACGGGGCCCCGAGCAGGGGCATGTTGACATTGTTGATGGCTGGCTCACTAGTATGGACGTGCCTCATGATAGGTTCATGCTAACGTTGATGAAAAGGGCCAGGAAATGCTGTTCATATACCACACGAGATACCATGTAATACCCCCCATGTCTTACGACAATAATGTCAAATACCACCACCTTACCTTATTCTACTTCACCTTATCCCCGCATGTCACCAATCTCAGCAGGGTCCAGTGGGAATGCGCACGGGACCACCCGCATCGTTAAAGATTGACCGTTGAGCCTCGCCCGAGACAGCTGTCTCTAGGGAAATTAAGAGCATTTCTTTTGCCGCTGTGGGAAATTGCCGATGTCTTGCTCTGAGGATCCTGAGAAGGTATTTTCTTGTCTAATGCATCATATCATCGATCATTCGTCCCCATCAAGGAACTGGCTGAACCGTGGTAGCCCACACAAACTGGGTATCGTCGAAACGATCTCGGCGATGCTACAATATATCGAGTTATGGCGTAAGTATGGATGGCTCAAAAGCCTCAGCAGAGCTGAGGTGTCTCTCAAATCTATTCTCGGCCCCTCAAGGCCTGTTTTTGTCTATCGTCTAATGATCCCAGTTTTTTCTCTTGCTTTATTCAGAATTCGCTTGCGCCATGTATGCAATGAAATGGAAGTAATGCTGACATGCTCATGTAAGAGCCACACCGGGAAGAATTACGCTCCTCCTCTAGAGGCCTTCGACTTCTCCCACGTGTCGGAAATGCCGGTGCCATGAGGACAATAAGGAGCAGACCTCTTATTTCGTCTTGAAATAGTCCCGGAACTTTTCGCGAATCTCATCCTCCTCAAACTTCCTCGTATGTCTACGCAGCATCGTCGCCCGCTCCTCAATCGTCATGCCAATCTGCTCACCAACCGGCACTAGGCACTTTGCCAGATGCAGGTAGTCCTTCTGAAGCAGCTTGACCGTCACCATGAGATAGTCGATATTGTGGAACACGAGCGCCTTTTCGCGAATATACGTCTTCTTCTGCTGCAAAAAGGACGTGGGGTGGTCACGCCAGTGACGGCGGGGGTTGAGATGGTGCGACGTGTGGTAGCCGTCGTTGTAGCAGTATCGGTTGCTCTGATGAGGTGGTCAGCGGTCAAAACGATCTTCATCCTTGGCAATGTGGGGTCTGTGGAGGGGAGGTCCCCTTGGCGAATGCTTACCGGCACATCAATCAGGGTGATGCTGGAGCGGAAGTCCGAATCCGGCTCGTCGGCATCGACAAAGGCGTGTTGGCCCCAGTTGCCGACCATCAAACCCAATCTCATGAGCGCGAGGGGCCCGAGGAAGACGAAGGTCGTTGCCTTGCTGTGGAGGCAGTACAGGGTGTACAGGAAGGCGTAGTTGCCGAGCTCCCAGAATCCCGTCTTGAGGCCGTTCTTCGTCTGGCCCTTGCGGAAGAAGTACCGCGGCAAGTCAAACCAGACCAGGAAGATGAAGCGTCCGACGTAGTGCAGGAAGTGGAAGATATCGTCACGCTGGTAGCGGATGGTGGACGACAGATCGTGGGGCCCGTTGCCCTCGACGTGGTGGTGCTTCACGTGGTGGTAAAAGTACGTGTTCCAGGTATGGCCCATGAGGGGGTCGGTGATGTAGGGGAACGCGGCGTCGAAGAAGCGCAGGACGGCCCAGTTCTTTGAGAGGATGCCGTTCATGTGGATGTGCTGGTGCATCATGAGGGTGTAGGTGCCGGTGAACCAGAACTGCATGAGCATGTGCGCGACGCCGTGGATGTAGTTGAAGTTGCGGAAGAGCATGATGGCGCTCGGTACTGAGAGGGTGAAGTAGAGGATGAGGTGTGTGAGCATGATGACGTCGGTCTCGTGGCGGACGATTTTGCGCCCCCAGGCGACGTAGGGGACGACGACATTTTGATAGATGACGGCTGGGAGCTTGTGGGGGAGATCGCGCAGGTCGAATGATGAGAAGACGGATGGCTCAAAGTCTTGACTTGTTGCGTCGTTGAGACCTTTCAGCTTGCGGATGTCCTTGGCGTCTCTCTGATTTGAAACTCCGCGGCAGGCTAGATTTCCGGGTCAATTGAGATGCTCATATAGTGATTGGGAACATGCAGGTGAGTGAGAATGAGGGTGAGAGTGAAAGTGAAAGTGAGAATAAAAGTGAAATCTGGGAGGGCAGAAAAGGAAAAGAAAAGGCTAGCTCACGTTCATCATCCTTTGACTTCTCACCCAAGGATTCCTGACTGGCATACCCCTCGTCGCCGTCGGTGGGAGCGAGATGCTTATCGTTGTAGCGTTCAATGTCGTCGATAAGGTTCTGCAGAACGATAGTATCGTGAACCGTAAGGTCTGGGGCGACGATGAGATTACTCATTGCATGTGGGTTCTGGAAGGAAAAAAATCTCGAATCCCAAATCTCAAAAAACCTCGATGCCAAGACCCCGCACGCGCGATGAGAAGGAGTAAGTGCAATTGAGAGAAGCGGAAACGGAAAAGAGAAAGAGGAGAGACTGTCGGTCAAACAATGGAATTTCCCCCCGTCTACTCAACCCATTTGAAGCTGGAGGAAAGGGATTTTTTTAGGGGCTTCAAAACGGGGAAGGGGAATCCAAAAAAAAGTGGGAAGACACGATGCCGTTAAAGGAGGTGACCAGTGCTTTATTACGGGTACCCAATCTCTTCAACCCATGTCGCGTTTCTGTTTCGCTTGCGCTGGGAAACCGGCAGCGTCTCCAGAGGTCACTGACTAACCGCAATGGAAAAAACAGCCCATCTCGTTGTGAAATAGTGCTGGAGGCTGCGTAAGCGGCGGCAACATCATGCGAGCGCCGTATATTTCTTCAATTCTGTTGCCAATACCTTGGGGGCCCCATGGTTTATGTCATCCTCCTCTTTCAGTCCCCTTTCAATTGCGCTCGTTCTTGTTATTGTCTCCTCACGTCTCCTCATTCCCCTTTCCACTGGAGACTTTCCGAAGAGAGCTACGGGCTCCGTCCTTTGGAGCTTCTCATTGGACCGAGTTTCGATAGAGCCTCCGTCAATTGGGGTTTTTTGTTCCTTGCCACCTGCGACCCCAAAAACAAAAAAAAAGCATGTGCAAGGGCACTCTGCAAACAGCCATTTGCGACACCTTGACAGAGACTCGAGAGACCGTGGTTGCATAGCATACGAAAGTCTGTTTCCCAATGAAAGTCTCATTGATATATAAACTCAATTGACGGGTATTCCCAATAGGTATTTTCATTCAATACACAACAAAAGGCGGTCAGACATTCTCAGCTCAGTGAGTCCTGTTAGTGCGGGACTTTTCACCAGTGTCGCGTATTTCTCACTTCAAGTGTCGCGTAATACCACCAAAGCGCAAGCAAGGAGCTTCCAGAGATGATAATTCCCAATGGCTGAACCAACAACTGGAGCCAAGATCGGCAAAATTTCCCATCTGATTTCCCATTTTCTTCAGCCTCTTCAGCCAACGGGCTGCATGCCAACTTTACTCTCCTTTTCCTGCATGCGCAATCACAAATTGCCTTGCTCGAACCCCTGCTAACCCCAATTCTAGAACGTCACTGGGCGCTAGCAAGCAGCCGGGGGGATGAAAGCTTGCGTTGACAGCGTGGGTGGGTACTTTTGGACCCTGAATCGATACCCTGGAGCGGGCAGTGAAGGTGAAACAGGTAAATTGCATACTGTGCCAATCGAACTTGTGGGAACATGCATCGAAAGCGAGAATGTGCTCAAAGATAACCTGATCACCAGATGGTCTACGGATACGTAGTCACAGACAGCCATCGGTGAAGGAGACGAGTATTGGACGTCCTTTGGATGTCGACAGCTGTACGTCGTATCTTGATACCTCACGAGATGAAAAGTTGTTGGGCCAATTGGAACGCTGCCCTTTGGCGTTCGAACCTTGATGTTTAAGCTTGTCCCTGCCGAAGCGCCCCGACCATCGAATTCACTATCTCCGAGATTGAACTTGGGCACGACGCGGCTCCAGCACCTTTTTGGTGCTCGCCCACCGGCCCGGCTCGTAATTACGCGGGCCGATGCACTCGCCAGGATAAACTTTCCACCGCTAAGCATCCTCGGAACACGCAATGGGAGTAGAGTGGTCCCTTCAACAAGTTGTGCACCAGAGAAAAGGTGTCAACCATGCTGGTAGCAACGAGTGCTGGATGGTGTCAATGTACATATTCTCCAGTTGTTCTCAGGTGCTTTTTGGTTGGTTTTCTACTATGAGATCAGAGCGAAAACAGAAATAGGCCATCGTGTGATTCGCTATTACCCCTGGTATGAGTACGTACACATATCTCAACGCCAGTTCACCTATCGCTCGATGGATAATATTTGAATCCATCATCACAGGTGGTCTCTTGGGAAACCATGCAAATGCCTAAGTAGGATCTTAGACTACTTACTCATGCACAGCCTTCTATCCAGATTTCTCTTGCCGAATTTGTATGGTCGCTCTTGTTGCCCCCGTTGCCACAATAAGTACGTCGGACCAGACTGGCCCAGATGGACGGATTATCGTCATGTGGATTCTGGATGAGGCGTTTTCCTGTCTGTTACCGCAAAAAATCCTTCTCAAGCTTCCCGAAGACGATGCTGCTGGCGTATACCCGAGATGTCCCTGAGCAAGGATGACCTAGATGGCGATGTTGACGGTACGGTCTAAGCGACACTTCAAATGCGAGAGTTCATGAGTAGATTCAATACAACACCAAAAAAAGTCCTAAGGGCCTGGATATGGGGAAGGGTCTTGATACCAAAAGGGGCTCTCACACGGACTACCGATGTAGAAAGTTGAGAACGCGTATTGTGAAGGCTATTCAACACCGTGGAGTCAAAAGCGCTTGTGCGTCTCAAGACTCAAATTAGATGGTATAGTCTATGCACGAATAACTTAACCTTGGCCTACGCTCGAGTCAGATACTTAGTCACAGGTTTTCATGAAGGGCCCAAACCTCATTGTTTTGTAGTATTTAGCTACATTAGTATAGTGTGCTGATGGATTGGGTAATAGCGCAGATGGCTTTTGTCACCCAGTTATCAGATATTACGAGTGCTTTACTAGGATTATAAGAATTTGCTGTTGGAGCAAATATAACAGTGGTCTACCATGTTGAGAAAGAGACCAGTCTCACCTCTGAGCGAGGAAGAAGCGAATCACCAAGCAGTAAGAACTCAAGGTCGCATACGGCGCATAATAGTCTTTGTTCCCACGATACAATGTGTTCCACAGATTCCAAGGATAGCAGGCCGGTCCTATATCCATCGGCTTTCACCCACTGCTCCCAATATTCCTTTTCGGAATATGTGGTGCTCCCTATTTAGGACTACTTACAGGTTTCGAGATGAATAGGGGTGACAGAAACGCACTGAGAGCCTCATCTCCGACTATCGGGCCGCAGAAAGGCAACCACTAGTTTCATGACTTGGTACGCTCTTCAATCTGGGCAGCCTCGATATTTGCCTCGTGTTTCTCGTCGGTGATGGAGGGAGACCTGGCTCGGCCAGGGGCTACCACTGCTCTGCCTCTCATCTGAGCCCACACTGTCTTGTGGGTAGGTTGCATGAAAAGAGCGTCCATGTCCTCAAGAGTCAGGCCTGGTGATATCTTGATTAGCAATGTATAAGCTTCCAGATGACGAATAAGTCAGCATACCCTTGGTCTCTGGCACAAAGAAGAATGCCCAAATACCCATGAGCATCAAGATACTGCTAAAGAAGAAGTATGCGCCATATCCTAGGTCAGAGATCATGTACGGTGTGGAGCGAGCGATGATGAAGCTTCCGAGCCAGGTTGTGGCGGTTGTGATGGAGACGGCCAGCATTCTGATTTCCAGGGTCTGCACTTCAGAAGCGTAAAGCCAAGTGATTCCTTGCCACGTTGCGCAGATGATGACCTATGGTAATAGTTCAGTGTTGGTGCTACAAATTAGGCACATCCCAATGCAAAGGCAGCTTACTCCGTTAATGTAGACACAAGCCATGGCGAGATAGCCCCAGCCGTCTCGGGTGACTTGGCCTGCAGCGGCAGCTGTAGCAGGGTCTGCTTTCTACACACAGTGTCAATACGGAAGTGAAACGAGTCGTCTTGCTCCAATTTCTTGTCTTGATACAGAACAGGTAGCAAGGAATCTTACCATGACATATCCTCCAATGTACCACATCGGAATGCAGCCAAGTGCAGATCCCCACAACAGTCCCTTTCGTCGACCGACTCTCTCAGCAACCCAGAAGGTGAAGAGGAACATTCCAAAGGTCTTTGCGATACCGTAGAAACCAGTAGAAAAAAGCTTCGTGGATGTCCCAGTTATTCCAAGACTTTCAAAAATTCTGGGCGCGTAGTATGTGATGATATTCACTCCTAGGTCTGAATTAGACATCGTAGTTGAGAAAAGGGGTCATAGATATCCTACGCACCAGTGAAACTCTGAAGGAACATGAGTGCCATGCCCAAGCCCATGCGGTTTCGAATACCCTTTTGGAAAAGCTTTTGGAACATTTGCTTCTTTGTCATGCGTTGAGATGTACGCTGTTCGACCTGAGTGCGTATATCGTTCATCTCACGGCGAATGTACTCGTGATCTGCTGGCAGACCTCGGATCTGGGTCAAAATTCTTTCTGCAGAGTCAAAATGGTCTCCACGAGCGAGCCAACGGGGAGACTCTGGGCACCAGATCATGCCGAGCGCAAGTCCCAAGCCCGGCACTAGCTGAATTCCGAGGGGTACGATCCACTGGGCCCTTGAGTTGACATCAATCGTCCTGTCAGTAGCATACTAGGATCTTCACGTCAGATCTTCGACTCAAAATTCTGAGGACATCACGATGGATGTACTTACATTGATCCAGAAGCCCAGCATACCACCTCCCTGAGAGGCGATTTCGAAGATGCCGACCAGTCGACCACGGATCGAAGGCGGGGCCGTCTCGGCGATGTAAACGGGGACAGTCAACGATGATGCCCCGATTCCCAAACCAGCAATGGCACGGCCTGCGTAGATTAAGTTCAGGTTTCCGCTGGCTGCAGTCATAAGAGTGCCACCGATGAGAAAGACGGTTCCGGCGAGCATGACTGTCTTCCTGCGACCGAATTTCTCGGCGATGGGGAACGTGAATAGGGCACCAAAGAAGCAACCAGCCTAGAACATCCATTCAGTCATGAAACAATCCATTTATAGTTCTTGTCAACAAGCATACCTGAAATGTCGAGACGATGTTGCCCTGGATGGTATCGCGGGTTGTCGAACTAACCTCGTCCAGGTGAAAATCACGCCGGAATGAGTCCAGTGCCATTGTTCCTCCAATGACTGCAGTATCGTAGCCCACTGAGCGAGTGAGTTAGCAAGTGATCTTTAAGGAGGTCATACTAACGAACTGCGGTCAACCAGAGACCTCCCTGCTCGCTGACTGACACGGATTGACATGGTGCGGTGCACCCAGAAATGTCACACTAAACTCTCGAAGACGTGGTGTATGTCAAGTGCCCCTTCATCTAGAGAGAGGCAAAAGTTGATCCAGAAACATGAGAGAACCACGTACTAGCCAAAGCTGACATGCTCGCGACGAGGGCGATCAAGTGAATGCGCCAGTTTCGCACCTCTGGGGGATCAAGCGTCCCGGACGCGTGGGTACTGAAGAAGCCCATATTGGGCTTTCAGATTAAAGAGCCTGATGGAAAGAGTAAGATCGAGATGGAGAGACCGTATCACACTACTACGGAGGGATAGAGGAACAACCTGGGAATTGTGTGAGATAGAGATAGGACCCGGCAGACCAGTTCATCGTGGAGACAAAGCGGGGAGGCAAGCTTTATCTAGGCCGCCATGACGTTCCACCCTACAATAAGCTTGAACTGCCTTCCATCGAATGGAAAGCCCGTGTTTGGAACAGCTTCGTGGAACGGTCGAGGATCGGCGGTGTTTACCCCGCGACACCCCCATGGGGAAAAACTGGGTGGCAGTCGTTAAAACTTGCCCGGGACCCGTAACGAAGAGTCGGGTTTGTGGAGGGGGCAACAAAAGAACTTCATCCTCACGGTCCAACCAACCATTTGGCAGTGATGAATGTGATCGCATCTTGCCCCTGCACAATTGGACAGACTGGGCAGCAAACACTTGGCGTCAGCAGATGTGTGGAGCAGCCAAGAAAGGCTCCAAAGAGGGGGTAAGTGAAAGCACAAAACGAACATGTCTCTTCACATCATTTGGCTGACTTTGATATCTCTCAACCAAAATCAGAGCTTTTGTCGCCATTTATCGTTACCAAACGTAAGTGTGCCAAGGTCGTTTCCTCCGTTACATTCACTTACACAGCCCACTTACTATATGCATGAACCACACGAGGATGAGGGGTAACACCATCCAAGATCCTGAATCCAACAAAGACATCAGAAAGAGGCACGATGGATTGCAATACTACTCGGTGGCCCTGGTTTTAACAAATCGCACTTCTGTCATATTTAGACCCCGATTCTTGATGATCGAAGTTGAACGTCACGGATTTCGATGGCCTTTTGTACGAATTTCCCTCTTTCAGTGTTAGCGAACCAAACATTCATTCACTTTTACGTGTCTGGTTTCAACTCAAAAAGGGGATATGACTTCGCGAAAAATACCACACGAGATAAGGTTTCATATGAAAGGAAGAAAAATGAAAAGCCCAGCTGAGCCATACGCTAGTTGAAAAGGAATGCCGAGACGAAAATAAACGGGGAGAATCGGACGCAGTAAGTCGAATGTGCATCCAAGTTGATATAATGATCTGGAACCCGGCGTATGAAAACCGAGAGCAACCTCAGGTCCCAAAGAACCGGAAGGTGCAAAATGGCATTTCTTCTCTGGAGTTGGATCAAGGTGTGGGTGACAAGCCATGACGGGACCGGGGTGATTCCCCAGTCTGGCAGTTCATCTGTACCCGGCGCGGGTCTGGATCTGCCCCCAACCTCCTCATCGGTAGTCAAGTTTGAGTTCCGAGACCACGCGAGCCGCTGCGCTGTCACGAAGCGGCTCCATCAGGAACCTCTCATTACCCCCGAAGACCTCGGCGGAACAGCCCAAAACTGATAAGGGCTCCTTGGTTCTGGCTTGGCTCCTGTCTATGTCGTATGCGCCACGTCGCCTCAGATCTCGTTGGCATGCAGGGCTGTTTCTGCGGCGGAGATGCTCTTCGGGCTCCCAATATCCACAGCTTTCATGTCTATCTACCCATGAATAAATCCCCAGCAGGGCTCATGTGATGTTACGGTGCATGCAAAGAGACTCTCTGCATTGAAGGGAATCTCTAAAATTTCAGTCGCTGGCGCCGAATCATTTTACCACCGCTGAACTTGATTCGTGGCATCGTCTACCTTTGAACATCGGTTATACCTTCCAAACTGCTGGATATCATACAATTCCACATTTTTAGCTGTGCTCAGCCACCCCCGGCCTGGGGTCTGGGAAGCTAGTGATGGAGGACTGCACGACTTGGCGCGGAATCTTCACCGGTCACGGGGGTGCTTTTCCGTCGGTTGAATAGCCCACATCGAGCTTTTAATTCAAGCCGAGAAAAAAACACTCAAGATGGGGTCTTTTATGCATCATGATCTCTTAAAGCGGCGTCGCAGTACCATGATCAGAAAACTTGTCTCCCGAGGGATTTTGGAAATGACAATGTTATGATTTGAGACTTACACAAATGGCCCCAAATCCATTCCTTGAACTAACTTACGTTATTTACACGCGCAGTCTTCAAACAAATACTGGCGTTTTAGTAGATGAAAATGCACTTATCAGGGTGGCTATAAGTCGTTAGTTTGAGCCCACTTTGAGCGTACGGACTCCTGAGTGAGTCTACGGGCTGAACATGAAAGGATCAACTTCACACATTCCTCGGACCCAAAAATGGACTTCTATGTGAGCACCATAGCACGAAGAGATCGAAACGAGATTGGCGCTGAGATCAGACGTTCAAGTCTTCAAAATAGGATGAATATCACATTTATCGTTGACTCTCCGGATAAGTTCAGTCGCGTTAGATTTGAGGTGGCTGACGCATTTTGGTGGTGGGCTACACAGTCAACCCCATTCTGGCTGTCACACTCTTTCGGCCAACTTCCGCGAGGGGACAAAAGCTCGGAAACTAGACTTCGAGCATCTCTAGATACTAGCAATCATTGTGTGAGGCACTGGTAGTCTCGCCGTTACTTTAGTCTGCAGTGTGCCTATTTCGTTGTCAGGGTGACTGTGCTACAATCACTGAGCATGAGGGCTCAACTCCTTTTCAAGTTCAACATCTGTCTCGATTCCATCAATTAGGGCATTTAACCCCAGACGAAGATGAACTCATACAAGACGCGTATCGTAACTGAAGTTCCAAATTGACAACTCAGTTCGCCCTCTGTTGACGGCATGAGAGTAGACTCAAGGGATCACGAATTCGTCACGAATTCCAACTGTGGCTTGTGGCGATGCATCAATCCTCAAGGCCCGGTATTCACGTTCATACTTTGGCCTCCGAAAAGCGCGCTAGAATCTCCACCGTTGTTCAAGTTGCCATTACTAACATCGGCCTAGGAACTGACTCCAAAGGCCACCGCATAGCGCAGGACATTTAAGCGTACGAGTCAGCCGGCAACAGCGCAGAAAATTTTCAGGGGAGGAATTTAACCCCCTCCGCAACCCCCCCACATCGTGGAGTTGAAAGGGGGGGAAATATCCCCGCGCTCCATTCCCCCAGCTTTGGACAAAACGTTGCGCGCTCATCCACACTCCAACCCAGTGCAGCAGCGGCCACACCAAACCATTACAGGCAGGCAGACAAGGCAGTGCGAGTGACAGTCAGCGGCAGTAGAGGAAAAAACTCGAAGGGGGCCAAAAGGGGAGGATGTCCGCCATTGCCAAAGAGCCCGCACGCGATCGCAACCGCCAGCATGCAGGAGAATAGTGGGACGTCGGCTCTGCCAAGTTACTCCCGACCAGCGAGGAGATCAGTTAGGTCCAGGGAAGGTTGTTTGACTTGCAAGTAAGTTTTATTTCACACTTGGTACCTTGAGACTCCGATCCGGCAGCCCATGGACGGTCGTCGGGCAATCTCCCGACGTGGTACTGTCGAGGAGGTCCAGTCAACGACCCGACATCACCGGCAACACTCCGTGCCGATGGATGATCATCTTGCTAATGTTCGACCCACAGACGCCGCAAAGTCAAATGTGATGAGAGTCGGCCTCGGTGCAGTCATTGCGAGCGCCTGAATCTAGAGTGCAAGTGGCGGCCGCAGTCGAGCAGCTTCGCCGCCCACGCAATGTTAGCAGCCGCAGGGTCCTCCGGGTCTGGTCGTAGTCCGGCTATCCCGTCCCATGCTACCGATGCCTCCGTTTCGCCGGCGGCGTCGGTGTTCCAGCCCATGCAGGCCGTTGATGAGATATTCGACTATGCCAACTTCTTGTGGGATGCTGGCGATGCCTGGCAGCAGGTCAACCCAGAACCTGGTCAGCAGATGAGCCTTGATGGGCAAGTTCTCGTAAGACATCCCCAAACCCGATCCCAATTCCATCCCATGGACTCGTCACGCTAACTGCTTAGCCAAAGAGGAACCAGTTTGCAGGTCAACCTCTTGGAAGCCGGCAACCGCCGCTCATGAGTAGCCCGCCGAATCTCGCCTTCCCAGATCGGACTGCTATGGATGAGCTGCCAGACCCATCACCAATCCCTGATGCTAGTAGTCAGTCAGAGCAGGCCATGGCATTACAGGTCCCGACTGAGGATGACAGACTCATGGACTACTTCAGCCGCGTCGTTGTCCCTCCCATCCTTGCCGAAGTCGAGACGCAGAAGAAGTGGCTCGCCGTTCGACAAGTTGTCGTCGACATGGCGGGTGCGTCGCAAATGGTCAAGTGGTCGGTACTCGCCTTCTCGAACCTGATGCTATCACGTCGCGAAGGCTCCTGGCTAGCCAGTCCGGAAGATCATTATCAGAAAGCCGTGTCGGAAGTGGCTATCTGTGGCGACGAGTCGTCGCCCGCGACCGACAATCCGAGCTCACGCAGGGAGCACCTTCTCGCAACGCTCTTCTTCCTCAGTTATGTCGACATCCTCCGAGGTCAGATCAAGGCTGCAGACTCGTTCCTTAAGCGGGCCTATGGACTGTTCCAGCAAGGCGAGAAGAGCAGTTTTGCCGCTATCGAGAAGCAATTCCTGCAGTGGATGCGCCTACTCGATGCCCGTGCCGTTTCCGCTGGTGGACAGGGCTTGCTCCTTTCCAAAGATGACGAGCTGCTCTTAGTCGAAGCGTCACCAGCTAGTTTTGATGGAGGAGGCGCAGACTCAACCAGGGAGGACTTTGGAGATGGTGACATTGAGGATGTCCTATTCCAAGTTCTATACCAGCCCGGCATTGTCTTCTTCCAAAAGGTTCAGAGCTTCATGGGTCGGATATCAAAGATCGACCCTTGGCATAGGTCACGTGGCACCGTCGAGGACGAGACGGAGGTCATGAACATCGGGGCCGCCATCGCAGCGGATCTGCGGACCTTGTACGAGCAGCGGCCCCCGCTCATGGACTATGCCGTGGCGGGGAAGTTGACGGAGCCTCACGTTTCGCCGCACCTAGCGTTCGTTATCACACGTGCATTTCGAACATATCTTGCCAACTATCACGCAAGTAAAGTCCACCTACATAGAGTGGCATACAAAACCTTTCCCCTTACTAAAGAAGCCAGCGATGCTCTCAATCAGATTCGACGCCTAGCTCGACTACTAGTTGATTCACTGGACGCAGATAACTCATTACCGGTCAACATGCTGTGGCCTTTACTGATGCTAGGGTCGGAAGAGCAGGACCCCCAGGAGAGGATATGGATCAAGACCCAGATCCTGCGTATGGAGAGCGTTGCCGGCAATGCGAAAATCACTGCCCAAGTTCTAGAAGAGGTACAGGCTAGGCAGGATGCTGAGAAGGTCCGGGTTGACATCCGATCCGTGATGCATGCCATATTCAACGCATGTTTTGCTATCGTCTGAGATGCCTTAGTATTCGACAACTTCAGAAGGCTTCACCACCAATCTCTACTCGAACAATGGCTCTTCGCGAGCTTCGCACTTGCCGAGGATAGCTCCACGTTGGAAGTGTTCGCTTGCTTCGTACTAGTAACTACTTAGCTCAAGTCGCCAGAGCATTAGATACCCCTTTTATTGTACACCTCAATTAAATCATCTTCAGCACATGTTCCATCTACCCAAGTCATCAATGATTGATGACTTCTCTTCCACGCCACAGTAACCATTGCCGCCTTGGTGAGAGCCAGATTAGATTCCGGGCTAGCAAGCTGCGTGACTAGTTCCATCGGCTGCAACCGACGGGCGACACTAGCGTACCCGATCAGTGTGGGTCCCGATCGGAAGGCCCACAGACGGCCGCGACACCGATCCACTCCGATCGGTTACTCTCAAAACTCAGGTTCTTTGTCCGGTTTCGACATGGTCTTCTGTGAAAGTCTGGAGTTCTTCAATCAGATGACCTGGCCCGTGGGGAAGACTCAGTGGGCAGCTCACGACTCATGACCCTGCCCGCTTCCTGAGGCTCCGACTCCACAAGAAACCCGCCTTGCATGCTCGGTTCATGCCCGTGGGGAAGGTCGGCTTGTCGGAAACATGCCACCTTGAAGGGCCCCGCGCCTCGATGCCAACCGCGGGGTTGAGCGCTCCGACCCACGGAGTTCAGAACATACTTGTATCGACTGTTGCCATTCAAATCTGTTTGGCCTTTCTTCTCATTATCCCTAAACCTTCAATCGATACCCTAAACTCATCCGTGTTCATTTTGTCAAGCGTATCCTACACCCACTACATCATTCACAATGGCTGCTAAGACTTTTCCCGCCGGTATCCACGTGCCTAGTTTGACCTGGTTTGGTAACGATGCCAGCCAAGAGATCGACTGGGACGTGCAGACCAAGCACCTCGAGTTCTTGGTGAAGTCTGGCCTCCATGGAGGTAAGTAATAAGCCCAAGTAGAGCATAAGAACATCAAGTCTAAGAGTGTCGCAGTTGTCTTGGCTGGCACCAACGGCGAGGCTGTCACCCTCACCAATGATGAGAAGACTAGACTCGTCAAGGCCACAAGAGAGGTTGCCGTCAAGGCCGGTCGCCCCGACCTCACTATCACCATGGGCTGCGGTGGCCAGTCCACCCGTGCCGTTATCGATGAGACAAAGCTCGCCAAGGCCGCTGGCGCCGACTACGCCCTTGTCCTTGTCCCCAGCTACTTCCACTTCGCCATGAACGAGGAGGCAATCGTCGGCTTCTTCGAGGAGCTCGCCGACGCCAGCCCCATCCCCATCATCATCTACAACTTCCCCGGTGTTGCCGCCGGCCTCGACGTCAACTCTGACATGCTCTCTCGCCTGGGCAAGCACGCCAACATTGTCGGTGTAAAGCTCACCTGCGGTGGAATCGCCAAGGTCGCCCGCGTCCGCGCTGAGTTCGACCCCTCCGAGTTCTTCGCCCTCGCTGGTCAGAGTGACTGGCTCGTGCCCGCCATGTCCGTCGGCAGCAACGGCACCATCACCGGCGTCGCCAACCTCTTCCCCAAGTACTGCATCAAGATTTTTGACCTTTACAACGCTGGCAAGATCGAGGAAGCCTCTGCCGCTCAGCTCAAGCTGGCCCAGATGGAGTGGGCTTTCGGCAAGGGCGGTATCAACGGCACCAAGTGGGTGGTTGCCAAATCTCACAGATACCCTTTGACCAGCTGCCACTGCAGACGCCCCTACCCTCAATACACCGATGAGAAGAAGCAGGCCTGGATTACAGACTTGGTGGCGCCTTTGGCCGTCGAGGAAGCCAAGCTGAACTAGGGTGCTAGTTTTATTTCAGTAATGGGGCTACGACTACATTTTTGAAGTGATATACATAATGGCATGGATAGGCGTTTAGGCAACTTTGGTTAAATTAGAACAAAAGCTATATCAAAAGATCTTCAGAATTACTGAGTCTTCTGAACAGGAATCATTGGACTGCTTCGTCTACCTCATATCGATGCATTGTACATGGGCGTAAGTAAAGTGTCTCACGTGGATAGACTCGTGGCCAAACCGAGCGAGTACCAGAGCAGGGGGAAATAGTGTATTGACCTAGTGATGAATGACAGACTATAGATCTATACATGAATGACTGACGAACCCCCGAATAGTAAGTAATGGTAAAGTATCTGCAAAGTAATTTGCAAACTCTAGATGGCAATGGGGCGAAGGGTAGCAGCTGGTTTCACAAGGTCATGATGCAAGGTATAGTCGAGTATGACTCTCACAGGTTGCTCTGCAACACATACGATTTGCCAGCTTCTAAATTTTTCAATCAGTCTCATCGCTCATTGACAATCTTATTGGTACAGATAGCAATTACTTACCAATTTCAAAGCAACTTGAAGTCCACCAGATTTTGGCCATAGACCCCGCTTACAAAAGCTTGTAGGCCTTAGCATCATCCTGGCCGCGCTTGTACGCCTTCGCGTCGTCCTGACCTCTCTTGTATGCCTTTGCATCATCTTGGCCACGCTTATAAGCCTTAGCGTCATCCTGGCCTCTCTTGTAGGCTTTGGCATCGTCTTGACCGCGCTTATAGGCCTTGGCGTCATCTTGACCTCTCTTGTAGGCCTTCGCATCATCTTGGCCACGCTTGTACGCCTTTGCGTCGTCTTGACCACGCTTGTACGCCTTAGCATCGTCCTGGCCGCGCTTGTAGGCTTTGGCATCGTCCTGGCCGCGCTTGTAGGCTTTGGCATCGTCCTGGCCGCGCTTGTAGGCTTTGGCGTCATCCTGGGCAGGGCTGAAGGCAGTGGACTCCTCGCGCTGATGGACCTTGGCGCCAGCCTGAGCCACCGCACCACCGTGTGCACCTACTAAAGTATTAGAGAGATAAATTTCTTGACAATTATGCCTCTCAATCGATGCTAAATTGGTGATCAGAGAATGTTAGACTTACCAAATGTCTCAGCCGCGAGGGCAGTCAAGGGGGCGATAAGCAGGAGGGTGTTAGAGAACTTCATTTTGAAAGTGGATGTGGGTGGCTGGTTATTGGTGAGGTACTTGGTGTATTTGCGTTCGATGGAAGCTGTTATGTAGAGAGCTGGTTGAGATGAGAACTATCTCGGACAAGTTGGAGAAGCTAAATACTTATGTTCAGATCATGGTTTCCTCAAAGATGGTATTCGACGTCCAGTAAACTGTAAGTTCATTGACTGATTTTCACATCACCATCCATAAACATTGTCATTTGACTGACAGAATCTCATTCGTGCTGGAAAATGGCCAGCTCCGCCAGCAACACCGTTTGATGTCATTGAGGCACATCACCTAGATGCCAAGGTATAACCTGAGATCATCATGTTGTGGTACAGTCGCGAGCAGCCGAGCCTGTCAAGATGGTCGGATAGTCAGTGTATGAGTCAGTTGTCAGACGGCATAGCGCTGTCACTGTCCTCAGAAAGAGTGGAGATACCAGATGCTCAAGCGGACTTTAGTCATATGAGAAGCTTAGATTCATGTCACGCAAAGTATTATGTCAGATTCAATCTGTATATACCTTGCCTTATTGCTTGAGACCTCGGAAACTTCAACTTCGCGACGGCATACTCTTTTTTTCGATAGAGTGAACTAAGGTAGTCATACATGTAGGATCGTGTGGCTTGATTTCGAAAAGGACCGCCGAAGTTCCACAAGTCGGTCCTACTTGAGTCTCGGCTGCACATGGTCTTACCACGATAACGATATCACGATACGTTTTCACACATCTTCTCACAAAGCTTTGCGACCAATTCTCATCTACAACAATGAACCTTCTCAAATGGCCTTGGTCTCGTATCTCTGGTCTACCGGAGTACCAAATCATGAACGAGAATGGATCCGATGCCGGGTCTGAGGACCACCTACTCGCCGAAAAGGGCGCCCTTCGCCCCCGGAAGGGATCCGGCAAACTATCTCATCAACTCTGCCGACCATATCTTTGGGTCCATCTCATGGCATTTACGTTCTATACCGCACTCTTCCTGACCTTCGTCATTTCCCTTCAGGGTGAAGAGAAGATATGCGCCGACGACCAGACCATGGTATGGTGTAAGTTGACTCTGTTCTAGGCGTATCTTTCTGATTTATGTACTGATAGTCAATCTCCGGACAACAGCACCAGCTCGAAAGGCTCTGAAGCCAGAACGATCCTTGTGGATGAACGAAGTGACGGATGGTAACGTCTATCGAGGCAAGCCGAGACCAGAATTAGACGCTGCATGGGACGAGCTCGTCTTATACAGCAATCTTAAACTCAAAGCAGAAGACCTCAAGAAAATCAACAGGACTTCTGTTCGACTTTCAGATGCATCTGGTCATTTGACCGAATATTATTGGAGCGGGTTGAACGTCCATCATCAAATCCACTGTTTGAAATTAGTTCGACAAGCTCTATACCCGGATTACTACTTCAAGGGCAATGTGAAGCTGAAGCGTCATCTGGAAGATCATATTGATCACTGCGTTGATAGTAAGAGGTTTCTAAAACATTCAATGTCCACTCTTGCTTATTTTGCTAATGCGCATATGAATTACTTGATAGACATTCGCATGGCTCTCATGTGCAAAGCAGACATCTCAATCGGTTCATATGACTGGGTCGACAACAATAGAAGGCCATTGACGAACTTCCGGACCGAGCATAGCTGCTATAATTGGGACCTCGTCAATAACTGGGCTCGAGATCGCCACTTCGATATTTACGACAATGTCACAATTGTTCATCCATTCCTTGGTAAGAAAAGCACATTATATACGTTGTGAGACATGCTGATGTGTCCGTGATACTCAGGCAAGTCGTATCCTCTCGACTCTGATGGCAACTATGTGTTCACTGAGGAAATCGATCCATTCTTGGGCAACAAGATCACACCACCTTTGTGATGATCATGACGAGAGGTCGATCAATACAATTGATGATTAAAGAGGTATGAGGAGACAGCACGCTTCAACATAAGGGGAAAGAATTGAAGGTATATGTGTGTACTGAAGAATGGGTCAGGTTGTAACTTGGGGGTTCTAGTATCTGTCTACTGAGGTTCACGACTGCTTCCACCAATGAGATATCATCTGCACCTATAGTTGTATTCAACCTACTCAATTGTAAATTTTGTGAATGTTTCCAAATCTTCCATGGCCTCGGTCAAAGACTTTGGGTTGTTGTTCGACGTGGGAGGGGCCGGGATGGTGGTGGCTTAGATCAATATATACGTATCAGGTCAAAACTCTGTCCAATAAATGATATCTGATAATCTGCGGATTAGTTGCGATTTGTGCAGGTGCCCACAGTCCAAGATCGAATGTCTGACGTGTTGCCGCTGGTCACAGCTGGGTAGTTTCATTTGCCCAGTGATCACCAATTCTACTAACCTTTACTCTTCTTCCTATTCGACAGTGCGACTTAGTGCTGCATAGAGTTCACAAGAGGCCGGATGCTATATCTAGATACAGATCGTCAAGGAGGTGATAGAGGCTGGCCCACTGCCGACCGGGTTCCTCACGCACGGTCAATAGGCCATGGGCGGCTAAGGAGTACCCGAAGCCAAAGTTACGCGGGGTTGCCAGAAATGATACATATTATTCAGAAGACTGTGCGGGCTTCGGCCCGACGACTGAGCGCTGAGAAAAAAGAAGTCAATAGCTCTCATTGTGCAACGGCCCTTCTCTCCACTCACCCGAAGCCGAAGACCAGGGCCGGATGGTAGGCAAAATTCCGTGGCTTCCGCTTTGTATTAGGCGGCCCGGTGGAGCAGCCGACGGGAGGATGCATTCAGTCTTGCCGCACAGATTTGACTTATCGGCTAGAGTGGCTTCATTCGGCATAACCCTCAAAGACGAACATGGTTTGTGATATCGAACTCTGCTACTTCCCAAGCAAGGATCCTCGATTAAGGTTTCCGGCGTCTGCGGGGCGGGCCGCTTCCGTACGAGTCATGTCTGGCGGCTGGGAGCTTCGGACGGGCATTGCTCAGTGCTCACTCATCCTTGACCCGATGCATTAACTCCGCAATAGTATCCTGCGTGCCTGGGTATTGATACGGAGTGATGTTTGTATCAACAATTCTACGAAGTGCCACATCGGAATGGTCTGGCCGTACATTTTCTCCGGTCCCGCAGCTTCAAAGCCGTCATAACTAAGTCCGCTATTTATATCGGTCAAACTGCCTCCGTAGTGCTGGGCAGTACAGACTGCAAGGTAGAGTCAATGATATACCACATTTACTTGTGCTAGTTTGACTAGTAGTCCACGTTTTTATCGTCTAGAAGTCGGCTTCTCGACGTGAAACCCGCCATCCTCGTAGCCGACTCTTGGCTTGATCATGGTCCACTTTGTGGATCTCTGACTGCATTTCACTCGCATCGCCACGAAGCGGCAAACAAACCAGTAAAGGCCGACGGAACCTACCATCCAAAGAGGTAAGCCGAAGCCAAGTGGGTTGTAGCTCAGGCAAACCCAAGGGTCTGTGGCATGATATCTGAGATATCTTCTCCCCCAGACCATGCTTAGATTTCGGGGCACATTTCGGCAGCGAATCCGAGTACACCAAACGTCAAAGTTGAGCAAGAAATCACGAGTCAAGAGGGTCTTTTGAAGACTCCAACAAGGATTGGAGGAGTTAAGAATAACCTGGTGAGACAGCCTGGCTAAGTGGATAGGCCAAAGACGTCCTTCACGTAGTATTGAGTTTGGAGAAACACGAGCTGGGAAGCACAAGATGTTTGCAAGCTCGGGGAATAAACCTCGCAGGCGAAAGCTGGTAAAAGTCGCTAAAGTTGTAAATAAAGACCTAGCAACTTTGAATCAAGCGGGAATACTGCTAGGAAATGCAGGTTTAAAATGCCATTGGTACATGATTTTACTCGAGATTCCACCAGAACTGTCTCGTAACATCTTTCGTCTTACTTGTTGACCTGCTTTGAAGTTGATTCCAAGAAACTCACTTTCCAGTCGAATACATTGATTGCGTATAGGGACAATGGATAGAGAGAATGCTGCTTCCGTTTCAGGAAAGGATGACTGGACCGCAGTATCTGACCCGAGAGAGAAGAAGAGGATTCAGAACCGAATCGCGCAACGTGCTCACCGTATGTCTCGACATCAATTCTAATTAGGAGCTCAAGCTGATAATAAAGGCAGGTGAGAAGCTTAAACAGCGTCTTCAAGTTCTTGAGAGTTTGGTCAAAGAGAAGAAAGAATTGTCCGCCAACGAGCATGAGCCCCGGGACAAAGACTCGCTCAGCGTACCCACGACCCCAGGACAACGATCAGTGCCATCATCAACAGCGCCTCCTCTCAGCTCAACTAGCATGTCCAGAGAATCAATGTCTCTTTCAGAAGATCCCTCGTCACAATACCCAGAAGTCGCCGAGACCATGTGGCGTTTTCTTGCCCAGACACCGCAGAACCCACCACTGATCGCCAGCCCAGCCGGGCTCTTCAGTGGGGGAAGGCCAAATGACATCCATAAAGGATTGGCGCCGGGATGTTTCGACCGCGGAGATCCACTGGCTGTGAGGTTTGATGTCCCCTCGGACCAGATGCTTGGGATGATGGCCCCAGGTGAGATACCAAGCTGGGGAAACGATATCGCTCTCAGTTATCTCTCCTCCCCACCCGAAACAGAAGCTTTCCAACGTCGTGACTACTCTGACGAGTTCATGGGTATTCGCGGTGGCTCCTGCGCTGGGAAGAATGAACTGAAAACGCCACGGGGACGGGTCGGCTCTATAGCAAGCACTACGTCTCTTTGCGAGAGGCTGAACTGTCTGAAGCATTGTGCAAAACTTCTGGGCTTCAGCAGCTTGGATGCCGTGCTATCTCTCTACTACACAGCCGACCTGAGCGAGTCACCTGCGCTCTCAAACGAGCAGAGTGCCAGTCGCGAGCGGCGGCTTCCCACTCTGCTCTCCGAGATCAGAGAGCATTCCAACATTTGGAATAGATGGGAGCAATCTGGTTTCATTGAAGAAATGCTTAGAGGTGCTGAATGCTTTTACGCCGAGGAAGTCAAACAAGGGAGGGCTGACTTGGATGATCAACTCATGGGAACTCTCGACGACCCGTTGATGATAGAATCCGTGCCCGAGATCGCGTGGATCTTGAGAGACAAGGTCCGTGTTTCACCCAGCCCCCAAGCATCATTGCTATGCTATATGCCCGACGGACGGCTTACATGACGCATCTTGTATTAGTATCCCCGCCTATGGGCATTGATCACGAGCCTCATTGCCCACACAGCGACGGATGGAGAGCAGGCACATCCTCATGGGGCATTCGCACCTATGATGACGGTTTGTCATCCTATGAAGCCTCTCCCACCTGCTACTTTTGCATATAACCTTCGGAATGGCATTCCGTGACCTGAACCCCGCACACAGCTACAAGTGCATGCACCTCGGTATCTGGTGCATTGGCTGTCGCATCGATTCTACACTGCACGCCTTGACGGGAAGACAAAAGACTATAGTAGGTCAGGCCTAAGTAGCGCATGTGGCTAGATGAGGGATTTGACGAAGGGCCTTTCTCGACAGTTATGTGTCTCAGAAGATGGTAGCTGGTTTATGTTAGAGGCTTCATGGATCTAACTACTCAAGACTCAACGGATGCCCCTCTTGCACTTGGCAACGCGTCTGATGTAGTGAGCGGTAGACAGAAGTAAGGTGTTTTACCTGAATGCGCGATACTAGTTGAACAACCATGCGACTGCAAGCAAAAGCGCGCCGGGATTCTTTCGCATAGTCCTATGGGGTAGCAATTACTACAATGGGTTGACTTATCCTTCAACCAGGGGGCAATCTGAATGGATAGTCCAGCCTTCGTTGCAGTCGCGAGGAATGAATGCACTTTGAGTCACTTGAAGAGAGAGAGTTTAATGCGTGGGGCACGTAACCACCCTGCTTGTAAGCTGCCAGGGTATTGAGTCAGCCGTCAGATGATCAGTCAGAATGTCCAGTAGTAAGACAGTCAGATAGTCAACAACTTATCTAGATCGTAAGAATCTTGGCTCGCCAACTTGTCAGTCAGCATAAGTATACTACTCTGAGCCTTGACCCAAGCCCATGCATCATATGTTTTTTGGGTTAAGAGGAGGGAGATGTAGACGAGTGAGTGAGCAAAAATACATCAAGGAGTGGTCTTACGCCCCCGGAGCTCATGCGCTTTCGACATCCATTTTTGCAACAACTTACGATGAAGTGTCTGCTTCTCCTGTGCACAGGATTGACCCATGTTCTGGGGAACGTCAAGAATACCGGCCCCGACGCACTCTGTGTCTTTCCCCAGCCTCTCGCACACTCCTTGATCTGCACCGTCAAGGATGTTGTAGACCCGCTCACCACCGCTCGGGACCGCGTCTCGTCTAACTCTTCAGGCTTACCAACAAGTTCTCTCTGGACTGGGATTTCTCGATGCTTCAAAGAAGGGCTTGAATCTCCCGAATTTTGCATTTACATCAAGGAAGACTACGGAGGCAAGGGCATGGCTGTCATAACCGAGGCCGAGACTGCCAGTCATATTGTGAATAGTCGGGGGTTTACCGAACCAAGCTATCTTATGGGTACCAATCAGATATCGCCAAAGATTAAGGTCGCGGCTATTCCTGGCAAAGAATATGGATTGGTAGCCACTGAACGTATCGCACGGGGTGAGGTGATTCTCAAAGAGACCGCCAGTCTTCTGGTTGACTGCTCAGCACTCGAATCGATGCCACGAAACCAGCTGGACATCATGAGAGCTCATGCAGTAGGCCTGTTGAATTCCCATCATCGGAATCAGGTCATGAATCTGTCTACGCACGGATACCATGGAGGCGAGGTATCTACCGTCGCTGCAATTGCCAAGAACAATATGTTTTCGATCAGCACCAATAGCAGCCGTACTGACGACCGGTTTTATGCACTGTTTGCTCAAAGTAAGTTCCCCTTTAGACCCTTTCATCCTGCATATTTTTTTGCTGCCATCAAATACTAATGACACGTCTAGCTTCTCGCCTGAATCACGATTGCCGCCCCAACATCGACTACTGGTTTGATCCTCGGACTCTCACACAGCGCACAACCGCCCTTCGCGACATCGTCCCCGGCGAAGAGCTCACAATCAGTTATGTCGAGCCTTTGCAATCTCGCGATGACAGGCAGAATCGTCTGCACTCCAACTGGGGCTTCAATTGCAGCTGTCATTTTTGCAAACAATCTGATCTCATGACTGAAGCCTCAGACAAACGAATAGCACAAATCTACTCACTGCTTGAGGAGCTGAAGGATCACTCGCCTCAGTCAAATGCTACACCACAAATGGCCGAGCTTCTTATATCTCTGTATCACCAAGAGCACAACTGGAGTTTCCTTAGTGAGGCCTACATGCTTGCTGCAATTGAATACAGCGGTGTTGGAGAGCCGTGGCTTGCGAGAAAGTATGCTAGCCTAGCAATCGATGCTGGTCTCCTCTCTCTGTGGGAAGATCATAGACACGTCAAAGATATGGAAGATCTCGCGAGGGATCCCTGGTCACATTGGAGTTGGATGCTGAGAAAACATTAAGATCAAGCGATAGCTTGGGTGAAGGGCAGTGTGGTAAACATTGAAGTAGTCGAACATGATTTTTCGAGATGGCAGATCATCCTTGCGTGTAAAGTCTCTCTAGACTGATGAATGCTAACGCGAAGCCAATCGCTGAATGTGCTTGATAATAGTGGGCAAGCCGTTTGGATGCCTAAAAATGAGCAATGTCTCGGCTTTTGGTGAATTTCCATTTCAAACTGGAAGAACTGCAGCGGTGAGCGCCTTGGCGGTTGTACATCCAATCAACATAGTTCTCAGAGTGCAAAGAAGTGCTAATCAGCCCGTATGCATGGTTCACAACAGCGTTAGGTCCAGATCTGCAGGTTTCTGTGCTCTTTTCAGCTTGTGCAGATCAGCCGCACGAGTCTAGCCATCTTTTTCCCATCGAGTTGGCAAGCCACAATACCACCATGATCACCTGATAGCATATAAACATGCAAGTGAAGCTATCAATCGACCAGAAATTCTCGTCGACTCATTTCCCCAAGACTGTATGGATCGTCATAGACGGCTGATTGAGGATGACAATTATGCCCAAACATCATTTTTCACCAAATGATCGACTCCCCGAACTCGACCTTCATATGAGAAAATCAGTTTCATTAGATTTCAAGATCAACTATTACCCTTCATTGATATTCAAAACTTCTCAATTTTGGTTCAGGAAATAATCGCCGAAAATACAGGCGATGGAGAAGCTGAAACTATTTGTGAAGCACTTCAGAAAGCTGATAGCTGGCATTGAAGATGAGGAAAAGGACGATCAGGATGTTGATCCCGATTGGGACTTTGACCCAGATAACTACGACAAAAAATTCCTCGGAAAGCTGCAGCAGGATTTCTACGACGCGGTCGAGATGATCAAGATTGCGTTCTTCACTTTTGTTGTCGACGAAGGCTTGCCATCGCAACAAAGATGGATATACCAGACACTCTTGCTTCAGTATCGACAAACTCTAAGCAACCAGATTTATCCTTGGACTTATCTAAGTGCCTTTCTAGCTTGGTACTTTCCGAATATCAACTTTCACCCATACACATTGGCCCTCTTCGCTGACAGCCAGATTCGTTGCAAGTACGCCAGCTTGCCGAAGGATCTCGGTTTCTTCTTGAAGCCCGTGATCTACTCGGGTGCACGTGTTGTGTTCCGAAAACTATTCGACTTCCGCGATATATCGGTTGCTTTGGAGACAGTCTTGGGATCTTCCGATTTCTGGCCTACTGCTGTCGCACCAATCTTGCCCGGTTTACTGCTCAGTGCCCCAAGGGGTACAATTAATGGATTCGTTCCGGAGGGAAGGCAGGGAATAATCATGGCTGTAGTCGTATGGGCGTGTGTTACTACTCTTCCCGAAGTTCTTCATTACTCCTTCTGGTTATGGTTTACTGGGCCGGACCTATATTTGCAGCCTGTGGTGGCCGTCGAGTGGTTGCTGTGCTCGATCTTCTGGCTTTCAAAGGGGGTTCCCTTCCAGGCAGCTTATACAATGCACCTCTTCGTCAACCAGTACCCTCATCAGGAGTTTTGGCTACGACATCATGGTGGAAAGGCTTCACCCATTCTTCGAATGGAGCGCCGGGGGTGTCTCTGGTTCGCGATTACGAGCTTTTTCATCAAAGCCCTCGAGATGGATCCAACCTCAGCTAGGACAGAGCCTTTTGTGCTCCCTGTCAGCACTTCGCTAAAGGTTGCTGTTCTTATCGGAATGGGCGTGTATCTGGTGAGGTATGGAATGGCGATGCGAATGACGAAGTTCAAGCATAAGCCATTGCGACGACCAAACGAATTCCGCATTCTTCGGCTTCGGGCTCAGCCCTGCTTCCGGAACTCACCAGTGCAATGCGATATCATCCACGCAACCTTAGATTCACCTCCATCGTATCGAGCAGTGTCTCACCGTTGGGCAGCTACAGGAGACGAACCACAAATCATTCTCGTAGATGGAGCGCCATACCTAGTTTCTACAAGCATTTACGATCTCCTTGTACAGTTGCGGAGGCTGCGCCTTTCTCAGCTTCTATGGATTGACTCTATTTGCATTGACCAGGCCGACGCGCAGGAGAAGAGTCGACAAGTCGGGCTGATGCGAGAAATTTTCGAGGAGGCCACGTCGACTATCGGCTGGCTGGGCAAAACTCCAGTAGCAACGAAGGCATTTGAGCTTGTCCGGCGAATTGTGACTACGGCACAGATGGATCAGACAGAGCTCCTCAATTTGAAGTCGTCACCTTTGTCCGGATGGCAAGAACTCCTTTCTCTCTTAACCAATAGCTGGTTTGAAAGAGTCTGGATCATTCAAGAAATTGCTGCTTCTAAAGAGACCATACTTCAGAGTGGAAATACGCTGATACACTGGGAAGATTTCGCAGAAGGTCTGGGCCGGATCTTGGCCCCGGGAACAGGAAACGATGACCACCTGTCTATCTTGACCAACGAACATCTTATGAATGCGCTGATCATGGAGAATATGCGGTTTCAGGTTGACGAGATTGACCGTCTTGCCCTGAAAGATGCTTTGAAACTTGGGTCTAGGTTCAAATCAACACTTTCGGTCGACAATGTGTTCGCCTTGCTAGGAATTATAAAAGAACGCAACGCGCCGTTGTTTCATCCAAACTTTCGTCATAGCGAAGTCTTCACAGACGAGATCTTTTCTCGGGGAGGAGCCGCCAAGGATATGTTCGACACTTTGGATTCAATTGTTGAGTTTGCCGACGGGCTGAGAAAGACTAATCCCCTTCAGAGCCGAAAGACAATCAGATTACTGAGGTCCTTACCAAAGGCGACACGGTCTTTCAGCGAAATGGTGGATGGTATGCACAGCATTCTAGATCGAACAAAACAGTCCAAAGACAGTCCACAGCACATCAAGCCGGACTATACTGACAAGAGTACGCCTGAAGTTGTATACACCATGGTTGCCCGAGAACTTGTCAGAACCGGAGATGCCTTCGCCTTTCTGCGATACGCAGGAATCGGTAGCTCTAGGAGTCCTTCATTCGAAAACCTGCCATCATGGGTTCCAGACTGGTCAGCCGAGGTCAACGTGTACATTCTACCTCATGATGCCAAACCGCCGACGAAGCGACAAAAGCCGACTTCGACTGATGCTTTCAAAGGCGACGACAAACATCACTCTTTAGTTTCTGATGGCGGGTTCAACTTACTTCACGTCAAGGGAGCTGTGATCGGCAAGGTCGCTTTGGCAACCAAAATGCACGACAATCTCGGGAAGTCTAGAGGAAACATTCTCAAGGATGCGAGAACGGATTTAGAGCTCCAAGTTTCAAGCTTTGAAGCAGCATTGAGCGCCGCGAAGGGGATCAATCTTCCACCAAATCAGTCGGACGACAGTCGCAAACATCTCTTTCTCAATGCGGTTCTGGCAAGATCTAATGACGAGGTTCAGGACAATACTTTCAAGCAGGCTGCAGACTTGCTAGCAGAACGCATGGAGAATGACCAAAAGCTTCTCCAGAAGCTTCGAGAAAGCAACTTGGATAATAGCCCGCGTCCACACATCCCTACCCATAGCGATCCGTCATTAAAATCCTTGGAGGCCATGGCAAGGGATTATCTTATAAAACGAAAGGTTCAATCCTCCTCCAACAGCAAGTTTGCACATCTTATGAAAACGGATGTCTTGCCTAGTTTCGAGCACTATCGTTGGCAAGAGAAAACCTTTACACTTCCGCCAGGAGGTCCCTTGCGAATGTTTGACAAGCGCGGCACGAGTGTCCTGGCAGCATACGATCAATATGTGGACTACACCCTCGGGAGAAAGTTCATCGTGCTCGGAACGGGGCAAATGGGCTTAGCACCAGCAGGGGTTGAAGTTGGCGACTTAATCATCTGGGTGAAAGAACACGCAGTCTTTCTGACTCTACGGCCGGCTCCTATATCAACGCGCGTGAAAGAGGAATTGAAACTTGAAGAATTGCGGAAGCAAGAGTTGGCGAGGCAAAGGGCCGAAAAAGAGAATGCTAGGAAAGAAAAGATTGACAAGGATGGTGCCGAAAAACAAAAAGAAGTTCACAAAGCAGAACAGGCACGTGGTGAAGGAGAAGAAGATGAAAGGGGCCCAAGCGAGGCTAGCAACAGCAACTTGTTCGATCTAGACAACACCTTTCGATTAATCGGAGAGGCCTTTGTCAGCAACGCACAACAAGGCCCAGACAGGGCAGCTGCAGCAGGGGACGGCGATCGAGAATGGTTCAGCTTGTGGTAATGGTTCAGCTTGTGGTAGTTCCAGACTTTGCAATTGCAATACACTTTTAGAAAATTCTCAAATTGTCATCTTTAGCTATAAACATTAGTTCCTTATCTCGTCAAATTGAACTCGCTAACACGTGCGATCTCCGCAACTACGATACTTCTCCCCCCTAAACAGCCTCCGTGTGTTCGCTCGACTTCGCCTTGTTGTCATCGAATGTGGCGTCGACAAACTTAGTCGAAGGTTCAGGGCGAGCATCATGAGCATAGCCACTATTAACAGAAACGTTAGTATCGATTCACTACAGGGTTTTATCCTTGCGAGAGTGACGTACAAGATGACATCCATTTGGTCCATGGTAAGACCCTTGGTCTCTGGCAAGAAGAAGTAGCCCCACAAGGTGGCGATGATCATCCACGAAGCGAAGAAGAACCAAGTTCCGTAGCCGAAAGAGCTGAAAATGTAGGGCATGGCCTTGGTGATGGCGAATTGAGTAGCCCTGAACATGTGTTAGATGCCTTACGCGGTGAGCTTTCAGAGGGGCATAATTGTCGACTTACCAGACAACGAGAGCAGCATAGGTGCCGGTGAAGTTGCGAAGGGCACCGGGGAAGATTTCGGCACTGACAATCCAAGGAATACCGTTCAAGCCGAATGACCAGCTATTGTTATGGTTAGAGATTACAATCTTCAAACAATTTATGATAAGTAACTCATGAACTTACCAGATAGAGTAGATCATGATCATGCCAGTAGCTGCCTTACCACCAGCCGCGGTAGAGGCAGATAGCTCCTTTCCGGCGGCGATAATGTCGGCAGGGTGACCAATCTTCACGTATGCACCAACAATAAAGAGGCACATCGAGCAGATGAATGAGGAGACGATGGCAGGCCAACGTCTTCCGAGGAGGTCGATGAGGAAGATGAAGTAAATAATAGATGCAATGGCTGTAGTCCGAGTTAGCGAAGAGTCCCCAGCCATCATGCTAACCATAGCTCACCCTTGATCAGTCCGTAGATACCGGTGTATAGAGAAACATCAGTGATGCCGATCGATGTGAAAAGCGTGGGCTAACGACAGAATTAGCCAGTTATGTCTTGACAGCCTAATTGTTGAGGGATATGATCCTTACTGAGTAATAGTTAATAGCGGCAGCTCCGGAAAGGTTGTTAAGAGCGAAGGCACAGAAGACGAGGACAAGGCGGTTCCACATGCCCTTGCGGGCCAGAATGTTGGCGACGCCGCGGAGGTATGCCCATTGTCCGGTTCCGTACTGTGATGAAACGGCTCTTTCTTCGTCGAGTTTCTTCTGGAATTGGTCGAGTTCTTCTTGCATGTCTGTTTGTATCCTCGCGTTAGTTCTCTTCGTTCATGGCAAGGTATTCACGATGAAAATTGCTTACACTTGTGGTCGATCGGCAATCCCCTGAGACCCTCGAGAACCTTGTGGGCGCGTTCCGTCTTGTTCTTACGCAGAAGCCAGAGGGGGCTCTCGTGAATGAAGAAGATTCCGACGAAGAGGATGCCGGCGGGGACGAGTTGGAATGCCATTGGGATTCTCCAGCTGACAGGCAGGCTCGGGTCGATGGTTTGCGTAATGCCGTACTACCCGAATGATTAGGACAAGTACTTGAAGGTTTCTAAGTAGCGTAGTCGTCAGAATTTTTCGACTTACGTTGATCCAGAAACCAATGACACTGCCAATCTGGTATGCGACTTCGAAGAGACCGGTGAGGATACCGCGGATGGAGGGGATCGATAATTCTCCGATGTAGGATGGGACCGTAGCTGTGATACCACCACAGCCGATGCCAGTAAGGGCGCGACCCGCGTCTGTGTAATAAGTCTTAGCCAAAGTTTTCTTCAAGTCCGAATACTCGAGGAGTTGACTTACAGATGAATGACAACTGGTTTGTGGCGGCAGTCATCAAAATCGCGCCAACGAGGAAGATGACAACATTAGCCTGGAGGGTCCACTTTCTACCCAAGCGTTCAGTAACTAGACTCAAGTCAGTGTGCTGCAAATAACTCCTCTTCCGAATGTCGTACTGAAGAAGCAAAGAACTGCGCCGCCCAAGGCTCCGGCTTGAAAAGCTGATGTGATATTGCTCGAGATGTTATTCGAGTTTCCAGAGTTGATCCCAAAGTCTCTCTTGAAACTGCTGCGGGCAATCGTGGTTCCGATGAACGCTGAATCGTAGCCAAAACTGCCAAAGATCAGTTGTTGGTCGTAGCCATAGCTATCCATTATCGAAACCTACAGGAAAGATCCCATGGCAATGATTGCTGCCTCGATGTAGAGTTTCCAGTTGTACACCTCCTTCGGCGTGGGCCGATCCTCGACAGCCTTGAAGCCACCCATGATTGCGATGAAACGTTGCTGCTGGCGGGGATTATTCGATAGAGCTCGAGCGGCGGAGCAGTCTGCAATGATCGGTTTATCTGATCGATGACACACGCGCACACACTGGAGTCACATTCAACAAACTTCCGGCTGTCAAAGAGTATTTATCCTGCCCTCCTTTACCACCACGTCGGATGGCGCATCCCCACGGGGTACCCGGTGGAGAAAACATGGAGGATTTAGGAGTTGCTCATTCGCGGCGCCGTCTCTGCCCGGGCTTTGGGGTGTGCGTGGGAAGATGGGGGAATGCTTGCTAGTTTGACTCGCGCTGGTGCGCCCTGCGCCAGAAGAATTCATGGGTGCGCTCCTCGGAAGTCGTCCGTGGAACGATGTCATAAACGGATTTCTTATCCGATCAAGTGGAACCTAATTCTTTGCGCTAACAGCACACAGAAAAGTCTTTGTTCCAAGTAGCCACTGTTAGCGCTAGTCGCTGCCTTTTGCCGTGTTCTTTCATCTGACGGTACTGTTGCTAGAGTGCTCCCGGGAAGCTGTCAGCTGGTCTTGCCGACATTCGATCAGGAACTGGTTTATGCTAGCCCCACCACTTTGGGCTGACGATAGTTCCAAGTTTGCGCGCCATGGCTTCCGACATGCGACCCGAGAAGCGACCCGACGCGAACTACCGGCTTAGACTCCACACCGCACGTGGGAACGCGATGATGATTGATGAATGAACCGAGTTGTCGGGACCAAGGAGCATAAGGGTGATCTCGCAAGTTGTCAAAAGCAATATGTGGACCGAGGTCAACCAAGAGGCTTCAGCTTACCTAAGGTAAGTAACGCGGATCGAAGACTTGGTTTTTCGTCTCCGCGAAAAGGTGGCAGTCGTAAGGCATGTCCATTGGGAAATCCCGATGAAGTGCTTCCGTTCAATGCAACTCAATTTCGAGAGATCACGTTACAACAGCTCTTTGAGAAGTTACTGTGCCAATGCGGGAACTGCAATCAGTTACGGATAGCTGGCTTGGACCAACATCGCATCGAGCTTCGTTTAGAGTTCCGGGTGTCCACGTTGCGGTGTTGCACCTGTGTACTGTGTAAAGGCCCGAAGTTGCTCCTTATACCCTGCGCTGCGACCATACCAGGCCAAAATTGGAGGCCCACCTCAAGCACATCACCACGAGACACGTCAAAGTGTTGCGGGGATTCCCTGAATACCTGGGGAAGAAGGGCCGGTTGCAGAGTCCCCATTGCCAGGCCCCGGATTCCTCTGCCAGCTAAGTGCTTGGGGTAGTTCAGCGGAATCGGCGGCGCACTAGGGACTAAGACGGTCACAAAACTAACAATACCTCACGCCGTTTGCACTTCGAAAAATCTAATACCAATTCTCAGTGTTGAACCGTCTTGTTGGAGACCAGGCTTATGATGCTGGCCTCTACATATTATATATACAACTTGAATGTTGAAGTATTTGTACACTATTACGGGGCAGGTACGTCTTTGGGTGCTAATTAAGTATGGGCAACCATCAAAGCTTATGCCATTAATTCCAGATCCAGCTGACAAACCGTATAGGGCCAGTCTCTTGTTTCTCAGGCTCCTCGGGATAGGCATCGGCCTGCTCGAAAGCATCGTGAAGCGGGATGTTTTCAAGAACGACGCCCTTAGTCTTCTTGACGAACTTCCAGATCAAGAAAGCGCCAGTGACCAGAGGAATATCCCTGCAAGGTGGTTAGCAAACTCGCCCATGGTATGCTGGTTAAGCAAGGGGAGTGGACTCACAAGTAAGACGAGACGAAACCACTAGCGCTCCAGTTGCCCTTGGTGAAAACTTCAAAGCCGCTCGTGAAGAGAATGACGATGCACATGAACAGGGCGACGTAAGAGCTGTAGACTAAATTCACGCTTTTGTTAGCAAGTCTTATCAGGTAATCCGAGACTGTTCAACTTACGGGTCCACGAGTTGTTCCAAGGCAGCCTGCTGAACTCAATGCCCTGCTTCTTCATCGCTGTCTTGAGACGGATATGGTTCAGGAGGATAGCCGACCACGACACCAAAACACCGGCCGCAGTCAGGTCTACCAGCCACCAGAAGACAGTCAATGCACCATTCGACAAGCTCATGAAGCTAAGGAACATGAAAGCAGTGAAGAGCAAGACGCAAACATAGGGAGTACCCCAGGCAGTCGTGCGGAGGAAGATCTTCGGGGCCTGTCCCTTGAGCGCGAGACCGAAAAGGACACGGGTGCCGGCGAGAAGACTCTGGTTAGACGCAGACCAGGCGGAGGTGATGACGACGGCGTTGACGACGCTGGGGATGGCAGGGATACCAGCAGCGGAGGCAGCGATGACGAAGGGACTCTGAGCAGCGGTGCCGTAGGCGTCGTCGAGGCGGGGGTCGTCACTGGCAACGAGCATACCGACGACCAAAACGGCGAGCATGTAGAAGAGCACGATACGCGCGAAGACACGCTTGCAGGCGCGGGGGATGGCACGGCGAGGGTTCTGGGTCTCAGCAGCGGCCATGGCGAGGGACTCAACGCCGGCGAAGGAGAAGACGGCGCTGGTCATGACACCCCAGTAGCCCAAGAACTTGCCCCAGTCGCCGGTCGCGATGTGCTCCACGAAGGGGCCGGGGCTTTGCCAGTACCTGAACCCGATGCGGGGGGTCCCCGGAACGCCGCCGAGGTCGATGACGAGACCGAGGATGATGAGGAAGATGACGAGGAGGATCTTGAGCATAGCGAAGACGAACTCGACCTCTCCGAAGACACGCACAAAGGCGATGCCGACAACGAACGTCAAGATGATGAAAATGACAATGAAGACGGAGGGGTTCAGGTCGGTCCAGAACTCAAAGAGTACACAGATGGCTGTGATCTCGGAGGGGATAGACAAAATGTTGCCGTAGACCAAGTTCCACCCGATAGCGAATCCCCAGGCCGGATCGACAAGAAACTCGGCATGACGGACAAATGAACCGGTGACGGGGAGGAGCGCCGAAACTTCTCCGAGAGCGAACTGCACGGCGCAGACGATCAAGCCAACAGTCGCATAGCCAAGCAATGCGCCAAGCGGACCGCCGGTCTGGATAGCGCCACCGAGACCCAGGAAGAGACCGGTGCCGATGGCGCCCGCGATACCCAACATTGACAAGTGGCGCTGCTCCAAGCCGCGCTTGAGGTCGCGGTCCTCGGTGGTGGTGACAAAATCGCCGTTGTGGTCGTCGTGAGGCTCAAACGGGCCGCGCCGAGAGGCCTCGGCGGCCTCGACGTCGTCGGACGTGATCCAGGCGTGGCGGGTGACATCGGTGATGCCAGGCGACTTGGCGCCGGGGAACGGGATGGTGTCGGTACTCATCGCTTTTGTCATGTTTCCCCTTTGTCCTCAACTCGTGGCCTTTGTGCTTCCTTCACCGAGCGTCGGAGTGGGAAGAAAGGTGAGGGAAATAAAGCTGATCCCGAGCGATAAGAAAGAACCGCGATTGATAAAGCGCCCCGTTTGCCCTCCTCGTTTTTCTTTCTCGCGAGACTCAATGAGATTACCTTAGGTAATCGTCTGAACCTGTAAGGTAACACACGGGAGACAAAAGGTTTCGATGCTGAGGAAACGAGCAACGCGATTGATAACCAAATCTTCACCTCATTGGAATGCTGAACAACCGTTGAATGTAGCGCTGAAGCCTAGATCATGCTCAAAGGGCCATGGCTCGCTCAAAAGGTCGCGAAAGGGGTTCGGATGGACAATCGGCGGACTGGGGGGATGGGAATCGAAGAGATTTTGTCGTCTTATCGCGACCTCGATTCGGGAAGGTGAGATTTCTCATTCGATGATGCCATTGCGCTAAGCGGGTCCCGATCCACATTCACTGCGAGCTCGTTACGTTACTGGCGGCGTACGCGTCTCTCGCAGACCGAGGCTCTCGAAAGGGAACTCGGCCGTTGTGTCTTTCGACAACTGACTCGCATCTCCAACCTCACGGGCAATATATGGTGATTGTTCATCGCCTTACATTGTTAACAGTGGTTCTTCGCCTAGTAGATGGTGTAATGGCGTCCCAGCTGTTTTGGCAATATACACGATAAGGTAGGCGATGCACATAGGGTCGATCCCTCGGGTCTGGAATCTCGGTGAGGTATGGCCCTGGGCTAGACCATTTGACCTAGGCTAGCCTCCTACTGTACCAGTTCCCAAAATCATGAGCCTCAAGTTCAGGCAAAGCTCGTGGGGCCACCTTTAAGAGGGTGCACTGGATAGAAGATAATAAGTCAAGCGGATAGACATTCTACGCAGCTTGAAGTCAACTGCCGCAACCCAACATGCGCCAAGCTATCATGTTTGATAAGCTGCATCTGCTGCAGCCTATGTGCCGTGCCACATCATATGTTGGTTCTAAATCTAGGGCTGACAGCAGTATATGCAGTCAGCATCTTCCCCGCGCACATCTAGGCTGAGTCCCCTCACTCTGATTTTCTCATCTTCATTCTTCCCTGAGTAGCAAAGGCCGTTGGTGCCTACTGGGGCGCGGCAGGCATCCTCATCGCATATCACAACATTCAATCTTTCATCAAACACGTTCGCGCCATCATTTGACCAGATGGTCGCATCACACGCATGTACTCTTGACCCCTGTCATCAGTCGCTATGTCCGATCCATCAATCTATACGATCGGCTGGATCTGCGCCATTGTCCCTGAGTTCGTCGCAGCCCGGCTCTTCCTCGACGAGGTCCACGAAGAGCCTCGATCGCTGTCCAGAAACGACAACAACTCGTATAAGCTCGGGCGCATGGGCAAGCACAACGTCGCGATCGCGGTCCTTCCTCATGGCGAATATGGAGAAAGCTCGGCGGCAGTGGTCGCTCGAGACATGGTCCGCACATTTGTGAACATAAGGGTAGGGCTTATGGTCGGCATCGGCGGCGGCGCTCCGAGTCCCAAAAATGACGTCCGTTTGGGCGACATCGTTGTCAGCTCCCCGGCTGAGGGTTATGGCGGCGTGATTCAGTACGACTTTGGCAAATCCATCGAGGATGGGAAGTTCGAGATGACTGGGTTCTTGAATCAGCCGCCCCTTGCTCTAAGAACAGCCCTCAACATGCTGATTTCTGACCTTGAAATAGAAGGCAACTCGCTTGAAGAGCACATTTTGGAGCGCCTGAAGAATGACATCTTGAAGAAGAAATACGGTCGGCCCAGTCCCAATTCCGACAAACTTTTCCGCAGCGACATTGTCTATGACGCAAACAAGTCAATGGCTGATTATTGCGCCGACGACTTCGTGGATCGCCCGGAACGAGACCCTGGTTCAGAGCCCGTCGTCCATTACGGACTGATAGCTTCTGCAAATCAGGTAATGAAAGATGCTCAGAAGCGAGATGCACTAGCAAAGGAAGAGAACGTGCTATGCTTCGAGATGGAAGCCGCTGGTTTGATGAATCATTTTCCCTGTCTAGTCATAAGAGGAATCTGTGACTACTCCGACTCTCATAAAAACAAGCAATGGCAGGGCTACGCTGCCATGGCAGCCGCCTCTTTCGCCAAATCATTGGTCTGTTGTATTCCGCGTCAGAGCCTCGAGCATGAACAGTCTGTAGCAAAAGTATTGTCTTCTAGTGAGTAGCTCACAGAGAATCTCATCGCAAGTCGTTACTTGTAATTTCCCGATTTCTGACCAACGCACGTCAGTCAATTCAGTCAAGGAAGATGTCATCGCCATAAAAGATACAATCGATCATGACATTCTGGACAAATTGCCAATGGCTCAGGGTGCTGAATTCGACAGCTATGAAAATCAACACGAACCGAGATGCCATCCAAGTACCAGAGTTGATATTCTTCGCGACATTGAAACCTGGGCTCCTCATGCTACTGGCCCGAAACTTTATTGGCTCAGTGGATTGGCTGGAACGGGAAAGTCGATCATAGCTCGGACCATTGCTCATGAGTTTTACGAGACCAACATACTCGGCGCCACGTTCTTTTTCAAAAGGGGAGAAGTTGATCGTGGCAGCGCGTCGTTGTTTTTCGGTACGCTAGCCCGTCAGCTAGCGCAGCGCCGACCCGAGTTAAGCCCGTACATAGTAAAAGCGATCAAGGAGACGGATAATATCTGTTCCAAGAGTATGGAGGAGCAATTCACTAAGCTCGTCTTCAACCCACTCAAACTGGCAGCCTCAAAACCAGGGGAGCCCAAAAAGTTGATCCTGGTACTCGACGCATTGGATGAGTGTTCGAACGAGAAGGACGTTGAAATTTTATTGCGTTTACTGATCAAGGCTGTATGTTTCGATGGCTGCGGTCTGAAGCTGCTTATTACAAGTAGGCCAGAGGTTGCAGTGCGCGATGCATGTGGTTCTCCCAATCAAGGATTGTACCGGGAAGTTCGACTACATGACACACCAAATGAGATTGTCTCCAAAGATATCTCATTGTACCTTCGACATCAGTTGACAGAGATCAGAAATTTGTGGAACGCGAGATGCATCAATAATCAGAAACTACAGCTGGATTGGCCTGGGCAGGAGAAGATCAAGGCCCTTGTCGACATCGCCATACCCTTGTTTTTGTTCGCGGCAATAGCTTGCCGCTTCATCCGAGACGAGCTATTCGGCAGTCCAGAGGAACAGCTTTTGAAGCTTGTTCAGACCGTTCAGAAAGGAGGCGTCAGCGACAAACTTCAAGAGACCTATCAGCCAGTATTGAGACAGTTCAGAGGCGAAAGAACGTCGTCAGAGCGAATGATCCTGCTTGGAAGATTTAAAGAGGTCATCGGCGCAATCATACTCCTCGAGCAGCCTTTGTCGGTTACCTCAATCGCCAGCTTGCTGGGTCTCAAGCCTTCGCAAGTTGGTGGTATCTTGGTTCCTCTCAGGTCTGTTCTTGATCTTCCGAGTGAGGAAGGCCTGGAGGTCAAACTTTTTCATTCCTCATTTCGCGACTTTTTACTGAGTCCAGTTGCCGGAGACTTCTCCATCAATTTCAAGGAAACACATTGGAGAATGGCGCTTGCCTGTCTTGAAATTCTTTCGAGATCTTTGCGTTACAATATGAGTTCTGCTAGGGGGGCTGTGTTAGTTGGCTAGGCGGGCTATGTCCCACTTTTTCTAACTAATAGGATAATCGTAATTTTCTTAGTCGCTAGCCTCGCGCAGAACCTATTTATATAAACTTATATAATTCGAAAATTATTTTAGTTTTTATTATAGTAATTAAGAGATCTTAACGAATCTCGATTTTTATTAATTTTAATTAAAACTTCTTTAACTACGGCCTTTAATTAGCTAACTAAGTTACTAGAGTTATAGTTTTATTAGTATTAATAAGGTTAGAAAAGGCTAAAGTTATTTACTATATTTCTTTATTACTAATTACTAAGCTTTTTTTATTTTTATTACTTAACTTCTATTTATTATTATTATTAATTACGTACTTTATAAAGCTAATTTATTATTATTATCGTACTTAAACGCTAATTAATTATAGCGTATACTCTATTTAATTAGTTATAGCGCTAGGTTTTAAGTTTTATAAGGTTATTTAAGTACCCTTGCCGTTAACTAGGCTAGTATTACTAAGGAGGTAGGTATTTTTAAAAAGGGGGGAGTTAGTAAAGTATTATAATAAGTAATATTCTTATTCTTTAAGTACTTACGTAGAGTAGTAACGATAATAAGGTTTTTAATATTAAGTAGGGTATTTTTAACGTTCTAATTTAGTAATAAAGTTAGTATAATTTATAAATTAATAAAATAAACTTATTAATAGCTAACGTAATTACTAATAAGGGTAGATATATATTTTTATAAGTAGCTTTTTGCGCTTTATAAGATTAAGTAATTTATAATTATACGAGAGATAGTATTAGTTTATAAAGTTATTAAAGTACGGTAGTAGATCGGGAAGGCGAGGAATTTAGTTAGTTAGTAATAAGGGAAGGGCTCTTTAGTACTAAGTACTTATTAGCTTTAGTATTTTTAAGCTAACTTTTTTAGAGACGGTTCTAAGCTAGTTATAGCGGAGGTATTTATAGTAAGTATAAAACTTTATTATTATTACCCTCTCTTTATAAGTACGGGCCTTATTACGTAGTATTTTTTTAATTACTTAAGTAATAGTATATAAGTCGGAGTTATTATTAATAATATATAACTTTAAGTCCTTGTGGGTAGTCTTAGTAAGACTATTAGTTTTAATACCGAAGTTTTCGTACTAAGAAATAAAGTAATTAGCTTATTAATATTATAGGGGGAGGTAGGTATTTATAATATACTTTAGAGATAAGTCTTAGTTAGTAAACTCTATTAATAAGCGGTCCTAAGTAGTATTAAAGTCGTCCTTAATATTAGTATATATAACGTAAGCCTATAGTTAATAAAAACCGGTAGGTATATAAGGAATTTCCTAAAACTACTAGCTAAGGCTAAGGGTCTTATTAGCCCGGGCCTTATCGTTAAGGTTTTAAATAGTTTTATTTTTAGCGGCCTCTTTATTATAATTAACGTCGAGCTTATTAATAGGCCCGCTAGGGCCCTTTTATTTATACTTAACGTTAAGGTTAACGTTCTAATTAATATAGAAAATATAGAGCTAAAACTAGGTATTAGGCTAGACTTTTATTATTATTAACCTTACCGTATCCTCGAAGTTAGTAATAGTTACTTTAGGCTACTTAGTATTAATCTCGGCCCGAATAGATTTAACGGACTTAATAAAGAAGTTATAGCCCTCGCGGCGTTTTATTAAAATAAGACCGAAGGCGTAGTTATATAAAGAGCTAATATTAGTAATTTTAGTAACTTAAGAAGTATTAGGATATGCCCTAAAAAAAGAAGTAGAGTTTAAGAAAGATAAGGAGGTTTTTTAAATATTAGTTCTTACTTAGAATAGTAGTATTTTAAACCGGTTAGTTTTATATATATTATCGAGCTTAATAACTTTAAGAAACCGCTTCTATATAGTTTTATACTAAGAATAAGTTTAGATAAAGCCCGTAAGCTAATTAGGATCTTTTAATAATTATTAAATATAGTACTTATATTTTATACTCGTTAAGATACTTATAAACTATTAAATAGTAAAATAACTATCGAGTTTTTTTAGGCAAATTTACTAGCGGGTATTATTAATATCTTTTTATTTAATAAGGGACCTAGGCTTAGTATTTCGAACGATAGTAGCTACTTTATATAACTTAATAACTTTATACTTAGAAACGGTTTTAAAAAGGGTTTACTACATAGTAATAAGCTTTTAATAAAGCTTATAAATAGAAGGGTCTAAAGAAAGTACGTAGTTATGGGTAGCGTACTTAAGAATAAAAAACTATTACTAATCGTTAAAAACTCGGGTAGAAGTAATTTTATACTAAGAGTAATTATTTTTTTAAATAAACGTAGTACGAGTATTAAAATTACGAAGCTAGCGGGCGGTATTATAGTTATAAGTAATTTTAAAGCGCGTAAGTAGTTTAAGCTCTCCTCGGTAATTATTAACGTTTTATTAGATTATAATAAAACTATAGTTACGCATATAGGCTTATAAGTATTCCTAAAGCTTTTTAATCGTTATAACTAGTACGAAATATGGCGGGTTAGGTATATTATATTCCTTTAATTACGTAGGGGTAATTAGGTTAATTAGTAATACTTTTATTAAAAAGTCGTAATAGTTTTATTTTTTGTGGGTAGTGACGGCGAGGTTAAAGTGGGTAGGTTAAAGTAGGTAAGTAGAAGTAGAAGTAAAAGTAAAAGTAGAAGTAGAAGTGGAAGTAGAAGTAGAAGTGGGCAATTGGTAGTAGTAGAAATCGGTCGGAATAATCCCTGGCCTCTTATTGGTCGGATTACTTTAGGAAAAGTAGGACATAGCCCGCCTAGCCAACTAACACAGCCCCCCTAGCAGAACTCTATAATATTTGCAGCCTCAAGCCCGCCGATCGACGGTCTGCGATTGCGAGAGACGTCCTGGAACAACAGCTCCCGCCACATACACGATATGCTTGCCGCTTCTGGTTTCATCACCTGAAATACGCGGGTCAACTTCTCGAGGATGAGGATCAAGTCCATAAATTCCTCCAAGATCGATTTCTCTATTGGGTCGAGGCTCTCTGTGTTCTCGGAGAAACCAATCGTGCTATTCAAATGATAGACACGCTAATTCCCCTCGTGAAGGTGAGCTTCGAGGTTTTCTCCACCATGAGATCAATACAAGGTGAATGTATATACGTAGCAACAAGTCACAAAGAATCAGTCAACATTTCTATATTGCCTACTTTGCTAACTAATATGGCAGCAACCAAAAATCAAGCTTTACAATCTTTTGGAAGACTCGGAGATGTTGATTTCCAAATACATCTCCGTTATTCTCGAGTATCCTTTGCAACTGTATTGGTCAGCATTAGTCTTTTCTCCCACGACAAGCTCTATCCGACACGCTTCCATAAGAAGCATCCCGAAGTGTATCACTTTCCAACGACCACAAAAGTCTGGATGGACGCCTCTGATCCAGAACACAGGTCTTGGGGATGCCTATGAAGGTTATTATGCCGTTGTTGTTTCTCCTGATTCCAGGCTTGTTGCATTAAGTGGGCTTGGCGGGGACATATCGGTTTGGTCGCTGTCCCTGGGTGTCTTGATGACCAACTTTCGCATGCCGAGCCTTCACTCTATCGGTCCATACGTTCCAGTCGCCTTTTTCAAGGACTCGAAGCGAATCGCATCGGCATTACAAAACTTAATCCACGTCTACGTCGCTGAAACGGGCGAGGAACTATGCTCGTTCCGTATTCCCGATGGGGTCGACGTAGTACAACTTGACGTTTCCCACACTTCAGAGAAGATTGCGGCGTCTTACGACAATTTTACCGCTGCGATATGGACAATGTCCACAGGGCGTAGGATCAAGCTCCGGCCTATAGACAGAGACCAGAGGCGTGATAGCTCACGCTCTGTATCACAAGGAGGCTCATTTGTCAGTTTCTCTCCGAATTCTGAAATTGTAGCGACCTCATCTATACGTGGAAGTGTCCATCTTTGGGAAGCCTTGACAGGTAACTGCCTTCAGACGTTTGAAACAAATGGGCCCGTGGTCAGCCAGCTCGCCTTCGTGTCAGACACCAATCTCCTGATCGTTAAGGAAGCGGATGGAGAAATTCGAACCTTGAACATTGACACCGGTTGTTGGAATTCTCGAGTCCCGGGAGGAGAAAACACACGTGGACCTACAGCTATTTCACACGACTCGAGGCTCATCGCGCATCAAAGTCTCTCCGATAGCGACGCTATTTCGATTTCGTCATTCGATACCGGCGAACACTACCAATCCCTACATCTCACCAGCATTCTCGCCGCCAGCCCATTCAGCTTTCATTCACTTCGGCCTGAGGATTGGGTAGCGGCATTCTCACCCGATGGCAAATTTCTCATTGTTGCTCAAAGCAACGGAGTTGCCATCTGGTCCTTGTCCATGATCCGAAAGCCCAGAACGCTTGACAGTGGAATGAATCAGCCAATACAGCCAATGTCTGCGGTGACTAAGAGCTGTTTCATACATCGGAGAGCTTCCGAAGAAACGGCACAAATCATTTCCATGGACAAAATCGACGACTCCAACGAGGTTAATATTTGGTCGTCTGACACTGGCGAGCTAGACCTGAAAGTCAAAAACGATGGAGATATCTGGGATTCAGGAAATGCCACACTCTCGCCTGATTCAAAATGGATGTTCCTCCCTTGCCAGCCGGCAATCCACAACATCCAAGATAGCACAGTCGTTCATGTCATGAAGCCTCCATGCCCTCGTAATCCTAGCTATCTCGATTACAGAAAGGCAAGAAAGAGCGAGGTTTTGTTTTCGGAAGATTCACAATCCTTTGCATTTGGCGCATATCATGACTTTAGTCTCTGGACAATGCACGGGGGGCTGCAATACCGAGACTCCACCTGTGCCGGGACCGTCATCACAATTACGCCTGATTGGAAATACGCGGTCTACACAATCGAGATCCCATGCCTAGAGGCACTCAAAAAGAACGGCGAGCCTAGATCAGATGAGATGTCTCACAGAGTCAGGTACTTGAGCATTGATACACACAAATACGTGGATATGCCCGAGGAAGCTGACGACTTCAGCTTTCTCGCCATATCACCAGACTCGAAATGGGTGGCCTCAGTGCCAAATCGTGGTAAAGAGCTCACCCTATGGCTAGCAAGCAAATGCTACCGCCAAGCCCTCTTTGAGCCCGAGTCTCGCATCACTGCAGTCGCATTTTCATCCAATTCTGAATCAGTGGCATCAGCGGACAAGGCTCAAAACATACGGATTTGGTCGACAATTTCGGGGCACTGCACAAACGTCTTGAATGTAGGACGTAGTCTCTTCGGCCTATCTTTCTCGCCCGACGATTCTCAGTTGAGGACTTCCTTTGGGGCCATTGCCATCGAAAGGTCCATCCGCCCACCCCAAGTAGCCAATTCTACCACGGATGATGCCGAACTTGAAAACACGTCTGTCATGCTTCAGAGACCGCGTTGGCAGGGCTATGGAATCGATGTAAGCGGTAAGTGGATCACTTGGGACGGTGTCAACTTGATGCTCATGCCGACCGATATCAACCCTGCTTCGAATTTGAATTCCCCTCGCTGGGATTATGATGATAGGCGATGCCAGGTGGCTGCTGGCGAATCCGTTGTTGCTTGGGTAGGTCCCTCTGGCGAGCTATATACCATGGGGTTCTCGAGAGATATGAAGCCCTTTGACTAAGTCTTGCGCCAGCAAAATTGTTGGAGTTGCCTTTCATGTAACCAGCCTCGTCTCATTTGTTCCTTCATACTGCTTGTCTACTTCCCTTTCACCCGTGCTCACTGTCCATATTTAGGACATCTATAATCTCAAATAGATCGTAATCATGTTTACATTCTTGTCTCTGAAACAGGCCATGTGGCGAATCATGACGGACTTATCGCCTACACGAATCATCAAACCTTATTAGAGAGCTACCCGGTGAATTTTGATAATTCCCTGCCAGACTGTTGTGGTTTTACACGAGAGATAGCCCTTTGAAATATGATCTTCAATGATAACCAGGCGAGTTTCAGTATCCTGCTCTCCGGAATGCTTCATCCAGCTTCAACTCAAGAACCTGCCGCTGCGCTTGAATACCTGCCGTAATCCGTGCATTCTCCTCCTCCCCAGCTTTCTTCTTCTCAGTGGCGTCCCCCTCATCGATGGTCTCAACCTCATCAGCCATCATATCATCAGCCTCCGAAGGCGACGTCAAAGCCATAGGGGCCATCCGCATACTCGCCATCCTCGTCGATGACAAAGTCGCCCCAGGAAGGAAGCCTGGAGCAACATACTTCTTCGACTTCCCCGCCGAGGCGATCAATGTCGACAGGACCGCGGCGCTAATATCTAGCACATTATCCGCCTTGAACGTGTCGGGGTCGTTGAGGAGCTGTAGTCCGATGCCAAAGGCCACAGACAAAAGGGGTCCTGCTCCGGGGATAAAGCCAAGGCCGAGCTGGACCACGTGCGTGACCAGGTCCAGGATAAAAGAAGAATACTTGTACGGACGCCATCCAACCTCGACACCAAAGGTCGCGCTAATGACATTCGCAAGGTCGATCTCGCGAATGAACCCATCCATGTGGACGGTATCGCTCGCCGTCCAGGTACGCCCCGCGTGCCCGACGAGAAACAGCGCGTCGGTCCTCGTCGTCGCGTTGTAGACGCCGTACTCCGGGTTGCGCAGCTTGTGGGGGATAGTCAGGTAGGTGATGAGGTCGGGGACCTTGAAGAGCCACGTCAGGTCCTTATTCAGGCCGAGGCCTGCTTCGCGCGTGGACGGGTAGGTACGCGGCTCTCCTGCGATGTTGAAGCAGTTGATGGTGTCGCGTGCCTTGAAGTCGATGACGACGTAGGTGCAGTACTGCTTGTACGCCTCGTCGGTCTGCTGGCAGACGGGGAAGTAGATGGCGCGGATCGGGATCGTGGCACTGGCTGCAAGTTAGCACTTCTGCAGGGTCTCATAGAAAGAGTAGTTAGCAGGGTAGAGTACTCAATCCACAGCCACTCGGTGTCTTTGCGACGAATCTTGACCGGGCGCAGGATGTATTTCCTTGGACCGCCCCTGTCGCGGTCTCGCATCTCGTTCCAGTTCAAGCTGTTTGGGTAGCTGGTGATGGCCGTCAGGCTGCTCGGATCCGTGGTCTTGCTTTCGCCGACGAAGAATCTGTCCCACTGCCAGAAGCGGGTAGCATACAGACTAGCCGTCCCGCTCTGAGACTTTGATCGGAGGTGGGTTGGCATTGAACTCGCGCTGCCGCTGCCAATCCAGCCGTTCCACTGCGCGTGTTTCGTGAGCAACAGAGCTTCGGGAAGAAACCTTGGACAGAAGGGAGGGGGCGCGTACCTGATATTCGATGAGAACATGGCTATAGAACTGCTCCTCGTTCTCTGCGGACCAAGTATTTCCGTACTTGAGAGAAGATCGGACGAAGAAGCATTCGCCTTCAGGGAAGTAGGAGGCCATTGCAAAGAGTATTAGTGGAGTCGAAGATGAGGATCAAGGGGAAGACGATACGAAGATGGATAGCACTGCTTCGAGTTCTTTAGCACATAGACTATGGACTTAATATTAGGAGAGACAAGTCAGAGGTCCATGAGAGGGCGGGCTTTATACTCCTTGACAGCTTGGATAATTCACAGGAATCTTGCGTGACTGAAGTACTCTCACCAAGACCTGGAGCTCCTCGGTTTGCTGGTCGTTCTATCGGCACACAAGCTTCGGATGCACCGTGATGCCATTTGGATGAAGTGTGAAGGTGCTAGTGGATGGAAATAGCACTCGGTGAAGTTCTCAACCGCTCAAAAGTCCAGATCTTGAGACATGCAGGCGATATGCTAACTCGACTACGCAGCGATGAGCAAAAGAAGGGACGATAACGGTGGGCCTCGTCGATCAGCCCGGGACGAGCCGCCCGGAAGGCGACATAAGAAGGCGGGGTTCGCATGAGGACTCTCCAAGCTGGGCACGACCTGCATTTGTCGAGATGTGTTGTTATGCAGTGTACCAATCGGTTGATACTTGTGTTGCTGGGAGCTACGGCCCGGTACAGCTATCCCGACTTCATCCCGCTTCGGTGTAGCAGGATCACGTCGTCCCGCGTCAGACCGGTCCGAAGTGTGCCTGAACTACGCAGTCTGATGTCCGAATGAAGCGGTACACATCGTACCGCAATCCGGCCCATCATGCGGCCGCCGCTTGAGAATACGAGAAGCCAAGATGCCCCCATACACACTCCTCAACGGGTGATGAATAGTACTTAACCGATCATAAGGCAGGGTAAAAGGAGGTAGTATCGGCGATACCATGCGCGCAGCGTAGCAGAATACTTGATTAAGAAAGTCGCTCATAGCAAGATTATTCAGTCTACTTTTAAGACATTTGTGATTAGAATCTGTCGAGTGAAGTACTTACACCCGGCTTGAGTCGCTTAAAGCGTGCGTTGGTGGCATCAGCCCATCTGGATACTTCAAGTAGTCGTGAGATACGATGCTTCTATACTACGGCTTCCTTACCGTGGAAAACATGTTATTGAAAGCGCGCGGTAGTAAAGCACCACAGCCCATTCTCTTGGGGCCTCAATCAACCCGCGATGCTCACAAAACCAAAAGCTACGCGAACGGACCTCTAGAAAAACAGCACGAGCGTGCCCCAACCTGGAAGTTCAGCGCGACTGACATCATACAGGGTCAGGCGGAACCTACATCAGACGGCCAAGTTCAATTGTGCATATGCCAAAGTTTGGCGACGAGACTTCGGATGGTTCACAGTTCACAAGCAACGACGAGGCCCCACGGCCGAAAATTGGGCAAAAGCTACGAGCTTCGTATCGGTAGCTCCCGTGTAGTGAACCCCTCTGCCCGCAGATCACAAGCTTGGCGAATCTGGTACTGCTTGCTGTGGCCGACGTCATGCAGTACAGAACTCTAGGAGATTACGTGCCCGATGGGGCCTTCCCGATCACGAGCCTTCTGTTCAATCCACGATGGCCAGAGAGGGCGGTTTAACATGTTTGTATTATGCTGGGCTAGCCAGCATCACAGATGCCTGGTGGCCATCTCTCGAAAGACAAGAATCCTCCCATGGGCTGGTGGGCTCGAGCCTCACCAAGCCCAATATGCAAGTTACCTCCCCACAACCGACTGTATCCCCATGATTTCCAAGCAGCAGAACAGTTGAACCTTGGCCATTCGTGCCGAGGCTATGCCGTTTGCTCTCCCAATCCTCCCAGTCGTTTGTCGCGTTCCCCAAAGTCCAGGCTGCGGGTCCGAGTGACGTAGAACATCGGAAACCATGACTTCGTGACGTATCCGACCCTTTCAGCGAAGAAAATGAATAGTTTCGAAGACGCAATGCCATGCTCGCAATGATTGACCAAAATCAGGCCCTCGAGGCGGCGGGTTTATGTACAATCCCCTCATCCAACGAGCAGAAGAAAGTTTCCAATCCGACATATCCCGAAACCCATAATAATTGTTGACGAATTATTTCATTCGTGTAAAAGTGCAGCTAAAGTGCGGTATCTGAATCTCGAGAGGTCCCTATCACGGGACGACTTGAGTAACTACCGGCGCTCCGGCTCGAAAGGGTTCTCGGCTCGCTGGTGAGGCTGGCGCTCGGCTTCGAAGGGGTTTTCGTTACCAGGTTGGTTATTTTGGCCATGCGGCTGCCAGGCGCGCGGGGGCTTGCCCATGGTTGGGTGGTCGTAGACGTCGCCGTCGATCTCGAGGTCAATTTCGTCCTCCTTGCGCTCCTGCTTTTGTCTTCTCATGTGCAACACAGTCAAGACGCCAAGAGTACCGCAGATGAGCACAGCACTAGAAAGAAATGATGTTAGTCTTGGCTACGAATGCTAAGGTAGGCCCTGGAGTAGCTTGGCGGCATGCGAACGCAAGCACAACTCAAAAAGCAGAGTGCGGAACAGTTCGGGTAGACCTACGCAGTAATGCCGATAGTGATGCCGATAATCTTGGAGGACTGAAAGGGTTTTTCGCAGCGGGAGCTGTTGTCTCCATCCGCGCAATCATCGCGCGCAGCGAGGTAGTGTACAGCGCGAGCGACGGGTGCCAGGAGGCTTGCGGCAGTTGTTGAGGAACTCATGATGCGACTGAGGAGGGATCGGATTATTGTGGATATGATGTAACGGTTCGATTGTGGATTGGATAATCGTTTGTAATGACGATGGAATTCCCTCGAGTTCCGATAGAATCGTAGATATCGTCACGTCGCGTCGAGTAAGGTGGAATCCTCCCTTTCGTATTTAATTCCTTGACTTGAGCCGTCTGCTTCTTGTCGCAACTATCGCCTTGGTTGTTCTCGAATTCTTGTCGTTCGGTTGCGGCAAGCGGGCTGCGGATTGCTCGTCTGTAATGAGTGGATTCGCCCCTGTGTCGCTTGTGTGAAACCGGATTTGGAGCCCCTGTTATCGCATTCTCTGATTGCTAACGGTTTTTTTATGCAAGGAGTGACTGGAGTGAAGAAGGGCGAAAACAGTTTGCGAACAGTGACACAACGAAAAAGTGGCCGGTGCCAAGAGGAGATGCAGGAAGGAAGGAGCAAAAGAGTGAATACCCGGGAAGGTTTGTGTTTGCTGGCGAGGGAAAGCAAGAAGGGGGCGAGGAGGGAAAGAGCGCGCGAGATTGAGGCGGGCAGGGACGGGAAGCAACCTGGAAGGAATGGAAGGAACGGATGGAATTTAGGAAGGGACCCGACACCTTGAAAACACGGGGAAAGTGGAGGGAAGGAAGGTGAGGCAATCTGCCTACCTATTCAGGGGAGGGGGGCGGTCGTCTCAGGGTCCAGGGGGAAAGAGGTAGGCACAGCCGCACGTACGAAAGTACGCCCGACGCAGGTACGACAGGAGTAGGCGCAGGAACAGGAAGGAACCCGTGGGCAGACAGAAGGCACAGAGTAACAGAGTGACAGTGTAAGGAATGAAGGCACCCCTCCTTCCTCCCTCATTCGACAACAACGTGCCTGCCTCAAATGTCTCTATTTTCAATCATTCCTTCCATACCTTCCCCCATCAGGAACGCATTCGCTCCTTCAGTCGATTTAGCGGCTGTGCATTTCTGCATAGTCTGCATTCGCTAGGAAAGACACAAGTTCCAGTCTGGGGGGAGAATGTGGCTGTGTCTCACTCATCTTCGTTTTCAGTGAGGCCGAGAGTGCCGGAATTGGCTGTCATGATTGGCTCTTGGGAAATACTCCCCAAAAAGGCCTCCCCTTACAACGGTCTTGAAGAGGAACAAACACGAACCTGGGCCCCAGTTAAAGGGTTGGCGGGATGGTCCTGCGATCCGAGTCAACCGAATACGGCCAATGAACGGCCAACACGGGCGAACATACTGCCGCAGTCAATTTCCTCGACTCTGGCTTTTGCCTCCTCTTGCGTCCCTACGAACTGCACAAGCCAAACACAACGCTGATGGCATCGCCAAAGAAGGGTCCGAGAGGGGCTGTTGGAGTCTTTCGTGGGCTATCGTGGGTATCGCCAACTGACAGAGTGGGAGCCTCGTGATTAGAGTGGCTGCCAAAGAAATGGTCTTGCGGGGAAATGCTTGTCTCGTGTTTCACATTCCAAACTCCCTGTTCGCTGTGCCCGGTGAGAAATTGGCATGTCATCCCCTTCTCTCGAGGTTGGGTGACACTGTGGCAGATAAAACAATTGCGCGCGCGACGGCCCTCGAATCTGATGGGTTTGGCAGCGCGAACCATACGAATTTCAATGGCGTTCGTCCCGCCATTACGGCGCTGAAAATTCGGCATAGCATTAATGACTGAGTACCTGGGCAATCAACAACCCTCTATTAGAGTTCATGACGACAGCGACGTCAATTGACATTTTCTTTGCACCAGACAGCAATCACCAATTCCAGGTTTCTTGACACGGAACCACGGCACATTTTCAATCTCCCTTCCCCTCTGCCGTCCCCCCTCACCGAGGCAGCGGCAGCGACTCGGCGACCAACAAAAACATCATCTTGTGACATGCTTCAGACAACCCATCGCATGAATTGTAACGAGTTATCCCGGCGATAAGGCCGACGGGAAGAGCCAACCGCCGCGCCTTTCATTTCGCTAAATGGGCCTTGTGGTGCTCGAGCTTCCCACTCACTACGAGAGCCACGCACTGACCGACGGACCAGGAAGAAAAGCAAGACAAACCATTGGAAGTTTGTTAATAATAGAACCCTGAGACAGCGCCGCCGCCGCCCCCGCCCGAGTTTTCTCCCCGTGTCCTTTTTTTTCGGGATGCCCTCGCCTACTGCCGAGGTGCCGCTGGCGTTGAAAATCCCCCGACTCAATTTATGTGCGGAGCAACCCTGACACTGTCGGGAACTTCGCGGGATACCGAACGATTGCGATTATCAAGTCCGCAGACACGGATACGAGCGACGATGGACGGCTCGATGAGTAGCCATTTCACCTTAACCTGCTTGACGGATTTATCGCTCCGGGAGATGCGAGATTGGCAGATGCGATTGGAATTCATCTGCACGACGATGGATCATTGAACCGCATTCTTGGGACCAGCTCATGTTGCACTGGAATGCAGTCCCTATTGCCGGTGGGCCCAGAACGATCGAACCGGCCGACGGAAAAAATCATCGTCGGCCCGAGGATGACTAGGTGGACGGGAGCGAAGTTGTGGAGTTCGTACCCGGCAGGATTTGCGAGGCCGTACATGGCGACCTCCGATAGATGGATACTCCGAGTGACGGAAGATTTGTCCTAAGAGGGTCTTTTCCAAATTTTCGGCTGCCGAGTCCGTCTCCGATACTCGGCATTTTGCCACCCGGACTCACCGCGTTTTATGGGCCCCGGAGCCGATTCCCGGGGCAGATGCCGAAAGATTCCGGAAGGCTCGCGGGACATGAGTGCCGAACACGACCAATTAAACTCTCAATAATGCTATCAGAGTTCGAAGTCTTGGCTGATGTGACTTTCAGATCAAAAAACAGAAACTTCTCTGCTAAAACGCCCAGAAATGTCCAAGCTGAAGCATGCAGAAGACGGTTCCTGGCCTCAACCGAGACAAGGATTGGTGATGAGATGGATCCGTAACCGTCACACGGACGGAAGGTCAGTATATAGGGCTTACGCTGCGCTGCGACAAGATTGGGACGACAAGAACGCTAAATTTTGACGGATCGGCTTTCCTCGTTGGGAGTTGCGTCCAAACAGAGGAAGATATCGAGTCACTTTCGCTATGGGCTCAAAGACCAAGACTTTTGCCACTTTTGCGAAATGCCATGTGCTGTCCAAGCAGCGAATAACAAGCCCATCGTCAATTGTTTGGTTTCAATTGACGAGAGCCATGGCCAAGGAGGAGAGAATACTTGACTCGAGGGAACCTTCGAGGAGTCAAGGCTGAAATTTCAGATTCCCATGTTGCCGCTTCTCATCAGGAATACCTCGGCATAGAGCGAGAACGCTGGAATTTCCATCTATCCAGTATGACTGGGCAACCTCGATGCCCATCTTTCGCGGTTCGCCGTTCTCCATGGAGATGCAACTTTGCGCTCCCTTCAGCTCTCCGCCAGCTAGCGAACAGCTACATCCCATGCAGCTAGTGGCGGCAGCGGCTCTTCCCTCGTTCGCAGCGCGGCTAAGCTATTAGTGAGGTAAGCATATTGGGTCACAAAGAAAAGGGAAGGGGAAAAAATTGTTTCACTGGCACTTTTGCCCACCATGCTCTTTTCCACCTTTGTCTGTGCAGTCCGACGCCATTATGTAAGAGGTTCCCAAAAGGCCCATGGAGCTAAGGTGGAAGACATGCAACGAGGCTCTAGACTTTGGAAAAGCTTTTTTGTGCTGCCCGGTAAGCGAAGATGGGGCGGGATGGAGAAATGCAGGATGCGGAGCGGCGGCGGAGGAGGAGGAGGCACTCAAGCTCTTTGGACTCCTCTGGAGGACATTAGGACGACGGTGAGGATGAGTGAGACTGGGGTCATGGCGGGCCAGGCCCGATTGTATTGGGACTGGAGGTCCGACATTGAAACTGAATGAGATCCCAATTGGAGACAGCCAAGAGAGTGGAGCGTCAGCGCTAGGGATGGCAACATTTTCGGCAAGAAAGAGGTTGTGCTGCGTTTCTCGTAAATGGCTTTGTCTAGGACATCTCCGAGGGAGAATGGTATTCAGAGGGGTTGAAGTCCTGGCCAGGGTCGCCAGGGCACTGAGAGCTTCAGCCGCCAGGCGACGCCGCGGGGTACTGGAAGCTCAGAGCTGTACTGTGAACTGGGACGTGGTCGATCCAGCAGGGAGGGGGACGGACCACCAATAACAAAGTCAATTTTGTCCTTTTCAATGAGGGCATTTCGTCCTATTCGCGACTTACACTTGTCGACGATGCCTACGACCAGCGCTTGGCGTAAGGCGTGATTATGACGATGACATTCTTTATTACCCCTCATTTCTCTGGATTAAAGCGTATTTGGTGTAGTCGACCGTCCTAAAGAATTGGTCCACGTGAAGGGTGTTTGTTCATGTGACGCGACGTCTCATTCCGCGGAGATAGTAGATACAGACATCTAAAGGGCGCGAGTCCTATGTCATGATGATCTGCGGGCACGAATGGCCACCACAACACCAATGGAAAGCCACAGTCTGAGGCGCGCACGATGATGTGGACAAAAGGGAATGCATGTAGTTGAGAAATTGAGGCTTACAATGAAGCGATCTCCCGCCTCAGATTTAGTAGAATGCGGGGTGGAAAGGTCGTGTTGGAAAAGGAAAACCTGGGGAAAACGTGAATTGGCTTGCTTGCGATAAGGATCTCGAGGTTGAGTGGTTGAAAGCGCTGGTCCCCGTCCGCGCGGGGTTTCACTTGGATCTTGCTGCACCTAAGGCCATACCGGGGAAGATAAAGGAGGCCAAGCGTTATCAGCCTCGTAAAACATGTTGATATCAAATCGATTATCTCCCTGCTTCGAGCCTGCCGCTCGTGTTCGTGACTGTCTGTTTCTGTTTCCTCTGCCCAGGGCTCAGGGACGTGAATAGAGGCACGGCGAACACAAGGGATTGTGTCTAATGATTGCTTAGAGTTGGCCAATGGCGGCCTAGCCGTGACCTCGTTTTCTCCTGGGAAAATGGGATGGGGTGCCCAAGCTCATTGTCGCATTGCAGCAATTATCGACAGATTGCGAAGACGAAATGATCTGAGAGCAACACACAACGAACTCTTGGCTCGAGAACTCAAGCTCGGTGTCTTCACTGTCTCGAGGGTTGCACGCGCAGTAAGAAAGAACATTCGAGGCTAACGTGTGAGAACAGGCACGGGTAGAAACCTTGCTGTACAAATTTGACTTGCCGCACCCGTAGGCGTGTTTGACGACGGACTTGGGTGACGCTCGAGTCAGCTCATTTAAGATTTTCTAGGAAAACCAATTGACAAGTTCAGACTTGCGCTCGTCGCAATGTTTCAAGAATTAGAAGCGTGGCTGCCCTGTCTTTCACCGTTGCCGTTGATTGTTGCCGTCCCTACTCCGTACTTACAGAAACCTTGGGACGAATGACTCTCCAGGGATCCTACCACGAGTCTGTGAGGAGCTGTTTGCCCTTGAGGATGCATGTGGCTTTGGCTGTTCTGGTAGCCTTCTAACACAGTCCGTGAGACCACACCGGCCTGGCCGCGTCCGTACCCGTGCCGCCTGCGCTGTCGCTGTGGGAGCCGGGAGCGGGCACGGCGCCGGTATCGGGGAGGATGGGCAAAAGGATTTCTGTTGCGGGATAGTTTGCGCCATCTTATTGAATCAGGAAAGGACAGAAAGTGAAGCGAAATTGGGGGAAATGTCACGATGTGACCGGCAAGCAGAACAGAATGCCGGCCAAGAGAACTACGATATGACAGTATGACTCCCCTCGAGCGAAGTCGGCGAGCGCGATGAGGTGGGGGGTTGGAGGGGTTCGGGATGTTTCCCGGATCACCGAGAAGGACCCTGAGGCGCAAGGGGTCACCGGGGGCTAAGCTAGGGAGGGGGTGGGAAATGTCCTGCTCGGTTTTTGGGCATTGGAGGCGACGGTCACCGATGAGGACCGCCGGCTAGCGGTGAATCAGTGGTGCCTCGACGGAAACATTCTTCCCCTGAATGACACCTCGGCGTTGGATGACGCCTGTTGGCGTATGAGCGGTTAATTCCTCTTATAGAGGAGATGAGCATCATGGAAAACATTAAACAGCGGAGCTGGACGATCTCGAAACACGCTCATGGAGAAAACTTTACATGAAAACCATGGTAATGAGTGGGAAATACTCCATAGCAACTCAGGAACAATATTCGTGAGTTCATTGTTGACATCATGCTGGCGACCTCCTGGCTCGATGTACCCGTCCACGAGAAAATTTATGCTGGGCTACAAGCGCGCATTTACGGCTGAATGCCCACATTTGTAGCAGGGCTGCAGGAACTGTGGTCCTTTGCCCAAGTTGGGAATGGTGGTCACAGTCGTGGGTCTGGACGACCGCTCTGGATCGCGATGGAAGTGTTCCATCTCGTTTCTCTGAGCTTAGGTCATCCGTCTCTGGTCTCTTACTGCCCAGGGCGTGCGGATCTTGTACATCAAGACTTTCCCATGGGCAATGTTGGAAGAGTCAGATGGAGCAAATCCTCCAGCTTCAAGCTCCATCCAGTCTGCAGCCGTGGCAGTGACATGTGTGGAAATCAAGTGGATATTAATGCCTGCACCAGCCGGGGTGGCTTGAGAGCGATGGTAGGAATCTTTCTGCCCACGGGGTTGAGAAGAATTTTTCAGCTAGCTCCTTGCTGCGGCTTCGTTCTCTTTTGGAGATATCACGATGGAATCAAGTGTGAATGCCAGCAGCCACCGGCATGAAGGTATGGGGTGCTCCAACCCCTTGGAGCTCCGTTTTCCTTGTCTGAAAGGGGACAGAGAAGTGAGCGCCCAAGCGTCAAGGGCACATATACGGAAACTAGCCTCACTGGGCATACTGTAGCCGCCTGTAGGAAGGGGGTCCTTGACTCCTTGCTCGTTGGAGACATGCTCTTCGAGTTTGTCGGACGAGACTGAAAATGTCAAAAAGAATTCTGCGCCTGGGTGAAAGCAGAACACGCAGAGTGAAGAAAACAACCGTCGAAAATGGATGGGCAGGTGACTCCGGTTATACGTAAGAGAAACTTCATGAGTGGCCCAGTGTCCTTGGAAGTGGATATCCTACCCCTGCTTCCCGTCCCCGTTTTCTCCGTTTTTGTTTCCCTCGAGTGGGAATTGTGGCTTGCGGTTCGTTTCCATCCACGATCCTAGGCCAAGTCTAGAAGCACGTTTTCCTAGCCAGGAATGACATTCGCACGCAATCGAACAGACTGGAGAAAAAAAAAACTTCACGATGGCGGCTCCATTTTGGAAAAAAGACGATGGGTTGGGGTTGCTTGGCAGGTCAACGCGGCTAAATGACAACCTTTGCGGACAGGCAATGGATGGACTTCTTCCCGCTCGGCACCGGACCGCACCCCTTCCTCTCGGTTTAGGAATAGGCCAACTGAGTCTACGGGATGCCATTCCGTTACGGGGACGGAAGGGCACTTTTGAGGATGGCTGATGGTGGTGATGGTGGGGAATCGCGCGGCTCACTGCTGAGTATCGGAACAGAGAGAAAGACGGTGACGGTGCGCTCCGTCGGTCAAGCAAACCTTTGTGAACAGTCATAGTCCAGAGCCTCAAGAGCGCTGACCGCAAGCAATGGGAGAGGCTGAGAGACTGTGAGATGTACCCCGATCGGCCGGTCGGACGGTCGGGTTGACATTCTCGACCCTTTTCCATTGCGGCTTGGTCCGGACTGCAGATCCGGTAGTACGATCGAATAGGGATCTTAGATCGATTTTTGTCTTGGAGCAGAGGTGCAACACGAGGTTTCAACTGCGATGCTGTGGCGGTGATGTATGGTTGACGGTGATGCCGTTGACTGGTTTACGAGATGTGACGAGAAGCTTCGCTGTTTGGGCGCTCAATTCTTCGTCGCTCGTTGCGCCTCGGCATGAGCTGCTTACGTTTGTGTTGATTCTGGAAATAGAGTGCAGACTCTTAGGCTGCTTGCCACTTGCTGAACTCGACTTACACCGGCGTTGAATACGTGTTCCACGCCCCAACGCCACTATGCGTGTCAGTTTGAGAACGAGCAGATGGCGCTAATGACTGATGCCATCGTACAATCGCATTGCGATGAGAGAAATAGGCTGGTAGGCCGATTCCCTTGGCACAATCAAGTACTTACCCGCTCATCGGCCACGTCTGCCTGTCGTCGTTGTGACCGGTTTCTGGATCTCACGATATGTCACCGGCTGGGCACCCGGGGCAGATGCCCCGTGGGCCGTGGAAACCTTCCCCAGAGAGAACCGGAGACCATCAGGTTTCCAGCTTGCTTCTGCCGACAGGTGCATTGTGATGGCCTTATCGACCAAGTCACCTGCAATGTCATCTCGCACGACCGCACTTCATGGAGAGCTCCGGTTCTTGGTATCCTAAGAAGAGGTTGAGGGACCCCGCAGCGCGATTCCTGGGCAACAAGAGAAAATCGTACCACATGGCATTGTGCGACTGCACCTGTGAGGGAGGAGGATGCGGTTTGGTTCTGCTGGTTTCCTCATGCCCTTGGCCAATGGTGTCATTTCCCAGGACTATGCTGGCGGCGGCTACAACCTAGTCGGGTCAGTGCTAAGTTTAAGGTGCCGCCCGATCTGCTCTCTGGCATCAATCTGGGAGATGCTGGCATCATCCTCCCGTCTTGCGTTATTACTGCGATGCGCTGGAAACACCTGGATGGTAAGCGGCTCCATGAGCCGTGACCGGCTCTGTTGCGAACGGTGGCACCAACATGATGCCATCCACACAGAAGCTGGTGTGCTGTAAGCCTGTAACTAGCTGTAACTGCGAACCCCTTTGTCTCCATTGCGTTTGTTTCCTCTTTCTGCTACTGCTGCTACACGTGTCTGGCTTGTGGACGCAGGAATAATTGGCTTCCCCTCCGTTGCATCATCCAGTACGACGCCGTGCCCCTGGCCTTGCGCCATTGTGGACTACCGGACACGACCTCAAGGGTTCGCAAATCGTGATGGCGGCGAGAGGAAGAATGTAAGCTGAGGCTGGCTGTTCCCTGTAGCGGTCAGGTACAGAGTGTACAGTACCACAATTACAAGTACCTGACAAGCTGTCTCTTGTCCAGCTTGTCTTGGCTCTTCGGTGGCTCTCTTCCCAGGTTCCGGCGATGGTGCTCCGGGATGAGATATACGTACCGAGTTTACCTGACCGCCGCGCTACAGGACCGCGATCAGGCGGTGGCATCTCTCTCCTAAGCAGCGCCGCCTGTTGCGGTGGATGGCCCTCAACTCGATGTTGGTTCCTAGGAATAGCATACAAGTTACGGATGCCCTACGTACCTACACGTGGGCCCGCCGGGACCATTTCTCAGTGTCATGGCTCAGGACGTAAGAGAGTGGTTGCGAGTCCTGGAGCCAGGCGCATGGTCAGGCGGCCACCAAGGAACTCGACCCATGCCACGGCAGGCAACGCCATGCCTTGCAAAAGTTGCAACAATGAACCAGCTCGGGCCAGCATCCGTCCTTCTCAGCCAGTCGAAGGGAGCTGGTGGGCTCAGTCACTGGTTGGCGTTGGTCATGTTCGAGAAGTGTCCGTTGGCGCAATGTACAGCTGCGCTTGGAACAAATTGGAGCAGGTACTTCGCGCAATGGACCCATCCGGTGGAGATGGTCCAGGCTCTTTTTTTCACACTTTTTTTTCTTTCTTCCCATCCTTGGTTGATTCACACACCTCTGTGATGGATCCACGTCCACTCCCAGTAACAGTACTGCGTCTCTGTCAGTCACAGTTCCCATGTGGGTGTCTGATGAAGAGCTGATGTACACGATGCCGCGCTGGCTGGGCCGTGTCAAAACGCTGAAGCGGAGCATGTGTCGCCAGGTACCCTTCCAACTCATGACACATAATTACCCTATGAAAAGCTTGACCATCACGAGCTGGCAAGACATAATAACGCGACGGTCCTGCTTCACGTCTTGCGTAATAAGAGGCTGATATTACAAGAGTCTACTACCACCGTGACCTACTTTTCTCCTGATCTTTCCCCGTTGACAACTCCAATTTGACGATAACCTCACGATACCCTTCGTTCGAGAAGCCGAAAAGAACTCTTGTCTTTCTGGAGAACCCCGGCCACTTTTGCCTCCTCCGCACTCTGCATCTCATCTCACCCGAAAAGCCCGCCGTTAAGCGCAACGCTGCAGCTGCATCCATCCCACATTAGCACACTTTTCTTGCGCCCTACCTACTACCCCGGTCGACAAACGACTTACACGAAGGAACGGGAAAACCGAAAGGGGAAATTCACAAGAGAAGGAGTCATCGCAGTCGCAAAAAGTCTGCGTTTGTTCATCTCCCATACCCCTCCACTTTACGATCACGACTTCGATCAACCCGAGATTCCAAAACACTTGGTTTTCTCTTTAAAGTCTTCAACGCCTGTTGCGAACGGGAGAACGAAAAGGGTCGACATCATCATCTGCTCTGCAACACCCCGCACCTCACCACCATCCATCGCTTTGGTCGCTTTAATCCCATCTTTCCTCCTCTCAGCGCGCATAGCGGAAGTAGATCACGTCCACCACCACCGCAACCCAGCCCAAACAAGCTTCGTTCTTGGCTGTTCGACGCCATAAAGAAAGAAAAACCAAAACGGGCAAAGGACAGAACGAGAATCAGACCTTGTGCTCCTACCACCCACATCACCTGGACCTTTCCTTGCAAGGATTCGAGAATAGCAGTAGAAAACAAGTCATCGCGCTCCACACTCTTCTCTTCTCTCACTTTTTTAAGTCTCTGTTCAAGTACAAAGAGAAAAGGGCCCCCGGACACATCTTGGTCTGCCCATCAGACCCATACCATACATCACTCATCAGTCAGTCAGGGAACATCAGCAGACCTGCCGCAGTCCGTCCATCAGCTCATCAACGCACTTACACTACACACACCGCCGCTCGCCCTCGGCCTCGCGCCTTACACCCTTACCACCACACGCCCACCCAAAAGAACCTGCGCGCGCCCGCATCTACCTCGCCTATCCTTCGGGATCCGGCGAATCGACTCTTTTTGTCCTTTTTGGGCTTCCAAAAATTTCTGACGGAACCCATTATCCTCTTGGACGAACCTACGCCCTAAGAACGTCACACCACCTCCCTTATTTTGCGGTTCATCCGCCCCCCCCTCACCCCCTTTAACCCCTGTCCATCTTGTTGGCCCATCTTAGCCAGCCAAGATTTACAAAAGACGACTTGAGGGCCGCAACCGAACATTTCCAAGATTCAGCAAGCCCTCGAAATCCGGGGAACGCACCACACAACCGCACCCAATCATGCCCCACCGCGTAGCAAACTTCCTGCGGAATTCCACTGAGAACTTCAGTGTTTCTGCCATTGCAAACCTCAAGACTAAGACCAAGCAAAATCAGCAACATCACCAACCCCGTCACAACAACATCCAGGACGAAGGCTTGTTGCGCAGAGTCCCTCTCGACCGCCACTCTTCCTACTCCTCCGATGACGGCGAGCACATCCCTTACCACAACATGTTCGCAGCAGATCCCGCAGACCACCTCAAAGAGAAGAAGCACCACCACCACCGCCTCTCTCTGCCTTTTGGCCGCTCCAACAAGGACTCACACGACAACTCCCACGCAGGCCTCGACCTGAAGATCGAGAGCCCGCCTATCGTTTTCTTCGGAGATGCAGAGTCCTCTACCGGTGCCCTCGTCTCGGGTCAGATGCAACTCGAGGTCAAGGACGAGCAGCTCCAGATCGAGACCTTTGGCGCCAAGCTCAACATCCACGTCCAGCAGAAGCGCCCCTTCACCAACCACTGTGGCGAGTGCACCAACCAGTTCACCGAGCTGAAGCGCTGGACGTTCCTCACGCACCCCACGACGCTCAAGAAGGGCATTCACCAGTTCCCCTTCTCTATCCTCCTCGAGGGCCACCTCCCCGCGTCCATGGACACGCCCATCACCTCCATTGCCTACGAGTTCAAGGCCGAGGCCATCCTCGTCAAGGGCACACCCGGTTCGCAGACGCCCATCAAGTTCGAGCAGAACTTTGACGTCAAGCGCTCCCTCCCTCAACCCGAGTTCCCGCATCACTCTGTCCGCGTTTTCCCTCCCACCAACATCAAGGCCAGCGCCCACTACAACCAGGTGATCCACCCGGCCGGCACTCACAACGTCTCGTTCCGCCTCGACGGCCTCACCAGCGCAAACGCCACCAACAAGACGGTCGAGTTCTGGAAGCTCAAGAAGGTTACGTGGAAGCTCGAGGAGACCATCAAGACCGTGGCCCCCGCCTGCGAGAAGCACGCCCCGGTCCCCGGCAACGCCAACAACAACACCCAGCCTCAGCAGAAGGGCGTGGCCCGCACCGAGACCCGCGTCCTCGGCGAGAAGTACATGCACGACGGCTGGAAGTCCGACTACACCAGCACCGACGGCCACGTCGAGTTCGAGTTCGACTACGGCGTCGTCGCCAGCAAGCACAGCCACGGCCCGCGATACGCCTGCGACATGAAGTCGAGCGACGGCACCGAAGTCTCCCACGCACTCATGATCGAGATGGTTGTCTCCAAGGAGTGGGCGCCTGTCGGCAAGCCCCACCTCGCGACGCAGACGGGCACCGGACGCATCTTGAGGATGCACTACCACGTGATGCTCACCGAGTGCCCCGGTCTCGGCGTCAGCTGGGATAACGAGGCGCCGCCCGTTTACCAGGACGTCCCCCCCTCGCCGCCCGCGTACCCCGACGAAGCGGCTCCCGTCGACTACATGAGCCTTGAGCACCTTGACGGCCAAGCGCACAACGGACTAGCACATAGCCGGGAGGGATCCGTTACCGGCGGATCCACCACGTCATGACACCACCACCACTAGAGGAGGAGAGTCATGAAACATAATCAATCAACACAACAAAAAAAATCACATACAATAATTCAAGAGACGGGATGAAAAGGAAAACAAAAAGTTATTGGATTTAGGATCTGCTTTTTTTCAACCGCATTATACCCCCTGGTTTCCGAACTAGGCGCTTGTTTTCTTATAGGATTATAACTCTTTTTTGGCGGGAAAGACAGTGTCACAACTCAGTTGGATTTTTAACAGTGAATTTTTGAAGAGATGCATGGCATTGAGTGAAATGACCATGAGGAAGTGTTTTGCATTGCGAGGCGTTTTACGGGGACTTTGAACAGAGCTGATGGAAGAGGCGCATGATCGATGATGCCAAGGTTCCCGTCACATGGCTTCTCAGTAGCTAGCTCGACGACGAAACATACAATTGAAGCAAGAATTAGTTATACAAATCACTACAAAATGACTTTGCACTTCCTCTCGATCTTTCAATGTGACTTGTTGGGACTGACTTTAAGAATGATTTAGTTGAACTTCATGCTTTGAGTGCGCTTCAACGGCAAATTGTGCGGCAGTATTACTACTCAGTGAACATAGAGACAACTTCAAACAGAATTTGCCCCTCCGCAACGAAACCACAGACTATGTGACCCACGCGGCGCGGGATGGTAACATGTGAAATCCCTTTCGAGTCACGACCCTTGATAATTATAGGCTATTGGCAGGTACTTGTCCGATGTGTACACTACCTTGCGGCTCATCCCACGTTTTCTGTCTGCTAGTTTTGTTCTCGCATTGCGTTTACCCGCTGCGAATGCTGCAAGACCTGCTGGAACTGCAAGGTTTTTTGGGACGGGAATGCCCCGAGCTTCAAGCTATTCAGTTAATCTTAGGAAACAATTACTTGACGAAAACTACTAGTTGGGTGCGTTGGGGCGAGAGTTGGAGAAATTTTGAGACGGAAATCTGAGATTCAATAGAGTCTAGAACGCCCGCCGACAAACGGCGAATATCCTTGGCGAGCGGTTGATCTGAGCTTTGGAGTAGTCTAGTGAAGGGTCTTTTCGGGACATTGAGTACCGGTGAGATGAGAATATCGTGAGTTTGCGGCATACGCTCTATAGAGTTGAGTTGCCGAGTTATTAACGCGTTGCTGTGAGTTTCCTAAACTTGCTCACTTGGACATCACGCATAGGACTACTACGTAGGCAGTGGAAACAGAAAGTAATTCCCTGCTCGGCATGTTTACCCGGAAGCAGCTATGCCACGTCGCTCGAAAGGGCAGCTCGCTTCCGCCCCGTGGTTTGTATGGCGCGATTATAGTCTCGAAATGGATGATTCAACTTCCAAGGTCATCTCACGATAGTGCGGTGTGCGGAGGGGCTCTTAAGCGCCCCCTGGCGGACGGTGGGCGGTGGTCGGTTTGCCGTGCGCAGCATGATGTGTAGCCGGTGTAGGGTGCAGGAGAAGGGGGACGATGTGTAACCGGCGCACCGGGCCGGGTGTGTCGTGGCCAGCCTGCCCAAGCGCCTTCGGATGGCAATCCGGTAGGTAGGGGCAGGAGGCGGGCTCAGTGGTGATTTGGGGCGTTTTCTATGAGTCAAGCCAGACCGAAAGTCATGCGAGAGCCGTGTCAGAGAGACGGTATGCGAACATCGGAGCCGGCCCGTTTTGGGATGGTTCACAGGGCGTCTCGCAGGGTGCGAAGATGCGAAAGGAGCCGTGGCAGAGGAGGGGGAGAGCCTGAAAGACCGCGCTCCAGGGCTTTTGCTCGGGATCGGTGACAGCCGGGTTCAAAGGGGGTAGAGGGTGGAGGGGCGTGTTGGAGAGCGCCCCCCGGGGTGGCAGAGGCAAGTTGCGGACGACGGAAGAGGTGGTTTTTCTTACGTGATTGATGGGGACTTGCCGGAGGCGCTCCCGGGAGGCGGGATGACTTGCCCGCAGGCGGCCTGCCTGGATGCTGAGCCTAGGAGGCAACGAGTTTCGGGCAGCTCCAAGGCGAAGAGCAAAAGGGCAGGTCCAAGGCGTGCTCGGCGTGCTTCCATCTAGCCGGCGGCACGAATTTGAACATCGGCGCGTGTGGTGGAGCTCCGAACCTCAGATCGTTTCGTTTTGGTTATCAACTTCTCATGAGCAGTTGGCAGGGTTTCTGTCTACTTACTTCCGTGTAAGACGGAAGAGTGGAGGCTCTGTACAGTTTCTTCCCTCATGCATGCTACATAGGCTATACCATGCTCGCTTCATGTTCCCTGGAAGTTGGAACTGTCTGGGGAGAACGATTTTGCTGAAGAATTTTCTGTCTCATTCACTCTTGAAGTTTGTCATGAAGTGATGCCCACATCGAACCCGCTTGCCCCATCGCTAGCTCCAACACTTTCTGTGAGTTTTTTCTCCAACAGCGCCAGACCCCATTCCCCGATGGATCGCCACTGGGGGTCTCTGAATTTTGGGTTTTTCGTTGGCTTGCTTTTGTGTGCGGGACGCCGAAAGAAAGAAGAAATTGCATGCAAACACTCAAAAAGCAGATGCAACGTTGATCCTGGTAGAGAATCGTTACGTCATAAGTCCACTAGCGGGCGAACGACGTACGAGATCGTGAAAATTTGGGTTTTGCTTTGATGTGTGCCACTGCGGGCAAGGGGAGTCAGGGGCGCGATTTGTCTGGGGCCCTTGTAAAAAGGGGTGTATAAACGTACAGCTGCTACGAAAGCGTCATCAAAGCAACTGGCCGGCTGGCGCAATGGTAGCGCATCAGACTTCTATCTTCTCTTCTTTCAAGAGTTGTGGTTATCTGGGGGTTGTGGGTTCGAGCCCCACGTTGGTCATTCTTTTGCCATCTTTGCCTTTGATCCTCATCTTTGACACGGAATGGAACGATTCCTTCTTCTTTTGCAATATTTCATTGGTTTGTTTCTCTTTGTTCTGAGGTAGATAAGGTGCTTTTAGTTGAAGATTGTCCTGATTCTTTGCCCCTCCTTAATGAACCCCAACTTGACCAAACCACAAGTGGGAAACAATACTCGCTCGGGTCTTGTGATCGCATGAACCGAAAACTGAAGGGGCAATTGATTTCAATTTGAAGCATTTGAAATTCTTTCAAAGACTTACACGCGGACCGCTGGACATACCCTCAAGGTCTCGAATACGTGACACAACTGACAAGCGGTGTAAGCCTGGCCGACGTTGTCAGCAACACCCAAGAGCCAAGGGCCCTCTATTGTAAACCGAGACATCACTTATCTTGACCACGGTAAAAGTCATCTTGATATTTGCACTAAAAGCTCACCACATAATCTCACGTCTGTCATGCTGCGCGTCTATTATTTCACTGTGCTAGTACCGAAGTGGTTTTCAGCTCAAATCATCTGCAAGTCAGACACCCATTTGATTGGTGGTTGTAGTTTTTCACCACAATATTGCTTACTATACGTTAGCGCCGCAGCTCGACATACGTTTCCAGGAGGAGTTTGGATCCAAATCAAGACGCGAGACCGTAACGATAATGCATCCATGGCTAAATGTGGCGGAGTTAACTGCAAGTGTTGTGCAGCTGATGATAACAAAATTAGATGCTGCTTGCGTCTTTAAGTCCGAAAAATAGCATAAAATGAAGGAAGGGAATGTCTAAGTTGCTCCAAGGCGCCTAGTGACTAAAATCTATAACCAAATTTTAGGAGCCCGAATTGCAGAAAGAAGCCCTTTCAAAATGATAACAAGCACATTGGACGAAGCCCAAGTGATATGGTTTCCTTTGGCCTGTTGCCTAGTCATATCTCTTGTTCGTAGTGTTCTCTGGCCAAAAGTTCCAGACTCGCAGGAGCCTCCGGCCCTACAACCAAAGATACCTTTCATTGGTCATTTGATTGATCTAATCCAGATGGGTTACAAGCAACATGTCAAGAATCAGTAAGTCCCGAGCCATCCTGCTTGAACGTTTACGGGATGATGGAGTCGGACGGGCATTCATGGTGCAACTTCATTGTAAGCTGATACGATACTAGCGAGAAATTCAATATGACGGCATACTCGTTGCCCATCCTTGGAGGCAAGCTTTACGTGGCATCTTCACCACAACTGGCATCGTCCATATTCCAGAAGCGGACTCTTAGTTTCGAACCCCTGATTGACACCTTTGTTCGCACTTTGGTAGGCATGGAGGGCCGAGGAATGGATTTGTGGACGAACCCGGAGTTTCGTACCGCCATCTTTAAGGTTCTCTACAAAGGACTGGCCGGACCTTCGTTGATTGATCTTACCAGATCAGGGGTCAGCAATTTAGCCACCTCTCTTGACGAAATACCCTTTGACCAGCTCGAGCCAAGAGACTTCTACTGCTGGACTCGTGAGACAGTGTCGAGGGCCGTCATGAGAGGCTTCTACGGGAAGTTGAGCCCTTGGGAGAACAGCGGAGTCATGCAGAGTTTCTGGTAACTACATCGCATCCTTATATCTGTCCCGGTCTCGCCACGCTACAGGCGCGTCTACCATGATTGAAACTAGGCTAATTCTCAACACCCAGGATCTATCACGATGACATGCACAGACTCTTCCCTGGGTTTGCCCCCTCTGTCATCGCGTCCAAAGCATTCAAAGCAAGAACGGAGGTTATCGAAGCCTTGGAAGCGTACATCAAGCGTGAGGAGGATTTTGGCGCCGAAGTTCCTCAATTCACCAAGGACAGATTCGGTGCAGAACGAAAGTTCGGAATGTCGATCCACAACAGCGCCAAGATTGAGATTCTCCTAGCCACCGCTCTCGCCAACATCTCCACGCTCGTCTTCTGGCTTCTTTCGAATATTTACAGCCAGCCAGACCTTTTGGCCAGTATTCGGACAGAGCTTCTCAATGCCGCGGTTACCGAGAAGCGAACTGATCAAGACCATATCGAGATGACACTTCACCTGAGGAAAATCAAAGAGCACTGTCCACTACTCCTGTCTTCTGCGCAAGAGACAGAGCGACACAATATTGTCGATAACATCACACGAACGGTAATGACAGACACGACGATATCGGACGACGACCGCTCGTACCTCCTCAAGAAAGGGAACAATATCCAGATGCCGCTTAGCGTTCTACATAGTGATGAAAAAGTATGGGGCGCCAACCCTGAAAGCTGGCAAGGTGACAGGTTTCTGGAACTGGGTTACAATGCATCATCACCGCCTGGTTTCCTTCCTTTTGGAGGGGGCAAACATGTCTGGTACGTGAATTGATTCTCTCTGGTTTGATGATTTACACTGACCGTGCATCTTTGTGAAAGCCCTGGCCGCCACCTTGCAAACGGACTTCTTCTTGGCATTGCTGCGCAAATAATACTCGGTATTGATTTAGAAGGTACTGACGGCGGGCCCGTTAGGGTCCCAAAAGCTCAAGTCCCTTGGGCAACGACTGGCATAGGGAGGCCGAAGCCCGGACCAGACTCAAGAGTCAGAATCAGTAGGCGAGAGGCTTGGAGGCACGTGAAATGGTCTGTGGCATATTGAGATGCAAGACTGGATCAAGCATATGATACGAAACATTCTCTTTTGAAGCCACTTAAACTTGGTCGGTGAAGGAGTTTCGACTCTATGTCCTTAGTTTGGCTCCGGTAGCATCGAGTACCTGCACATAGTACAATGAATTCCTTTGGTGCATTGCCAACTTTCATAAGTACCTAGTCATAAGACGTCTTCGCCAGCTCTTTGTGACATGGAACACTTAGGTAGTGTAATTGAATTGCATCGATCGCGACTTCGTGTATCCAAACCTTGCGGAGCCGTTAGGGTAGTCAAAATGGCTGCGTCTCCGCTGTGGATACGCACAACGGCAACTGGGTATGAGCTGGATACCTGCAGAATTTTGCATCAACATCCGATATGGTGTAGTGGCCAACATGATGCCCTCTCATCTTGTGAGAGGTTAGGCATAGCCCCGAGTTCGATTCTCGGTTTCGGAAATTAGCAAGATGTGTCTCAAACGGCTTAACTTTTGTTTTTCGCGGTAACAACCACTTTATGTCTTATTATCCATCCATGCCTTTTCTAGATAACTTACACTTAACTTACCCGACTGGATTCACTGAATTACCTGGTCATGTATAAGTCATAGGTGAAAGTATTTGCCGATAACGACTACTACGACCATGCATGCATATTATCTAACACACTTACAAGTCTCGCTATAGTCGCGAAGTATTGAGTCAAAATCAACGGCTTGTTCACTTTGGAGTAAGCACTGTTTAGTGAATAGATCAGAATGCCGCTGGTGGTGTACTGGGCGGTCGGGCATTTGATCTAAACCCCGTGAAGCTGACTCTCCCGCCGCCGAGCGGTGCATACCCCGCGGATTGACGCAGGCATTTCGGGACGGCAGCAATTCGGATCGCGGAATGTCGGCGATTGGAAATCAATAGGCCCCACAATCGATGCCGAGCCCGGGCGTGGGTCTCGGACACTGCGAGAAACAGCTTAGAAATCCTGAATGACTAATGGCCACTGCCGCGGGTTCATGGTGATGCAATCATCCAGTCGTCTCATTCGCGCGCCCTATTACGCCCTACGAGTCCTCCTTTTAAACTCCCGTCTCCTGACCCCCGCACGGCATTGTGTAATTCAACATCAGCCCTGCATTTGACGTGAATATAAGGTACTATTATGAGCACAATCCTACGACGAACTTCAATACTCACATCATCAATCAAAACCAATCTCAGAACCAGCAATATTCCCCGCATCATCCACACTAGACCCCTCGCAACAATGACTACCGGCAACTTCCGCTATCTAGACCCCGCGACTCTGGAGGGCAGCAAGCCCTGGGCAAAGGTCGATACAGACGTAACCTCTTTTAGCCGGCTCGAGCGCCGCCGCTCGGTTGTGAACATCCGCGAGTCGACGGAAGAGTTCGGCACCGACGTCTCCGGCTTCGCCGTGTACAACTCACCCGCTAAGGAGAAGGACTTCATCGACGATGAGGCAGTGCGAAGCGGCTACTATGCCGAAGTGGAGGCACTCCTGAGGGAGAAGTTGCCCGGTGTGAAGAAAGTTGTGATTTTTGACCACACCATCCGGAGGAGGGAGAAGAGCAGCCCTAGACAGCCTGTACAGCAGGTGCATGTCGACCAGACGCCCGGCGCGGCGGAAGCGCGTGTGAGGAGGCATGTTCCGGGAGCTGAGGCGGATGAGCTGGTCAATGGACGGTACCAGATTATCAATGTCTGGAGACCGATCGGACACCCAGCGAGTGACTTCCCGCTTGCGGTGATTGACTGGCGGACCACGGAGCCCAAGGATCTGATCGCTGTGGATCTCTTGTACCCCAGGAGGACGGATACCGATGACGATGATCGGGGCAAGGAGGTGCTTCCGGACCCGGCTTTGGCGCGGTCGACGCAAAATTACGATGTCAAGGGTGAGTGTGTCCCTCACCGTAGTAGAATTCCAAGCACGTTCATTTCGCTAACATCAATGCAGGCGAGACTTTCTCTGTCGCACCAAGCGACAAGCACAAGCTGTATTACGCCAAAGATATGACCCCTGACGAAGCCATGTTCATCAAGTGCTTCGACTCGAGAAGCCAAGGGCGGCCTGGCGGCAAGCCGGGACGGGCCGATTACACGCCTCACACGGCCTTCATTGACCCCAACACCCCCGCAGATGCGAAGGGAAGACAAAGCATAGAGGTTAGATGCTTGGTGTTTTATGAGTAGAGGCCATTTCTTGGAGCACGGACGCCTGTATCGTTGTACTTGGGTCAGGTACCTACGGGCTGTTGAAGAAAGTCAGGAGTTATCAATATGAGCCATGAGTACTATAAAACAAAGCATTCAGAAGCATTGGACTAGTTAAGCAAGTGAGCTTGTAATGTATATGACGGTGAGATTATTTATGGAAATTATCTAGCGAGCGTGGTTGTGTGCATATACTATAAAGTGGACAATGGGTATCTAAGTATGATGCTGGCATATGTACAGCGAACGGCGTAGTTGCAAGAGCAGCAACAAGACGAGGTTGAACACGAGCTCAAGAGCCCGATTAGGTTAATGAGGAGCAAGATTAAGTGGACTGGTAGACGGCAACATAGGCGGTCTCCATCATGCTTCCCCAGCCGCCAATGGTAGAGCCGTCCGGGTTTCCGGGCTGTAAGCAGTCAGTCAAACTATCGCCAACAAGCTTTTGTAACGGCATCGACATACCCAGTTACCGCCGACGGCGACATTCAAGATAAAGAACAACGGCGCGCGAGCCAACGTGTTCCAGATACCCTCGCTCCCGATCCTGGCGCCGCTGATCTGATGAAACTGCTGCCCGTCACGGAACCACGTAATCGTCTCCGTCTGCCAGTTGCCAGACCGACGATCAATCTGCAGACGCCAAGTGTGCCACCCCTGATCCGGGATGCCAATGTTACCGCCGATACCGTTGGGCTCGTTACACGCGCCGCCCGGGAGGATATCGCAGTGGACGGTCCCGTACCCCGTCAGCTGCCCGTTGACCGTCTCGAGGATGTCGAGCTCGCCGCAACGAGGCCAGCTGACGCCGTTGCGGATAGCGTCGCCGAGAATCCAAAAGGCGGGCCAGATGCCCTTCTTGTTGGCGATGGCGTTGTCGCCGAAGCGGATCTGGGCCTCGGCGACGGTGAGGCGGCCGGCGGCGGGGGTGAAGACGTAGCGGGACTCGATGCGGCCCGAGGTCCAGGCGCCGTTGCCGTCCTTTTGGGGCACGATTTGGACGGTGCCGCCGCCTGAGATTTGGAGGTTGGAGCGGGAGGTCGTGTATTCCTGGATCTCGTTGTTGACGTGAAGGTTGGTGATGATGTTCCAGTTGCCGCCGTTAATCGGGTCGCCTGAGGCGCCGGGGAAGCTATCTTGCCAGAGGCGGGTAAGGCCAGAGTAGTTTGGAGAGTCCCAGGCCCGGGTGGCGGCTGGGAGGAGGAGGAGGAGGGTTGAGAGGATGGAGTTTGAGTACATTGTTGCGATGATGCAAAGCTCTAGGAGCTAAGGAACCGTAGTTGGTGTTCTGGATGTCTGGTCTTGCAAAGATGGCTTCAAGGAGTGAATAGAGTTTGAAGCAGACTACTTATCCAAAGTGAAACTGAAAGGACTGTGACGAAGAAGGTTTATAAGAGAGAAGAGAGAGAGACTGTGGCTATTCGAAAAGGAAAGGCATGTCTCGGGGAGAGGCACAAGATCACGATGGTGGATGTTGTCGTCGGGGGGAAGGGCGCACGAGGAGCGGGTTGAAGGACCATGAGGACAGAACGGGAAGCATTCATCATGGGACTTGCTGTATATATACAATAGGAAAAAGGCCAAGTGTGAGCCTGCAGATGTAACATTGAGCGATGCGTGCCGCGTTGGCCAAGGACCAAGGGTTCTCCTCTGCCCTGCCCTTGGAACAAAGAAGGGCCACCTCAGCGGCGGGAGCAACCCGCATGTCGAATCTAGACTTGCCTCTTCCAAGTCGTAGTGGTACTGTGCTGGTAGTCACCGCCGCCCGGTGGGCTACGGGGAGGAGAATTGTCCCTTTTTTCTTTCCTGTTTAATGACAAGAGTCCCCGAGTCTCAGAGCTGCGTCCAATCTTCAGCAGAGAACGAAGGTCTCAAGGAGGGTGGATGGTAGTCTGGTTCATATATGCTTACCCCCTGTGCTCTCTCCGTCGTCTAGTGTTGCACAGGGCAAGGCAAATCGGACTTGGATGGTCCGGTCTAGAATATCAGATGGCACATGTACGTCCCCGCTACTCACCTCGAAGACCGTGCCCCAAGCCCACGAGAATGGGTGCACCACGCGGTGTAGGAGTGATGGACGGAGGAAGCGTGCTCCTCTGAGACATGGTCCGCCGCGGGACACACTTCCACATCCTCGGTGGCTCCAATATCTCGGACGCTGTTGCCCCCTTGCGCTCTGATCACGGCCCGTCCGGTCTGTCAATCGCGGATTCGCGGTTGGCACGGCCAATATTCCGAGATGAGGCGGGCGCATAAGCGGAGCGCAGACACTTGTGGCTGGCTTGACAAACGTGCATAGTACATGTAGTTTGGCAAAAAAGAAAGATTAAGGCTCGTCAAGGGTGACCAATAGAAGTCGAGAAGGACCAACTGAGCCGAATATGTCCCTGTTTTGAGAAACACCGGGGGAACTGGCATGGCTTTTGGGCCCCCAAGTGTCCCTTCGGGAGAGGCTTTATTTCATTTTGGACATCTGCCAATCGGCGACGGAAGATGGCAAGGCTT